GTTTTTGCTGAACAATTGTTTACTTCTGTTTACTGTGTTTTTTGAATGATAAGGTAGCCAAACTTCTTGTTAACTGTCCTCTGGGATGGTACTTAATAAACTTCAAGAAGGATATCAACTAGGAAATTTGGTATGTTAACCTACACCAAATGAAACTGAAGTGTACTTATCTTTTCACGAACAAAGCAAACACCGCCATTCATACAAGATGTACTTCTTTTCTTTAACTCTCAAGATATAGAGTTGTATTCAAATCTATAAAGGATGTTTAAATCTACTCATGAGGTCTAATGCACACTTGAATTTCCATAAAACCAAAATATTAAGATCAAAAGAAACTCAAAGTGATAATTAAAAACACTGAACTAACAAGAGATTTAACACTGCTTGGTTGAGGCATTCATAAAACATCTGAAAGTAAAATATAAATTTAAGATATTAGATGAGTAGCGTTAGTAAACGATACTGTTTAGTATTTTGAACAGATTTGCTAAGAAATTGGTTTTATGCATATTTAACGTGAATAAAAACCCTTCTGCAATAGATCATGTTAACTTTCAATAAAATTTTAGTTTTCAATCTTTTAAATCTAAACAAGCAAATGTTAACTGAAAGCATGTATGTAAGGCTTTCATCCAAAAACGATATGATCTCCAACGGTACTTCTAAGAAAGACCAGAAGCTGGTGACCTAGACATATTTAGAGGTGTCAGAAATTGAAGTGAAATACATCTAAATGGAGTGCTTTGTAACTGTAGTGCGCCTTCTGTCCTCTTTTGGGTTTAGTTGAGGTTCATAGAGATCTTATTTTTAAGGTAGTATTCATCAGGAAAGGACATCATTTGGAGAGCTAGTAAAAACCTAGCATCATTAAATAACTGTTTCCTCCTAGTATGGAACTCCTCAATAGTAGGCACCCACAGCCCTGTCAGGTACCAAGCTTAGGATCTTCAGGTTTCCCGGCGAAATGCACTAACCATTCAGTCACTGGGTTGAAGTTCAATAATCCAAAGTTTCCTATTCCTGTCAATTCGCCACATACCGTGACTATCATCAAGGTATCAGTTGGCATCCGCTTTCCTTCCGGACGGTTGACGCAACAGGATATGGGTTCCCATGAAACTTCGTGATATCTATCTCGAACCAAGTCACTAGTGAGCGCTACACAATTATGGACTTAGTTATGCCAGCTGAAAGCTAGAAGAGATAGAACCTCGACCATAGGATATATTTTAGTATGTCACATTTCATTCATAGTAAGACTACCATTCAGACGTAGGCTTACACTAAGTGTGTTTCGTCACCACTTCTTGTAAAATCAAAACGAGCTAAGTGGTCATCTTGAATCCTAAGCTTTTTAGATGACTTCGTCACGTCTCACTTCCGCTTACAGGAGTGACAGATCAGTAATATTTCCCCTTTTATCTAAAACTTTAAAATATCAAAAGACTCGACAATTGTCGTAGAAAATGACACCAATTGATGCTCAGTTAGTGGAAATCGAAAATAAAGATGACAATCATTCACAGGTTTGATCGAAATTATTCCCCATGCTGTGAAAATATAAAATAGTGCCAAAACTGGTCTGTCTAAGTCTCTGAGCAGAAGTTGAGTGCATGATTTTTCATCAAGTTTTCTAAATGCTTTCCTACGGCAAGGTCAAGTATTAAAATCCATTTCAGTAGAAGTACCACCCTGTTTTTAATTAAACGTCATGTCAAAACCTTCTTTCGTTGCTTGTACATAGTTGAAAGTTTCACTTGTCAGTGCTCCATTTTGGTACTAAGAAGTTCTTACAAAATAAACACATCTCATTAGTATTCATTAGGATGCTATACTAAGTGAAAGTTATCAAGTTATCGAGAGAAATCTCTTTAAAAGATTTTATTCATTGTGTTTACTGAATCAAGGTGTAAGTAGATCTCACAAAACAAAAACATTATACGACCTGGTGTAAAGGCTATTTTCAGAAACCTCACTGAATTTGTTTTCCATTCACATAACTATAGTCAGACTAACGTAATGAATTTTATACAACTGCCATAAGTCTGAGAAACTGCGTGTTGCACTATACTTCGTTAAACAATATATCATTGGTGCAGAGTTTATCAGTTTTTAGTCAGGTCGCATTTATACTGTGATTGAGAAGATTTTATCCGTCAAGATTTACTACACTGATCTTGAACTACTTGACCTATTATAATGAGTGGATATTAAAAGGGGTGATTTTGTTTGACTCAGCTAGAGTTATTAATCAACATAGCATTTATCAACTAAATAATTTGTAGGGAAATAGAAACGGAGATTCAGTCTTTATTTCGATTGACTTCACTGTAAATTTGGTCACTGTGACTTGTCAGAAAGCATAATATGTACCCATCGATAACGCCAAATGATGAGGGTCCTATCAAGATTTGCATAAAGTTGCGGGATGTAGACTATCGGTTTCTATCATAGTAACTAAACATTGAATTATTTGTCAAAGAAGCGAAAGGCGAGTATACACTTTCGAACTTGAAAAAAATGGCTGTTTAATGCTCAACAGCTCTACCGATCTAGTGATAAAAATCACCTTTAATTCCAAAGTAACAAAAGCATTTTTTTTTGTTATTTGACTATGGAGGGACTGCAAAGTGAAATTATTTTGTAGTGTTGGCCTTTTGAATGCCTTTTAAATGATCGAGACAGTGAGTTGTTTTAAATAAATCGCCATTATATAAAGTAACCTTGGTGGCCAGGCAACATCCGTAAACACCGAAAAACTGAAATTTGTCAATGAATATTTATTAAAGCTTGAAACTGATTTTGAAGTATACGTTAGAAGTTTCGAGAGATTAAACTAGTTTCATTGTGCCAACATAGTGCTAATAACTAGAAAAAATGTGTCCCGAGTAGATTGAGCCAATGTGAATACGGTTTGTGCTCTGACTGACTGCTCCTCTTGGCGTACTTACTTTCACTACTTTTATGACTAGCTTTTAAGAAGTCAGCTAAAAGCAATACAGAAGATATTAACTGCATCTCAGTTTCCACGTTAATTTCACGAAATATTACAGCTTACTCGACCAAATAAAAGTAGTATGTCTCAAAACACTAATTATATCTGCCCGTGAAAGTGTTTAGATAAAGTAGAAAGATTCAATACTTCAAAAAGAATTACCATAATAGCAGAAAAGTTAGTGCACTGAAAGTCTTCATTCAACACCGACTGTGATGGATACACATTTTCTGGAAACGAATGCTTGTCAGAACTAACTTTCTGAGAGAACAAAATTGACAATTTAATCACTGGCTGATTGTAGCCCACGTGCCCAATAAAACTGTTAAGTTAAAGAGATGTCATGGGTTATATCTTTGTTCGTCAATCGAATGCATTAAAGAATCTAGACCGATCATAACTCAGGAGTAGTCAGATATACGTATGTATTACTAACCTATGGTAAATACATGCATGTTATCGGTACTTACTGAGGGTTATTTTGATGGTCGGTATTGTCGTTTTACAAGCCTTGCCTGTTTCCAGATGATCATAACGTCACCGACCATTATACTGGCTTTTAATCTGCTGCTGCATATACAATACAAAAGTTATACACAATAAATAGGCTACGCACTCCTACCAACGGAGATGGCCCCAAATTCCTGACTATCTATCCAGACCTCCTTAACAGAGACCGCAGCGAATGTCTAGTCTCGGTTAACTCTATGAGGCTTGCCAATGACATATCAAACAGCATATCATCGTAAGAAATGCTCTGAGTTCTTAGGTTAGGTACCCAGAATATAATTTTACTTCTGGTTCGATCTACCTTTACCCACAATAAATCTGTTTCTTCAATTCAAAATATTAGCGCTGGACGGAAAGATGGTGAACTGGTTCGTAGTTTGACGTATGCTTACCAGAGGAAAACATGAGAAGCTTCACCGACGTACAGGTAAACTCCCCCATCTCTTAATCACCTAGGTCATGGAGTAGGACTTTAGCCGTGTATGAAATGGGCTGAATCTCTGAAGAAACATGAGCCTTTTCAAGATTTCACATATGCCTTGTTGATGAGTGGCAACAGAAAAGAAAACTAAATTCAAGACATCCCACCTAATTGCCTCCAAAAACGGATGTCAAACATAGAGATTAGCAGAAAACACTTCTTATGGGGTGAGTTGATACTCTGGCCCATACATGAACTTTTAATTCACTTCAGTCATATAGTACTAAATGATTTCAAGGAAAATACTATTCACTGAAAACATTTTTCATTTACAGTAGATGCAGGGTAAGTTCGTTTGATTGGTTATTATGCTGAAGAGCAAAGTGTAACCAACTTTTTCCAAAATGATTTGACTTTTAATTTTAACAAGCCCAAAACTTACATGAACTGGATTAATGATTAGGTAATGAGGAAATGGAATATTAACTTTGAAATATGGTTGATCGAAATCTACCCAGGCTTAAAAGTGTACGATTTAGACATTTATTTTAAGAATGAATCTCTCTAATGTCTCTCGACCACTTTCAAATAGGTCTCGTAGGTAGTGTTTAGTTGTTTGGTAGAAACACTGAACCTTGATCTTATGTCAAACATAGCAAGCTTTGATTCACTTAAACTTGTTTCAACAACTCAATACAAATTATTCTTCTGGAGAACTCGACCAAAATAAAAAGCAGAGGTATCCAGTGTCTAAGATAATTCATTCTCAGTGTAATTTAGTGGATGCTTTTAAGTTCGGTTAAGAATCAAGTAAGTTATTTAAAAGATGAATTTCAGTCGTCATCATGATTAGACACTTTATGAGGTGACAAGAAACCTAAGCCATCACTAAAAATACTTACAAAAAATTACATTTCAATACGGAAACTATGATACAACTGTATGAGATCTTTTTGTTGCATAGAATGTGCATTATTGTATTGAATTTCCTTTCTGAAGACAATTTTTGCCTCTACTTGTTGTAAAAACAAGACTAGTTTACTTTTTTACATGTCTTGTTTTTGAATATAGCCTGATCGCTGGTATGACTATACAATGTTTCTTATACTTTCGGATCATTTGATCAACCATACCTTGCAAACAACATCTCAAGATACAGAAATATCATTCAGTCTGTCCATTTTAGATTCTGCACAAAAAACACAAAATGCAGCCAGTGATCAATCAGATTTATCTTCACAACGTAACAGTATTTCATTCAGGAACTTATTAGATCTTATAGATGTCCCACGACATCGATTGAATGCCTACGGTGGATTGTTACGAGATATCGCAAGATATATTGCACGTGATGGTTCGTCGACAAGAAATCTTGAATTAGCAATGATAAATGTAACAAGAGCCCAAAGAAGAGCGGAAGAATTCATTCACTTATGGTCACAGGTCGATGAAGATTTTAATCAACTTTTCAGTTCAGAAAATTTAAATGACAATAACTCATTGTTTGGAAAGCAAATACCACCACCTATTACCCGAATAGTAAGTCATATTGTAAAAGCTTTCATATGATATAATATGCCTACTTGACTGATGTACATCTTTAGGCTTGTATCAACGACATGTATCTGAAAGATCGAACCTTCTGAATGAAATAATCTAGTTTTGATAAAATGTAGCACCTCAGAAATCATTGGTCCCGGGATTGGTTAATTGCTAATTTTTCTTGGAGTTATCGCTGTTGAAGTATACATGAAGACAAACTACTGCCACGACAGTAATATATTATTAAGTCGTGCCGCAAAAAATGAAGCCGAAATACTAAACTTGACACAGAATTATGGATTATAATAATTAGGCCTTTTTATTAAAACGAAGCGACAACTGTCTACCTTGCACTATACTTTTTTAAAATAGTTTGTTTGTCTCAGTACAAGTCTATTTCGACAAACTTAGGAATAAAGTTTTAAGAGAGAGATACATGAGAGGGAACTAGCTTCAACAAACAAGGGTTCTATGAATAACGAGGAACTTATGAACTTTGGTTGAAAACATTGTATTTGGCACATTGCTTTCATCGTTTGATAGTTTACACCTCATTTGTCACCTACCTATGCATACACAAATGTTATGCAGTACAAATGGAGTCTGAAAAGCAACTGACTGCTCCGCTATCGCGTAACCAGAATACTATATCCCAAAGATGTTTATATCTCTAATAAGATGAGTTTACCTCGATTATGTAAGAAAAAAGTTAGGTGATTCGGTGAAGCATAATTCCATATTACATTTGTTTTTGTTTTTTGATGCACAATTTAATTCACTGAGAGTGAAAAAACATAGAAATTATTGAAATTATTATTACTTAAAAAAACAAATCTTTTATAAAGCCTTTCTTAGAGACATAATCGGTTTTTTGAGTTGTAGGGAACTCTGAAACATAACATTCACCTTATATATAGATTTCGACAAGTGCTGTGAATTGACTATCACTAAATCTTTCCGAATTTACCACGACAGATCACACTTGACTATTCTGACATCACTTTTCTGTTATTTTCCATGTTTTCTGGTTACTTAGTGTGCTGGTTGTTTATCGACATCATTGATTAAAGCTACCACGTAGCTCAATATTGAACGCTGTTAAACTAGGCGTTCTTTGCAGCTTCGTTACCACATTACAAAACCATCTATATAGTTCAGTTAGCACTTAGAAATAGAGTTAAATTGGTTGCTTTCTATTGAGCAATCACTGTATACAATCAATTTTTCATAGTGTAATCATACTTTCTAATATTTAATGAACTACAAATGTCATTTTTATTTCACTGTACTATTTTAACTAATGTATCTTGCTTTTGTCATGCTCTATTATCAAGACTGACGTAAAAATTGGTCAACACAAAGGTATTCAAATCGATGCGAGTGAAATGGAAATAGAAAGGCTAATTCTCCTCCCGAATCATTTGTTATCACTTAAAAGTACCAACGTAAATGATTCAACATGTCATTGGAAGCTGAATAGGATAATCAATGTAAGAATTGAAAAACGTCTATGTATTCTTACTATATAATGTCTTTTTGATATTTTCAATATTAATCATTTTGCTAATGAAAATTTTCTTTATTAGTGTAACGAAAGAAAATATTTTCTTTCGTCTAGACTTCTATATTTGTTTGGAAAAATTCTTCAAGCCCAACTATCACATTTTTTTGCACTCCTCATCAAAGCGTATGTGCAACTGTCAAAAATATTTGACTCTTGAAAGTCTTGACCCTCCTTTTTTGTAGTCACAGTTTTAGATTCATTCACTGAATCATTCAACTTGTGGTATGAGTACAGTCGGTAAATGTACTGACTTACTATTAATAATACCAACGTAGTCTGCCTTAATTGTAAGAATTCAACCAGTCACAAGGACTGAAGGATTAAATGAATCATTCTAGAAGGATTTATGCAAGCTGAGATTGTCATCTGACACAACTGAGGTGTCATGAACATGAGGAGTGCAACAAAACATAAGGTCTTCAGTTAAATATTAGAAAGTTACTGGCCATACTTATAGCAAATTTCCATTATTTCTCCTTAACTGATTAGGTTGTCATTGACTTCATAAAATAGTTATCCTTCCTCATTATAGAATGTGATTTTAAACGTTTTTATATGTGCAGTAAAACATTTTATTATTTAAAGCTGGATGAACTTCGAGTTGGTGATCTTGGTAATGAAGGAAGCGATCAAACATCCTTTGAATTATGGAATGTATCAGGTGAAGATCCACTCAAATTAATTTTTCGAATCACTTGTTCTGAAATTATTAGCCGTAATGCATGGGTTGAGGACTTGAGATATGCAATCAAAGAAAAAAGTAAGTCTTGAAGTTCAGCATTTCATGTCACTCAAAAGTAAGCATATAGTTGGTGCGATTATCACCTAATATTTTGTTTTATAGATAACTCATGATAAATGGAAGAGATTTATTGCATTAAATAATCCACTCAGTCATATAAGCTTACGGTCAACGTAAATAAAGGTACAGTGGAGAAATGTTTAGCTTTAGATTAGGAAATTAACCAGTGGTTTATGCTGATTAAACACTGCATAGTGAGAACTATGATATGCAGGTTCTTTCCTATACTCGTTATCACTGAGGTAAGAAATAGGTATATACTGCCTTTTAGTTTGTGAGGCTTTATGGAACTAAATAGTTATTTCATTTCTTTTTGTCTATCACTTAATCATTAGTGAAAAGATTGCTTTCGAAGCAGTTTCGAGTTCATTACACTCTACTGACATCACAGTTTCATCTGAAGCATGAAATCTCGACAGTCCTCATATTGATGTTTGCAAAGCTGAAGTAAATCTGTGTAAACTATTACAGAAAACATTTATAAACAGATTACGTATTTCAGTGCAATGAAAATTATTATATGTGGTAAATGACTCAGGCTGTATTTTTCACTTAAGCTATTAGGCCAGTACAGTCAGTAATCTTACTGAAACTGCTTCTGTAAAATGTACTGGCTTCAGCTAACTTTTCTGTTTGTCTAGTTCATGTTAGTCTAATTACTTGGGACTTCAAGAAACTCCTAATTCTAAGACATAATTCAACAATGAAGTGATTGTACAAGCTGTTTTCCTGAGAATAAATGTAGTATACTAAATGGGGAAATATATAAAGCAGTGTTTAGTAATTAAGATTAGCAAATGCTCTATGCAGCTGAAAGTGATTAGACACTAAAGCCATTTATGTACATCAGTTTAGAATTCAGAAAAATTTACACATTCTCGTTTGACTATCTTAACAATAACTTTAAAATGATATTTTTCTGTCCTGTATTATTTTAAAAAAATTGAATCCCTAATTTTTTATGAATGTCCTAAATAAATCTGAATTTTTTGCAGGGATTGAGATAAACTTATTTAGTTCTTTATTTTATCTAACCAAGACACTTAAATTTTTCAGCTTATTTTTATTCAAACTGAAATGACTTGAAAACATACAAGTAAAAACCTATGGAACTAATCGTACTGAGAAACGTAGTATCCAAGAAAGCATTAGGTTGCTGTAATTGAATAAAGATGGAAGTCACAAATTACTTGAGTACTGCAAATGAAGCAATAAGTTTTATCTCAAAGTACTAACCAGTTAGGTGTTACTCACTTTTCCGACTGCATTCCAGGATTCACTTTCTCATAGATTGTTAGGTATGCTGAACTGTATCCGAAAATGCTGTTCACCTAATGTTAACGCTGAGTTCCACCTAACATTTATTTCTCAAACAAGCAATATGAATTATCAAACGAAACTCCCTTCTACGTTTAATTTCTAGAAAGAATGTGTTATCGTCTGATGATTTACCGAACTGTTCAAATCCCTAAAGACATTTCAGCCAATCCAACCTTGAGTTTGTCAGCCCGCTTATGAAACTAAGCTCCTACAAGACCTTAATGGTCAGTCTTTCCAAGGTGTGCAATCGAGTATTGCTTAAACCGTTTTATTCTGTTTAAATGCAGGAAGACCGACAGCTTGAGTACTGATGATTTCGGGGATATTTACATCTAAAAGTCTCAGATTTATTGGCTAATTTGTTCTGTAATGCGTAATTCACTTAAAAACATACCCTGTGTTTCCATATCTTTGGTATAACAGAAGTCTGTGTGATATGGGAAATTTAACCAATTTTTTACACTTTTAAACGGTTTTGTAATGTTGGATATACGTATGCTAAGATTTCAGCGAATGATCATCTAATTTAGGCAATTATCATATTGACAACTGTGCATATTCAGTATACAGGGAAAATCTTTCTAGTAAGTATTACTGACCCCAGTAAAAATTTTCGATGAACGAAATGTTCACGGGGGGAAACCTTTAGTTACATTAGTTTATCACTTCATTTCAAATTAGCTACCCACAAAAAGAGAAAAAATATAATTAATTCCAATGTTTATAAGGAACAATTATTGTAATAAACAAAAACAGTTGTTTTTTTTATAGACAGGAATACTAGAACAATATTCATCCATTACGTGACTTTAATACATGTTCTACCCTGAATATTATCAAAAATAGTTTACGTTCTTATAAGTGAATCACCCACTGAGTGTAATATTGAAGTAAGTAAATGTCCACAAATCATTCAAATTGAACTGCTGCACATTTGTCAATTGAATTTGTCACAGCTATCTTGTATTTCATTAGGATCCGACTAGAGTAATCTGAAAGTTAGCACTACTGATTGTAGTAGTACAATTTTTTAGTGCCTGAAGCTCTATCAGAGACTAAAACTCTGACCTTGGATAGGTCGTTTCGCAAGAAACCCTGAAGGGAGTTCCGTCGGACATTTTTAAAACTACTCACTTGAGAAATATATCAATATGATGGGTTCAGTCCCTTACAGAGTCGTTGATTTGCATTAGCGACAAATACCACACTAGGAAGAAATAGTCTCCCGGTGCTTCTAGCTTTCCTATGGTTCTCTAATTCATGTAAGCTCGTGATGAATACCAATTTGAAATCAAAAAATCACCAACAAACCTCCAAACTGGTTGAAAATATCTATTACTCAGGATCCGGATAATCATATTTCCTTGTGAAGTTACTGATGCACTGATGACAATGTCTAAGGTAACATTGTACCACTTGTCAGTAGCAACTCCAACTCGGAAAACGCCTAAGTCTGAACATATATAAATATCTATGGTATCTGTTACTAATTTGTCAACAGTTCACCCTCATCTGTAACTGTTTAGTTTGATGCACTTTTCAACATGTAAGGACCCTATTTAACTCATTCAGGGACTGATTCTTCTTATTCAAGTAAAGTAATTAATGCATCGATTCTTAATCGTAATAAGTTTAGCTTGTGGTTTAGTTTTCCAAAGCAGAAGTGCAAAAAACATGGTCATATTTGAATGACGAGAAAATTATCTTGTCAACCAACAATCTGAAGTATTCACTCCGGACTGAAGCCTTTCCTAACAGATATCAGCATCAAAAGCAAGCACAAATAGTGCAAATATTCTCAACTAAACTATTTTATGGCCACACGAAGTAATGCAACTGTAGCTCACTGAATAAATACATCCACTCAGTAGCTAAAATGTATTAAACCCTCTCCACCTAACCAGTTTGAGCAACAACATCATACGTTTTACTCACTGAGTGGTACGCAAATGTCCGAATGGCCATCAAGTTCCGCTTTTCGATTCATCTAACAAAACCTAAAGATGATGATTTCAACGAAAATACCTTGTTCCTTTCCCAACTCATTGGGAAACGTAACATTAAAGAAAAGACTTTTCAGTATTCTAAGCAGATAATTAAAATTAGGGTGTGGTTAAAGAAACAACCACCAGTACAAGAGAACACAAATAACCTTGATTACCTCATCCTTCAAATCTATCGATTATCTAACTCAGTGCCTGAAAAGCCCTGTTCTTACTATTACCAATGAAACTACCTACTCAACCGCCTTAGCCATATTCAATAATATATATATTATTTGTCCCTTGGGTTCCTAGTGGAACATAGGGCTTCACTAGCACATCTCCATTCCACTCTCTCCTCTACAATCTTTTGAACCTGGCTCCACAACTGCCCACAAACTCTCATTTCCTCCTCACACGATCTCCTCTATGCCACCCTCGACTAGGTAGGACTCCCAACTCGCCGTTTCCCATCTAGGTTCCACTCGAGCAATTGGCCTGACACCTGATGTCCCCAGTCAGCCTTCTCAGTGTATGCCCAATCCATCTCCACTTCCTTCCACTGCATATTTGTTGAGCAATAGCTAGCTTCTCAGTTGGTTCGTTACCAGCCAGAGTTCCTTGTTGCTTATACTTATTATTCTGGCCATCTGAGCCTCAGTAACGAGCCAGCCTAGGCAGTTGTTGATGAATATCTGCAGTTTGTTGGAAATCCCTTTCGTAACGCGCCAAGTCTCTCAACCTTCACCTAGGAGCACTGACTTGACTGAAGTTGGTGTTGAAAATCCGGATCTTGTTCCACATACTGAGTCCAGAAGATCGCCACACTGGTTTCAGGTTAGTGAATGCCTGTCTTATTGTCTTTCCAATCCTGGCTGCTTTGACGTCCTCGTCTGGGCTGCTGCCTGTATTTGAAATAGTGCTGCCTAGATAGGTGAAGGAGGCTACTTCCTTTGAGCTTCTCCCGTTGATAGTGATTGGAGTTTGTTGTTATTGGTGGTGGTGTTGGTTGGGTATCCTCATCACCTCCGTCTTCTCTACGTTCACTTGAAGTCCCATCTACCTTCGCTGGCTCTTCTGTCAACTGTAGGTCTTCGAGTTTGTGGGACATTAGACACAGGTCATCGGCGAAATCCAAATCTTCTAGCATCCTTTCTCCGGTCCAGCCAGCGTATCCCCCTCTTCTCGCTCCTCAATGTTTCTTGTATGATCCAGTCCAGTCGACCACAATCAGGAATATCATGGATGATAGTAGACAGCCTTGTTCTACCCCTGTCTCCTGTCCTCACTTCAAAGGCATCACTGAGCTTCCCATTGTGAATTACTTGGTATGTGGCTTCTTCATATAGTTGTTGAATGAGGTTGATAATGGTTTGTGGTATTCCGTAGTGTTGAAGCTATTGCCTACTGAATTACTTGTCGGTCGACGTTGTCAAAGGCCTTTTCAAAGTCGGTGAAGTTGAGGTGGTGAGTTGACTGCCATTCTATACTATATATATATAAAATAAATTTTCCGTAGTGACCAAAAACAACATCATCCTGTCCATTCTAATATCTGCTACCAAGCTGCTTTACACTATAATGTAGTAAGACTGAATACAGGTGAAGCAGGATATTTCTTTATGTTCCTGGGTGGAATAAATGACGAATTAATTACTATTCCACAGCATCCGAATTGTAAAGTGACATGGTTTAGTAATTTCAAGACTCTATCGTCTATGTCAGTGATTGCTTTCACATGCCTTAGAGGAAAGAAAATCAATTTTCGCAGTCACAATAATGACGAAACTGTAAGTGATCATGTGTATGTGTTGATTGGAGTGTTTATGTTCGTCAAAATTATACCCTAACCATGTTACAGTGCATGACATTTTACTTGCTTAGAGATGTTGATGTTGTGTGCATATTACCTTCAAGTAAATTCCACTTCCTGATACATTCTACTGGGTTAGAATACTTAGCCAAATACGGTTCGAGATTTCAGTCAGTTCCTCTTCCCCTTCCTATCTACGTATGACTGTGCACATGCACACAGAATTTACTGTGTGCCTAATTCAAATGCATGCGTACATCCATTGTGGGTAGACAAATAAAATTCAGTGAATAATCACATGAATCCTAAAAGAAACAAAAGTATCGCAAAGACCATGCTTGTGCCTACGCAATCGATTTCACATTTATTATTATCCCCATAGCTTCAGAAATTAAGGTCACTCGATCAGAAACTGACTAAGAGACAGATAAACAGGATTTTGCAAGATATAAACAGTTGTTTCGATTTCATATCAAAAAGGAATAAATTTTGTTCGACTAGTTCGGAATTATAAACCGAACAGCTTTGTACTCTTGCCGCCTTATTGTTTTAAAAAAACATTTTACACAATCCTGTTCATCATTCATTATATAATTTGACATCATTCCTTTTTTACCTTTCAAAATTATAACATCACATCATTTCATCAGTTGAATGTTCAACAGAAAGTACAAACGTTGCCAAAACAGTTGTTGATTCGCATATAAACAGGTTTTGGGATTTACAGAAACGCTTCACCGGGATTATGGAACTTTCACCATTTCATAGTGAATCCGTTAGTGAGATCTATTTTGATGCGCTCGAAAATGTGCAGCATATCAGTTCACAAAGTGTTGAATCATCACAGTTGTCGCAAACAGATAAAGATGGTCTAATAAGAAGTGAGTTTCTTGCTTAATATTTGATCTGAGTATGAAAGAAGTCTTTAATTAGGAACTCTTTATTCTGGTAAAAACCTTACAGGGAATGTTATATTTGCGTTAGTCCATTTCTTCCCGTTGTTAGATAGTGTAACAAAGTGAGACAGCTTGTGAACGCTAGTTTATCATAAGCCAATATTTGGAGGACACTCATTGAGTTATATGTGCAGTCGACGAGTCACGAATGGAGACAAATGCCCGTCATAGCATTACTGAATGATATATAGGTAAGGTCAGAAAGGTAATCAAGGTATTCATACAAGAATTCAATACCGTAACAGAGAATGGTCATTTTGATTATGGAAGAAAGAGTAATCGATCGGTAAATTTTATAATTAGTTTAGTTTATTGTAACAATTCTGATAGAAGTAGTTAGTTAGCTTCAATATTATTACCACCGTCCACTGTTCAAATCGACACTATGGTTGCCAAGCTTATCCGAAGAAAAACAAAATAATAAACCAGCAAAGCTTACTAACTTCTAAAATGAATCATTTCTACTGGTAGATTTAGTCTGACATCAAGCAAAGCTTTAAACTTCTTTCGTTTTATGTCGGGAATATGTTGCCATTGCCTTATTAGTTTGTTTGCGTGATGCTTGTAATGTGAATTTGATTTTTGTTGTAATGGTGTTGCTTTGAAAACACTGAATACTGTTGATCGGGAGGCATCATTCTTAACTCCAAGTCTTTATTTATGTCTTGATAAATATTCTAAAATAAAGCAAATCATTTTTAAGAACCCAGAGTTCAGTTATTCATAAAAAGAACTCATAGGCAAGAAATGTCAAGATATTAAAAAACCTCTATCAGCAAGTAAGCAAAACACTCATCAAGGCGGCCTCATATTTTTTTATGCAGCTTAATTGCCACATTACTCACTCATTTAATAGATACTGAAAGCATCTGCGGTCCAGGGACTACACAACAAATCATAACTAGATTAAGCTGCGTGTGACTTCAGATAACTCAAATGAACGTCGCAATGACTCTAAACTAGAGAAAGGAATGATTTTTACGAAGCACCACTTTCACATTAACTTCTTTTGACGACAGTGTCGATAACAACAACAGCCTAAGTGATTGTTCAGAAGAAAGGTAACCAGTAGGTTAAGTTATTATGTTACTAATGTACGGTTGGATGTTAAGAACTTGAATTCATTATGCTTTTATGCATATCAGCAGTCTATAACTTCAATATAAAGTAAGAACCTATATACTGTCTGTCAACACAATAATAATCGAGCAATCTTTGGCACTAGATACGACATTTCGCATGGCAAACCTTCAAACCAAGCGGTAAAAAAATTCCTGACGTAAAATTTGGTCCATCAATAGAGACAAACAAAAAGAAGGAACGCTTGATGGCATACGGTCTGGGCATTGTAGCTCAGTTAGTAGGGCGATGGGCTGAAAACATAGAGGCTGCTGGTTCAAATCGTAATGAGACCAAGGTTTTCATTTGGCAATTAATCACAATGCTGTATCAACAGCATCACTCTACTAATCCACAAACCTCTTAAATGGCTTTATTGGGTTATTTTTTCCCCACTATGAAGTAAGTCCAGCTGACTTTTTACGTTTTAGGAAAGAAAAATTCATGCAGTTTTCGTTGAGAACAAGAACGGAATTTAAACAAATTTATTTTCCTGAGCATTTTATGCTGACTGGCAATCAAGTAAAGCATAACTGCAAGCAAAAAAATCTAAGGGGACTTCTCGCTGCTCCAGAAATCACTAATCCTACATGTTGAAGCTTCCTAAATGGAGTAATAGAACTCATTTATGTTAATTGATGGTCGATGGTGCTTCCTCAAAATTTATTGTTCAGTGGATTTACATACTAGGAAGACAGATTTGAGATTGTATACATGACGTATATGATACTGAAGGAAAATGCTCTATATACTGACCTTTTCTCTAATAAAACGATTTAACGTAACTCCATCATTCGAAAATCATTTTATATCAGGTATTAGAGCTAAATTTTTGATTCAGTGGAAACCGTTTTTTCATAAAAGAACTGTGACCACTTCTCTGGGTAAATTCAGTGTTAAGTTCAAAGAGGTAAATTAAAATGAGAAGAAAAATAGCGTCAAAACTCACTTAATTTGGTGATCCTTAGAAAAAAGTAACTGTAAACGAAGAAGCATAAAATTTAGTTCATGAAACACACAACTTCCCCATGAATGGAATATACCATACAATATAAAGGCTTCGAGATAGCCATAGTTTCGATGGTAAACAATCTTAGCTCTTAATTGCAGATTACAACAATTCTCTTAGTAAGGCTTTAGCATATTTTCGGAGTTGATTAAAAATACTCATACCATCTGAACTTGTCCATGAGTTTAAGGTCTCTATTCAAACGAGACTCAAACACAAAGGCTAAGTAATCTCAGGGAATAGCTACTAGTAATAATACCGTAAACAGCTTTATTTGAGATAAATTCTTAGTGTTTGATGAACAACTGAAAAAACTGTTTAACCGATAGACCAGAATTTCTACGATGCACTTTTATACGTATATTAGAACTATACTTCAGTTAAGATACACCTTGCTTTGATATAAACAGAAATCTTAGGATTATTTTGTAGAATGCTTTACGTATGTTGCGTTTACACCTGAATATTGAACAAAGTAAGAACTACAATGGGATCTAGATTAGTATGCTTTGGATTACCAACCAGTCTACCTGCTGAAACAGTCGGGATGGAATCAATCACTTAGGCAGCTTATAGCACTTTTTTCTAACTAACCTGAATTGTGAAAAGCAATATCGCTCAGAGCATCAATAATACTATCCTTACTATTTGTACAAAGTGCATTTAACTTGTGCAGTACATTGGAACAAACAAAATGAAAAACATTTTATTTTATTCCTCAACATTCCAATCTTGATAGAACGACTATTTCAGAGGGTATGAATCATATGTTAAGCTTTCAGACTGCTAGTCAAAAAGGCAACAGAAGGTAATATTTTTACCGCTTCATTAAATTTTCACATGAAACAAAGATTAACATAATTCAGGCGAGTGATTTTATAAACGGTTGAAGAAACTTATTCAAGTTGCGCAAATAGGGTACCGAAAGTAGGATAAGGATAACAATGAAAAATTTGTGCATTATGGAATGGATTATTGTATTATAAGTAAATTTTCAACGAAAGCATATACACAATATTACCAAAATAAAAATTTATCATTGTATGTAAACTTTGTATTAAAAATTTGCTTATAACACATAGGATAATGAAATACACAGCGAAGTGACGTTTCATCAGAAAAGCGTAGAAGTGAATTCCAACTGATACCAATATCAGTTACCATTAATGGTGTTATTCATTATATCAGGAGTTATTTGAAAATGAAGTCATAATTTATTCATAAGAAATTAGATTTACTTATTCTTCTTTGAAAGTAAACACAGTTCTTATAGCCTGAAACGTGCAAACATAAGAAGTGAATCTGAAGATAACTCTAGAAATCACTGAAATAATCAATTAGATTTATTTATTTTGGCTGGAAAAAGAGCTTTGCTGTAAAACAGCGAAACCTAATTCACTATTTCAGTGGTTGTTAGGGGGAACTATTACACAAATTCAATGGTAGATGCAGTTCTACTCGCTTGTAAGTCAAAAGAAGATAGTAGAACACAAAACCAACAAAGTTTGGTTTTGAAGACTTACACATTCTGTACGAAACTCTCACTTTGGATCATCTCATTCTTTGTTGGCTGAAGCAGGTCTAGTGAAAATATTTCAGTAATAGGATATCTAACTTGCAAGGCGGAAAATATATGACAGGAAATAAGGCTTACGAAAGAGACCTCATTGCTCAATTATAACCATATTAAGTTTATCCAGGTATAAACAAATAAAAGTAAAATGTATGAGTGAGGCATCAGCAAAAAGCATACTAATGGAAGCATCAAAAAAGTAAATTCTCCTTTGTACTGCTAACCAGGGAAGGGTTCACAATAGGGTTAGGATTGGGCTGGTATTTGAAACTGATAATGCTTTTATCAACAACCACAGGGAGTAAGAGAATCTCTCAGAGCAAATGAGACCGGGAATTTACCGTATCAAACTCCACGTAATGGCTGAGAGATAAAATCAGTCAACCATGAGTAACAAAACTACATAGTCAGGTAAATCTAAGATGGTAAACCCTATTAAGATAGCAAATGTAGGGTAGAGTTCAGATCCAGCACTGGATCCAGTCATAAAATAGATTGGGGTAAATTGACCGTCATAAACAATACCTTGATATAGTAGTGGGATAGAATATTATCAGAGGCTTTTTTCTCAAATCAAAATCAAGCTGGTGTGGCACGAATGACTCAATACCTGTTTCACCAAACTAGGAAAGTTAGCATAAAATCCCACAAAAAATATGGAAGAAATAGAACTGTGAAAGATGAAGTTACAAGTTATAAGGTTATCTTTGATAGGACTGTGTTGGAAACGTCATCCAGTAAATAATACCACTTCATTGGGTGACTTAACGTACAGATTAACAAGAAGTTATACTTTGAAACAACAGCCAAGTTAAGTTCTGAAACCAGTTACTCCCGTTATGCTACTCTGGGTCTTGTTAAAGAATATAACCATTCTGAAGCATCCAACATTTTCTCTTGTGTAACAAACAATGTTATCTACTGATAACCTTTTGCTAAAAGTGCGTGGGTTGGTAATCTTTTTGTTAAGTGACTTTAAAGACTGCCTTGTCAAGTGCTGAGATAGCCAATTATATTTCTATATTTTACGAAAAACTGCCTTCTCAGCCGAAGTGCAGAAAACTGAGTGATTATCTGAATAGTTGTTTAAATGGCTTTTGAAGTTACTCGTTTAGTTGAGTAACTTTAAATGCAACCCTGATAACAACTGAAACAGTCAATTATCTTTTTGTATTTAGGTTGAAAAGGCAGATTTTCATTGCCGATTATTACGAGAGAGCTAGTTTATGGCTGAAATTCTTTTATTGTTTTTGCTTGAAATTCGTACACGACATGAAGTGTTTAAAAAGTGAGTCGACAACGCAGATAACATATTGTGTACATAACAGACCATTGATTGGTTAATTTTTTCCATCCCCTTTAGAAAGGAGTGTATGTCTTCTTTGTAACAACCATTTTTGCAATCCAGGGAAATTATATGAATGATGTCATACTTTACGGTTAACACACATGGAAGAATTACTGGTGAATAGTATTGAAACTCTCTTTTTTTCAAGAATATTTTTCATAACAATTTACCTCAGATCTCAAGTTACACAACTACCTACCATGTTGCTATATAAGTTACAAGGCTATGGGGGTTGATTAGACTACCTGCATGCCTAAACCGAGGCAGTCGAGGTTGTTTTTGAAACCATAAAATATGATTGTTTGTTCTAGTGAGTCTCAGCTTCACTTTAATCACATTTCATCCAGGATGAAAGCAAGATACACAGAATATCCTTGACCGTCTTCGGTGTCCCTTGGTTTTCATCAAGGCGGCTTGTTTGAAACCTTGACTAAAAGACGAAGACCTTACAATGTTATGTTAGTTTGTACAACAAAACTTCATTAACAGATACCAAACATTAGTGCGCACTCCAATAGGACTTGGATTACCATGTAGTTACAGAATATTCTTCTGCACCTAAATTGTATATTACGAACTTCGTTTACTTATATTTCAGCCACTTTTAACCAGAAATCAACCTCATCATCATCGTATTATACTGCTGATGAACCAGTGGATGATGTTGGAAAAGACCGAATAGCATCAGCTAATCTTTTCGGTGAGTTTTTTTCATGATCAAAGTGTACTTCTACAAATCAATCTTAATATTTGTATAGTAGAGGCGAAAGTCGAATACAGGAGTAAACCTTGGGCATTGTAGTAGATTTTTATTCCATTTTACGCTGTTAATTAAATGTGTCGTACAATAAAATAGTATTATTTACTGAGTAACATTGCGGGCAAAATTTATTGTCCATATTCACCGACTGACCAAAGTCATAAAAAATGATTATCACTTATTATGATTCCCATTCACAGCTCACAAACTTAGACATTAAAACGGAATTCGTAAGTGCAATGAGAAATACTGTAGGTATAAAACTAAGGCATTTCTAATGAAAATTTCGCTGAAACGGTTTTATTTAACTAGTTTACTTGTGAGCAGCAAACAAGAGAGCAATGAATAGTGGGTTTAAAGTAAGCTTATGTACATAAATACCTGGGTAATATGTAAAGACACTTATTGTTTTTCCTTTGCTCTTTTATTTCCCCATCACATAAAGGTAATTATGAGTTGACTTTATACTTCACATCCTATTTAGTGCATCATCTGTAAGCCATAAGCCTTTTCTACGCAGTACCGAAAGATGCATGTTAATGTTAATGTACATTCCAGTCCTGTCTAACCAATATTATATATATATATATATATCCCTGTACGCTTTGAAAATGAATCGCTGAATAACATTTTTTACACGATTCAACTCAAGTTTTCGTATTGTTTCAGCAATTCCTCGAGTGGCCTTTGAAGTCATTTCAAGTTGACTGTATTTTCTGATTCTCTTAGTAACGCGTATTTATATTAGGCTGTTTGCAGCCACAGGATAAAAATGAAGTAATGTTTATTTAATCTGTTTCGTGTTGGAAATGGTTAACAGGTGAGTATATTGTATGAACGATATTCAACACGTGACAGTGAACATTGCTCACGTTGTCATCGTAGAGAAAAAAATACGTGAAATACGTATACATTCATTGACTACTGGAGAGCGGCCAATCCCATGTTATCTGGTACTGAGTGCTGACCAAGTTATATCTATCATTTGCAGCGTAGCCATCAAACCAGGTGGCTCACCATCTCAGTGCAGTTTGATGGACGTGAGTTTCATGGAGGTAATCGGCATGAAACTCCTGACCTGGGTTTAATGCTTGCTGGCACTCGTAATCAAGGCATGTCTACAACCTAGAGGGAACTGATATCCCCTTTCCAATTAGCACGGTGGTAACGTCACTGGCTACAAAAATGGGTGACGAGGATATGAATAGCACGGGGAACATCATTTCCGTCGAGGTTGCAGATACACTCTGCTGACGAATGCCAACAAGCACGAAACTTAGGCCATACAGGCTTTCCTGATGATCGCTTCCAACCAGCTAACATGAAACGCATCCGTCAGATGTACTGCAAAGTAAATAGTATCAGTTACTGGATAACATTTTGAGCATAGTTAATTACTGATAGTTACATTTAAGTACCTTCAGAACTTTGAAACCTGATTTTTATTGTAACCGAATTAGTAGTTGTCGTTTCAGGAAATATTTAACAGTTTTGGTGTTGGATGGTAGTCAGTAAACACTCTAGACCTAGTATTTGTGTTTGTTGGCGCTCAGTAGCTAGGCATATCTGCAACGATGAGGGAACTGATGTTTTATCGGTGGTTCGAACCTGCATCACTCAGTGCTGCATTCAGAGTCTTAAACATTAGGCTATCCAAGACACGACAGACCCTTTGTGCAACTGGAGTGTATGCAGTATTTGGTAACCAATAAATAGGCAACCCATGAAACTGTTTATTCCTTAGTGTTACAGCGACTAACTTTTGCAATATGATTATCTCAGACACTTGCTGTCACGCTTTCAGTATGATTATAATAGTTCTGGAAAGTGAAAGACATAGCGTTGACTTTTAGTGGAGTTATTCGAATATCTTTCTGAAGAACTCTGTGATATGGAGAAGTGAAGAGGGATCTCTTTCAGCTGCCTCTTTTTGAGAGTAACTCACCTTGTGATATACACAACTGAAAAGTTTTTTGATGAACTGTTAACGTTGAAATCAGATTTTGTCAGCTGACTGAGATGAAGTAATCCTCTTGTTATCCACTTCTCAAAATTTATTACGGCATAGTGTCATTCATTGTCATTTCATATGTATGCCCTCAACCTTTTTGTTAGAGATTGATTAACACTTTACTAGCATGAAAATTCAGTACTTATTCAAATTCTTAACTGTATGTTCAACAGTATTAAATTCACCTTCATTAATTCCTACTGTGTTTGTAATTCAATATATTCTTCATTTCTAATCCACGACAAAGAATCCTACTCAACTTTGGATGGTGTGCAAACACCTTTTTCTGAAGATCAACAGTCTCTTACCGATTTTCAAATGAGTCCAGACAGTAAGTTACTGATCACTGATTTGAAAACTATTTTGCTTTCAAGTGATTCCTGAATGAATGCTGAATCCCCATGTTTTCATTGTTGATATACACTTGAACACGTTCACTCTAATATGATTGGATATCTTTAGCCACATACAATCTTAATTTCTTATTTTCATTGAGTTTAGTGCGCAAAATTAAGGAGGTTGATGTGGAAAATACCTGATCCGACATAATGCCAGAGTATATAACCAGTAGGATTCATAGCTATTAGCAAAATGGAAATAGCCAAGACTTAAATATATTCAAGTACTTTGTGATTCACCCTTGATTAGCGAGCACGATAAAACAAGCACATGTGATCATCAAATGGAAGGAGATGCAGTTTGTGTTAGAATTTCAAACAGCCTGTCCTGAAAGGTTAGTAACTCTGGCGGTTTGTAAAATAACTTATTTCAACTATTTTTCTACGTTGCATATAAATCATCAATGGAATCATAACAAACCAGAAAAAAACTATTTTACACTAGCTGAAGACATCTAAGTAGTGTGGACTCAAAATCGTTTGCAGGATAGAAGCATTAATAAAGTGATCTTGCGAAGAGTCTTCGCTATTCAAACACTGGTTTTTTATCCAATGGTTCGCTTTTTCTAACTTCGTTTAGTTAGTGAAACACGATGATATGTGAATGTGAAATGAAAACTTAGATTGTAATAATATTTGCACTATAGGTTACTCAACATCCCTTTTGGGAATTCACTTTACCTGTAAGTTTCTGAAACCGTCTAAATAACCGTTTAACCTGGCTAGCCTTTGTTTCTGAAGAGTGAGTTGACAGAAAATAGAGATATCCATGAGATAAAATTAAGCTTCATATCACTTTTTAATCAGAAACTTTCCTCTTAGAGTGCTATGATAGAATAACCGTTACAGTAGACACTTACGAATGGTAGCTGAGACGAAACTGACTAAAATTGAAGTCAGCTTTAGACCTAGTTAACCACTAGATCTTGAAACTCATTTGGTACAGTGCTACATTGGTGTCTTGTAGACTACTGGTTTGAGTTTCAACTCACTTCACTTTTCCTTTACAGTTACATTTGCTATCACCTTGCATTAAGGACTGTCTGTCTCTTTGGACTATCTCGGAATAATAAAGAATTACGAGAAATCAAATGGATGCTTCTTTGAGAAATAAAAACAAAGCTCTGAGTTTATTTCTGGGATGAAAAGCTTTTCCTCAATAACCATTTGTCTCAGAATATACGCATCACAATCTACAAGACTTTGTTTCTGAATACTCTAAACATGTTTGTGGACTCATATAGACCATTTACGCTTATTTGGCTGGTAAACTGAAATTGGTTTCCTTTAGACCAGGGGATAGGCTTACAAAATGTCTTACAGTTGTCATCAAACGTAACTTCTAAATGTGCAGTTATTTCTGTAATACTTGTAGATGACGAACTCACTCATCACTGTATTAAACCCATGTCCTGTTTTTATCAACTGACAAACGATCGCAGTAAGGAATCGTTTGTGAATTGACAAAGAAGAAAACATGGGTTCCAGCAATTATCAGCTTTTATTAAACTTGAGTATATCATTAACCCCAGTGCACAGCAATTCTGTTGATTAAATTTTCATATGTTTAGGTGAAAAAAGATGTGCATTGTAATTTTTTTGAACTTTTTTTTCCCCTAGTTCGAGGAAATCAATCTCAGTTACCACTGAGATCATCTCTGGCAGGAAATGATACCCTCGTAAAGCAGCTAACTGTACATGCAGGTGAACAAATACAATTTAATGCTTCATTCACTATATCTGGTCCGGTTGCTTATGAAACAAGTTGGTTCATGAACGGTGCTCCAGTGAAACCCGATATAGGTGCTGAAATGATACTGTCAGATCGTGATACACGTTTACTGATAGCAAATGCTGATCCTTTAATGCACTCTGGTACATATACATGTAAATGTCGTCTTTTCGAAGGAACGGAAACAGCTGTCTATTTCTGCGTTAATGTCCTAACAGCTAAACTGAGTCAAAGTGATTCCAATGAAAATGAATCAGAGCAGCTGAAATTAACAAACATAATTAAGTCCAACATCTTCTGTCCAGTAACTAAGGAATTAGACCTACCAATAGGAAAATCACTTGAAATAGAAGTGAAGATCGATGAAGAAAATGTGTTGAAATTTATGAATACTGATAATATCCAAGTCCAGTGGTATCAAGATGGGTTACTTCTTAAACCTGGATCAACATGTGAAATGATCAAATCAAATGACCGTTTCATCCTCCGTTCAACCTCCAACAACTTACAGCCTGATAAACTTTACACATATACATGTGCTTTAAAATTACCTGACAATTCCTTTATATCGACAGCACCGAGCTTAACGATACCAGTTCGTTTGCATTATCCAACAGTTAAGGAATTAGAAAGTGAATTAAAAATGAATATGCATAAAAATTCTTCAAAAGTCAACAATATTTCGATACGTCACGTTGAACTAACAAAGAATGAAGCATTCCGGCTAACTGTACCTATCGAAAACAATCCTCAAAATCAAGATTGTATAGTGTGGTGGACAAATAAAGACAAGTTGTTAGCAGGTAGTCATTTGCCCCCAAAAAATACAGATTATGAGTTTTTAGTTGAGCCCAATTTAAAAGCCAATGAGCTCATGTTTAAACTTTTTAAACCGTCTACAGAAAGCGAAGATTCTGGAACTTATAGGTGTTGGATAATTTCACAATCAGTAAGAAATAACATTGTTCATTGTGCTGATATCACAGTCATTGTAAGTAATGTTGTAAGTAATGAGAGACACAGCGAAGAAGAAGGAGAGGAAAGTGAAGGAATGAAAACTAAACTTGAAGAGGAAAGACAATCACAGGAAAACGGAATTAAAGAGGAAGAGACTGAAGGAGAGGGACAAAAGGAAATAGGCGAAGAAACAAAACTGCAGGATGAAACAGATGAAGCTAAAAGGCTGGCTGAAGAAGCCGAATCAAGACGTCGACAGAAAGAGGAGGATGAGGAGAAGAAGAAGATGGAGGAATTGGAACGAAAGAGGAATGAAGAAGAGGAAGCTAAGAGGCTTGCTGAAGAAGCCGAATCAAGACGTCGACAGAAAGAGGAGGATGAGGAGAAGAAGAAGATGGAGGAATTGGAACGAAAGAGGATTGAAGAAGAGGAAGCTAAGAGGCTTGCTGAAGAAGCCGAATCAAGACGTCGACAGAAAGAGGAGGATGAGGAGAAGAAGAAGATGGAGGAATTGGAACGAAAGAGGAATGAAGAAGAGGAAGCTAAGAGGCTTGCTGAAGAAGCCGAATCAAGACGTCGACAGAAAGAGGAGGATGAGGAGAAGAAGAAGATGGAGGAATTGGAACGAAAGAGGAATGAAGAAGAGGAAGCTAAGAGGCTTGCTGAAGAAGCCGAATCAAGACGTCGACAGAAAGAGGAGGATGAGGAGAAGAAGATGGTGGAGGAATTGGAACGAAAGAGGAATGAAGAAGAGGAGGCTAAGAGGCTTGCTGAAGAAGCCGAATCAAAACGTCGACAGAAGGAAGAGGATGAAGAAAAGAAGGAAAAGCCTTCAAAATTAGAAAAAGAGAAGGGTGAAGATACTCATATGAAATCTCCGGAGAAGGAAGGAAAGAAGCCAAAAGATATAGGCAGGGAAGAAGCTGAGGAGAAAGGGAGCGACTCGGAGGAGGAAGAGAAGAAGAAGAGAAAAAGAAGCAAACCAGCCCTGAAGGGTGGAACAGCACATAGAACTAAACAAATAGAGCAATCAGATAATAAAATAACTGAAAAAGATAAGAGTTGCAACAAAAAAGAGGAACAATTAACTGAAGGTGAGTTAGAAATTCAAGAACAGATAAAAGAGAGTGATAGGCAAGAAGACAAAGCGATTCAGCTGAAGAAACCTGTTGAAAAAGATGACATACTTGGAGATCAGCTACAGATGACAGGGGAAAGTATGATGACAAACTACTTACAGATAAAATCGCATACTCATGAGGACCAAGATAATACAAAGCATTTAGTTGAAGCATCTGACGCTATCCAACTTGAACAAAGTAAATCAGAACTTGAGTCATCTGAAGATAGGGTTGTGAAATTCGACAATATAACCAGTCGTAAAGATAAGAGGGAGAAATTCGAGTCTCAAAATACAAATGTAACAGAGGAAAAAATCACGATATGTAATCTTAAAATAAAGTCACAAACTGATGATAATCAGTTAGGTGCCTTAAAGCTGGATGAAAACTCTGATGTTCAGAAGTCTAAAATTGACAAGTCGGAAATTAAGACAACTAAGGAAGATGGAGAAAAATCTTATCGGAAAATCCATGGAAGTAAGGATGAGGAAGCAAACAAAAAGGAAAAACATAAAGAAAGAGAAGAACCGAAGGATCGAAACACACTTTATGTCGCTCAAGAAAGCAGAACAGAGTCATCAGACAGTTATGAACCAAAGTTTGAACCTACTAATAAACAAGATCGAAAACTAAAGCGTAGAGAAAGTAAGGATAAAAAAGAGGCCAAGGTCTCTATTGAGAAGAAATCAGATGCCGATACTTCTATGGATTACCAATTCATTTCCGTTGAGAAAGATGGTCAAGTTTCAGAGTCTATTTGTGCTAGAGAAATATCATACCAAGAACAATCAAAAGAAGAAAATATAGAGTTGGAAATGCATGTAAAACAAACTGAAAATGTAGAGGATACTACCAGTTACACGTCACCTGGAGCAGTGCCAGTGACAAAAGACCAGATGGAAGAGAATGAAGATTCCCGAAAGAAACATGAAGAACAGAATACAGAAAAGAGGGCCAAAAAAGACAAGCCGAAGAGGAAAAAACATCACGAACGTGAGCTTACTAAAGATACGACTAATTTAGAATCGGAAATCAGAAAGGAATCTAAAATATCAGGCGGACAAGACAACGAAACAACTGCACTTATTGGAAACGATCAACAGCAACAAAATCGTAAAACTCAAAAATCCCTAGTAGGGATAGAAGATGATGTATCTGAAGACGAAAAGCAAACACTAAGTACTGAAGAAGAATACAGGAATGCTATGGGGAAAAATCTGAAGGTCGATGAGAAGGAAGTGGGAAAGAAGATGAAGAACCGACGTAAAAGCAAAGAAGTGAAAGAATTAGGTAAGCTGAGCGTATTCCGAAAAATAGTAAACGTATGCATTTATTTACAAGTCGCTAGTCTCAGGGATTTTGGTAAATTGTGTAGATAAGGGGCTAATGAACACTTTTCTTGTTTCTGCAGTCTCACTGTCTTTCACTAATATCTGTCTTTCTGGAAATTCCTATTCGTCTCGTTTTTAAGCAGAAGTCAAAGCTAATTTTGACTCAGTGATTATTTCGATGATCTAACTAAGTGACGTTTTACCATTTATTTACCATGGAATAACGTAGTTTTACGGTTAACAGGTACAACATGAAACCAGCATTTTTATCAATCATATGGAGTTACGTAACTCTGGTGCTCATTATTTATGAGAATTGGAATAAATGCAATGTAAGTAATGCAGTGCTCGAACGGTTACTCTGATAACTGCTAGGGTAACTAATCACATTTTTTTATTTGAGTAATTTTAAAGGTCACCCCAACAGCAACAGAAATAATCACTTAGGGTTATTTAGTTTAAAGAAGAAAAGCACTTTTCTGTTCGCAATTAACGAATCTGTTAGCTATTCTAGTGGCTAGGTTACTCTGATAGTCACCCTAGCAATGACCAAATAATCAATCAGATTTCTCTAATTTTGCCAGGAAAAGAGTGTTTTCATGAAACTGAAAAAAGGAAGCAGCTATTTCAGTAGCTGTTTGGGTGGCCTTTAGAGTCATCCCTTAATGTGGTTGAAAAACTAGGTTCCCGTAAGAATATTGAAATCTGTTTGGTCAGTACAGTAATTGCTGGGGTGAGCCCCGGATTCACCTCACTTGGGAATTATGAACCCCATGTTACTATTAGAGTCATTCATTGTGGTTGTCTTTTTCATGAAATACCAACTTCCGAACAGAAATATAGAAACCTTATTGTTTATTTTAACAGCTGCTGAGGTGGGATTTGAAGTCATTCTAAAATGCATATGGTTAGGATATTGTGACTCTAATGACCACAACAACTATTGAAGTAGAGATTTAAGTTTCTTTATTTCATGAAAAAGTCAACTTTCTGGCAGGAATGGACATATCTAATAAGTAATTCCTTCAGTTATGAGGCTGAACCTAAGCAATTTCACTATGGCCATTCCTTATCTTAGTCAGTGGCATAGTTAGCCAAATATATAAAGCTGTGATTGGTCTAACCCACGAGCATAATTATCTCAGTGTATTTCAACAACCTGGCAGTACACTGGATAAACTCAGTGCCTGTGTTTATGTCACTGAAAGATTTTGAAAAAATGCTTTTCAGGGGGTCCAGTTTGTCTTACTTTGGGGCTAATTATTTCTTATATTGATTTCCAAACTCATTTTTATAGCTTTTTGCAATTGAATCATGTACCAGACGTTTATATAAATAACCAATAAGGATATCTGTTTTTTGGAGATGTTATTTGTAGAAATTTTAACGGTTGCATTAATGACACATCCCACTAGTCATTTATAGAATACATTCATTTTGCTTTTTCTGTTCCATTGAGTTTTACCACTAAGAGTTGAATAGTATTACTACTAACAGTATCTCAATCAAAAAGAATACTGGTCACTAGCTTTTTATGACGAGGAGTAATTACCATAAACACTTAGCTCATCACTACATAGCAGGTTGACAGACTTTGTACACATCAATCGCTAGATTCGATGTGTTAACTGGGCAGTATCTTTATCACCATTAGTCCTAACAGTTTAGGGTTTGAACCCACATCAGTTCATCACTGCATAGCTGAGGAGTTCCAAGCGATGACAAAACAACTGTCCAGCATTACCTAGTTTCGTAGCTGATGATTATCTGTTATCATAACTAATTTGAAACCCCAAATCTCTCAGTGCAGTTAACTTACAGTGTTCGACCACACTATCACAAGGTAGACATAATAATCATTTTGGTGAACAAACCATCATGACAAATGTTTTGCCATATCCTTATCGACCTAGTATTTAGAAGTAATGAACTTTAAATCCCAAAGCATGTGTATACGATCCAGTCTGATGTGAAATACCAATAAAAATGAGTGATAGGCTCTGACACTTTAATTTATGCATTTGGCAATTCCGGAATTTCAATTTAACACAACTTCCTCTCGTATGTTGTCGTACAAGAAGAACAGATCACATCTCCTGTAGCGCTTCATTCAAAAGGTTTTTATGTATAGTAGGGCCAGAGACAATATTTCATATTTCTACTGTTCAATGAAGCATCTGAGTAAAAATAGTAAAGAATTCATAAGAATACCATTGATTCACTGTATATTGTCATTCCTTCTTCATCCAAACAGGCCAGTTCATAATGACTTCAAAATACTTAAATAACTCCGTTTCTATTATTTTAATTCTCAACATGTTTTTCTATGCATCTTTTCTAGAACTGAAAAAGGTACAAACAGGGAGATTAAACAATATCTTTTATGAAGATGAAAACTGTGACGTTAACGTCGTTTGCTTGAAACCAATCACAGAATTTAACAAAGACGAAAGTGTATTGGTGAAACAAGGGACCACAGTCTGTTTAACAACCCATCTTGATTTAAATAATGATTCTGTTTCCCTTCAGCCCTGTGATTTCATTGTCCTGCTAAACGGAAAACCTATTGAATTCAATGGAAACCAGCAGCCTCTGCTTACCATTGAACAGAACGTTGCGCAATTAGTCCTTGAAAGCCTATCACCCAACCAAGGTGGTATTTATGAACTCAGACTGCGTAAGGCGATAGAAGATTCCTTAAATGCACAAGAAGAAGTGAATGAATCAACTTATGTTGCTAATATGGCTGATTTTATTCCCTCTTCACGTTTCCCATTAATTTACGTTGAACCTGAAAAAGTTTTGCCAAAAGGTGAAGACGCAAAATACATTCATGATAAAAGTAAACAGCAGAAAATATTCTTAGCTGAGTTACTGCCAAAGTATATATGCATGCAAGGTGAAACACTGAAATTAGCTGTTGAACTGAAAAATAATGTTTTAGTTAAAGATTTTGAATGGTTGGTGAATGGAAAGCCAGTTGATGTAAGTTCTCTTCTGCATGTATACGATGTATGCGTCTTCAACGTAACAAAATATATCTTGTTTGTCTTTGCCTGAATTCTGTTTATCTGTTCGGAAACAGTAACTTTTCTAGAGTACTACCAATACAGTTTGGTAAATATAGACCACTGTCACAGTTGATTTATTTCTCTATTGTTTATCTCATCTGTCTTGGTGCATAAAACTTCAGTCTTACGTTAACTGGTAAAACTTTATTTTAAAAACAGTCGTCATTCAGTCAGTCAATCAATCAATAGAAACCAAGCAACGTTATGGAATCTAGAGTTTACTAGTTACCAGTAGAGTATCTCTGTACACTAAAGTTGTATGCACCAACGAAAACGCGAACGATGTGAAAATGTTTGTTTTATGTTCACTTTAATGAGTAGGTCTATATCATTGGGAGCTCTTGTTTTGAACTGTTCTCTTGATAACACTCATGTTATCAATTCATTGTTGATAGAGGTTTTGATAACAGCCCCGTTATAAAATGAAAACTATCTCATTCACCACTTTTTTAACACTTCTGTAACTGTTATTTTATTAGCTGACTGGAAGTTAGATTAAGGATCATATACTTGATTTCAGATTTCTGAATCATTTCTTACAGACGCTGAAGGCTGAACTTACGCAATAAGTTGCCTACAAATATCGAAAGAAAATTCTTAACCGAAACCTTAAGTAAAAAATGCATCAAATGACCCAGAGGTGAACACTAGAAGAACAGGAATGACATTCAACTTATTGGATATAGACCTGTGAAGCATGCCTAATTTCAACTCATATAATTTAGCGAACACTCGAAGAGTAGCGATTATGAAAAGTCCTACCCCTTTTATTGGAACACAGTGAATATGATACTGGTTGTATTATCCTGTCATTGACTGGACTGAATCAAGTGGTTTATGTTGGCATATGGATCCCTGCACGAATCCCTCGATATCGCAAGTGTTTTCATTTTTGATATTATTGATGGATAGTGGAGTCCAGGGTGCCTGTTTTGCACTACTGGAGGCTGGCCAGCTGAATGTATCTCACTCCCAGTGAGTGATATCGAGGCATCCAAATAGGAGCGCATATACCAATTAACGACAGAGTAGTACAAAAATCATCCAATAAACAATACCTATTGCACAAGAAGCGACCAAAGTAACTCGGTGACCTAGTGGATAATGCTCTGGCGTTCGGAGCGATAGGTCTCACGGTCAAGTCTTAGAGGAAGCAACACAGCTCACAGAGAGGCAGATACATCCATCTGACAAGTCTGATGTAGGACGAAATGTGCGCTTTGGATTCCACCGCTAGCCACCATCTGTCAATACTATCACAATAATGAATGTATGCCATTACATCCCCAGGGTAACATTTTATTCATTCGTTTCAGTAATATCAGTTAGTACATCTGTTGATTTTGAAACTATCAATTATCTATTGAAATTTCCAAGAAACCAGTTAAGTCAGATTATACTGAATGTATGATCTGTTGTGCCTAGGTGAACCATCTGTGAGACTTTATTTTATATCTTGTCCAGTCTAATTTACACCTGAAGGTACGAAACTAATTAAAATACTTAGTCTATGTCTCGTTATCTATGCAGCTTGTCAACTTATATGCTTAATTTATTTCTAAAAACGAAAAGCAATGCTGGCTATCCAGTACATATATTATTCGCACTTTCTTTGGTTTTTCGATCGCAATTTCATCAACTTATTAATAAAAAATAATTAAAACATATGTAAATGCATACATCTTTTCCTGTGTAGCCTGAATCAAGTACAGACTTCGTAGTGTGGCAAACAGGCAACTGGATTGCATTGACAATACCAAATGTTCGATCGGATTTAACTGGAACGTATACCTTACATATCGATACTCCGTCTGGCCGATATACTACAACAGGTGATTTGTCTGTGACTGGACAGAAAAGACAGATGACACAATATGTTCCATCGTAAGTTATTTCCCTTTAAATTCATGCTTAGGTATGACTTTCTTTTAATTCTATAAAAAATAGAAAATTGAAGTTTGTGTAAATTAGAGCAAAAAGAGTAACTACAGGTCGAGTTGTGATATTTGAAAGTAACTATTTTCTCATCACACTAAGATGCTTCAATATTACTGACCTTATAATACATCACATGTTTCAGATAATCTTCGTCTTCTCATTACGCTGTTTAAATTTATCAAAGGGACCAGTTGCTTTAGACCTTATAAGAATTTATTTCTAATGTAATAATTAATCCAACATTGAACGAAATCTTTTGCATCAAATTTATGATCAGATTTAATATGATCGAAAGTTGCTTGCCTATAATCTTTGGAAGACCATATTTGATGGAAAAATAATTATGTTTACGACAACACCGATTCAACATCGACTGTTAACTATCGGTAAAAACTGAAACCTTTTGTATACGTGTGTATCTTTACGCTTGAAGAAGATGAGCTTCATAAGTGGACATTGCTTGAAGCTCCTTAGTTAGATCAAGGTCACTAGTATGTCCGTGAAATTAGGCCATTCGTTGAAATTTATGAATAAATATAATTCTAATGCAATGTAGCTGATGAAAACTTTTTAAATCTTTTGCCTGAATTAGTTATACAGAGCAAAGTATTTCAATAAAACTTTTGCTCTGTTGGATTAAATCAAACATAAACAGCTACTATCTAGTCGGTTAGCTCTTTTCAGGCTACATTCGACTAGTGGCTAGAATCACAATTCGACGCTGAATAATAATATACTGCACAATGCAGCTAAATGTTTTGGTTTTCACACTGAAGTGTACAAAGCTTCCTGGTGATTGCCTTCATCTATCTAGTATCTATCAAAGTTTTGTTTTCCATTCTGAAGACAGATAAATATATGAATTCGTTATTTGAAAACTAAGATAAATTAACTTCAAAGGATTCCTTTGTTTTCAGGGATTGTAGTTCCCGAAAGTATCTTCATATTGATGACTTCCTTGAAGTCAGCATATAGGTAACCATTTATAATATGCTACACAGCAGAAAAAACACTGTCTAAAAGGTTTTTTGTTTTATTTCCTAGGAAAGTTAGAAAACACAGGGGATCTTTCAACATCCTCGAAAAAACCATTCCCATCAAAGGTAGTGGAAGCCAAATAGCGTCAACATAAGTTACTAACTCTTAGGGAATATAAACGAATAGGTGACACATGTACTCTAATTTAAAACTTTTGGTTTGTATTCTGAGTTTTCCAAAGCAGCTGCCATTATTTTCGTTAGGAATGAATACTTTCCGAAAATACCTACCTAGGAGCCATAACCTTGTCAAGTCTGAATTTTACTCATCTATATTATTAACTACCTTTTACCATCACAGCCAGTGATCAGATGCGATATACAGCCTAAATTCTAGTAAATTAACACGCCTAGTTAAAATTCACCTTCTTAAAAATGATGCTGTTAAAATCTATTCTCAGTTTGACTACCTGAGGGAACAGTAGTTTGACAGATTTATGTTACTGATACTGGATGAGGACTAAAGGTGAAATGAAAGTCAGTCATCATAGGATTTCCATTTCACTTTCGATCACCACCCAGTATCAATAATACAAGCCTGCCAAACCATAGCTATCTCAGATAATCAAGCTATTGATCAAGATGACGCCTCCCCTTTCTAATTCAGCTTGATTTGGATTGGTATGAGAACATCTGACTTAGCAGACAGTGTGAATACAATGAACGGACAGTTCTGCATTACTTATTTACATATCTGTTGGATGACTGAAAATAAATTAAGATCGGATCAGCAGCTGAACCTCATATCTTAGTTGACAGACTCTGACTTAGTAACCCAGAGACAACTGATCCTGCAACTACCCAGATTTCCATTTCACCTTTAATCATCACTCAGTATCCAAAACCTATTTTGTTTACGAATTAGTGAAATCACATTGATTATCTAGATGCACCACAAATCTGATATTTACTCATAAATACAAATCACCAGCTCAACTGTGGCTTACTGTCATTTTCTCCATTCTAACGCAAACAGTGAGGCTTTTTGAACGCCTGAGCGTTTTCCATTAGGCCACCGAGTTATTGTAGCCACTTCTTGTGCAACGGATATATTGTTTTTATGACGTTTTTTGTATTATCTCGTTGCTGATTTGGTCAAACAGGACAACCGAATGCTATTTGCTTTTCCTCTAAATATTATTTATTTTCTCCTCTTTTCATTTCTTTTTAATTACTTTAGTCAAGTGGAAGGGCTTAAACCCTTGTTCACGAAGCGACTTCAAGATTACACAGCTGATGTGAATGAAACGGTTAGACTTAGTGCACGTTTGGTAGCAGAACCGCCCGCTACTATTATCTGGTAATCCGGCTTTGTTTTTTTTAGTTATTATTGGTGAAAAAAGTTTTTTGTTTTATTTGTGCTCTGAAGGCGAAAGTGATCGGTCAGTTTCCAGTCTAGTAAACACCAGACTAAAATCACCAAGTCGTCCATTTGAAAACAACTTTAAAGCTTGTTCACTAACTTCATATGAAAGAATATCAAAATAAAAAATCTCCAAATTTAAGTATGCTAATCGCATTTGGAAATAACCAGTTACTTCAATCTGTCCATCAGATAACAAGTTATACATAACGAATAAACTAGCTACAAGATGATCGATGAGTTCTTCCAGCCATTCTATTTGTTGCCAAAGAAACACTTCACAAATTATCTTCATAGCTCAAGAAATGGATAACATATTATACTGCTGCGGGCAAAGACTCCTTTGCGCCTTTTTGTAGGATTTTTTCAGTGTCCATACTTCTTAATCTTAATGATTAATACTAATGAAATACAGAGTTTGGCTAAATTTGTCTTTGGGAAATAAATTAGCTGTAAACTTCCGAAGTACACCAGTGAGAATTCTGATACAACTATCAAAACAAGGACTAATGTTTTCGGAAAGACTGGAGACATGATGAAGAGTACCAACACGAGGGATTTAAAGTGTGTCATTTTGTTCATACATGCGTAGAGCCACTCAATTTCAAAGGCCACCCTACCAATCAATGAAGTAACTGATTAGTTTTCCTTATATGAGTTAAAAGCTTAATTTTACACACTACAGTGAAGCATCAGTTGTTATTTCAGTTGTTGGTAGATTGAATTCGCTCACAGTAATGGCAGATATGTTAAGGCGAAGGTCAAAGAAATGCACTTTTCCAACATAATGCTTACATATGGAAGCGATTAAAGATGAGTACTTAAATCCACTGAAATTCTTGTCGTCCATAAATGTAAGCCTTCATTGTGTTCTGAAACGTGTACTCACTAATTTTAGAGTAAAATCAAAGGCCACTCTGACAGCTGCTGAGACAAGTAGTTATTTTTCTCCACTCTATTAAAAGCTATCATCTCATTGGAAATACCGAAGCCTGATTGGTTGCTTCATCAATTTCTACGGCAGATGTTAAAGTCACTCCCAATCCTACGATGATATTATTGATTGCGATTTTCATACAAAGGGTCATATGTTCTGGCCTTTTGGGTTTGTTATCCTGTATATTCCCTACCGAATTAACTCACCTCTCTTAACTTTCGTCTAAATAGCTTGATAAGTTCATGTATGATCATACTATTCGTAAAGTACGGTATTTTTACTTCGATCGACTCCAAAAACCTACCCCGCAACTGCTGAAATAAACAGCTAGATTTCATTATTTCATGCAAAAACACCAACCGACAGGAAATATCGAAATCTAACTGATTTTTCCAGTTGCTGGGGTCGCTTTCAGAGTCAGTCAATGCATTACGGTTAAGATAATCTTCGTCTTCAAACTAAATCTTTTAATTTTATCCGCTGGATCAATTGCTTTTACATGGAAGAAAACTACTTTCATCAAAATGCTAAGAATGATAGCAGACGTCCTAAGTATGGCTGATGCAGTTTTTAAGGTCATCTCTAAAGTCACAAACTGAAGTGCTTGTAGCTTAAACTTGAGTAAAGTTTCAGTGGTCAATTTTCTGTCTACTTATCAAAGCAAATGCGTCGCCGCATTTTCCTGAAAACTCCTTTAATGATATCACAATATCAGATTGCTGACCGACATTTTCAATTCACTGAGTTTGCAAACTTTCAAAAAGTTCTAGTTATTGAACTGCTTACAAGCTTCCTAGCCCATCTGTGTTTATGTTTTACTTCAGAAAAATTCTCTAGTTTGATATCAGTGACGGATAGTGGTTAGCACTAAAACCAACGATGTGCGTTTCGTCCCATTTGGGATTAGTCAGCCGGATGCACCTACCTCTTGGTGAGTGATAGTGTTCCCACTAAGACTCGAGCCCAGGACCATTTGCTTTAGACTTTTAGGGCGTTATCCAGCAGGCCACTTGGCCACTCCTTGTACGAACAGCCCTTCGATATCATAGCTTGTTCATCGATTCTTGGTGGGGACAACACTATCCACTGGGAGACAAGTACATTCAGCGCATAAGTCCAAATAGAAAAAAACGCACCTACTGACTTACACTGCAAGCCACTTTCAATTGTTACCACAAGATCTGAAAATACGGGAAATATCGAGGCATCTGCTCTCGAGCCCTCATGCCAATAGTGGTGAACTAATTAACCCGGTAAACGACGGAGATGGACAAGCTATGATATCAAATTCTCTCAGCCTTAATGAAAGATTCAGTTTTGAGCACAAATAGGCTGAAAGGATACTGAAAGAAACACTGGACGGTGTTTTGTTCTACGGGTGTTTGAATTTGAAAGGAATTTCTCTTCTGTGCTCTATTCACTTGAAGAACTTGATAGTCTGAGTTTCATTTCAAAGAAGAGACAACCACTGCATATTACTAGTGCATGTATACATGATGAGACAATCATTTAGGACTTTTGGGTTTCAGTTGATTTTCGAAGCATTTAACTGATAGCAAAATATGTCTGAGTACTAAATAAAATATGAACAGTTAGCAGTTTATTCATTTGAATCTGCTCAAAATCGGTTTATCATTGGTCACCTTTAGGTGGGATAAGACAGTAATCGAGTGTGATGGATTTTCTCACTTGTTGATACATTACAAACTTGAATTTACACTGTGTTGCATATTTTCTCACTTCACTTCATTTTAGGAAACATAATGGTATCCCAGTTCAAAACGATAACAGAGTTAAAATACATGATGATCACATTAATCCGTCGATTATAATTCAAAATGTAAAAGACGAGGATTACGGGGAATATATCTGTCTAGCAACAAATGTACTAGGACAAGCTGAAACGAAGGCAAATCTTTATATACAAAGTTAGTCTAGCTAATTATAGATGGGTTTGTAATGTTTTTCCCTTTCGGTTTCTTGACACATACCTAACTAGATGACGTCGTACAAATGTACCTTAGTGAACAGATGTGATGGGTTTTGTGATGACAGTTTCACATGTTTGACTTCACATGACACCCAGGCAATGGGGTGCTGTTTTCATCTCGGAGGTTCTTGCTGAAAGTCATACGCAATTTATTACTAGTATATTTCCCAAGTTTAATGTTTGACTTAATATGCAATAGAACAGGATTAATAATAATGCTTATGACCGGAACATAGCTTACGCGGTGACCTTCATGTTATATTAAGGGTACTTTACGACCTGAAAAATGGGATCAAACTGCTGATAGGATGTCAATTTCATCAAATGTTTGAACTGATTGTCATAAGTCTACAAGTCCTCCTAATCTATCATGATGGCTACCCAGCCAAATACTCCACTTCATTCGTCATCTTTTATAAAGCATAAAATTCCAAGTTCCTTATAGTTTCATTCATTTCACTGAGATTTTTTTTGGATCTCTGAATGCCATTGATGAATTTTAATTTCAGTAAATAATATGTTTTGTTTTGATTTTTCTAATTCATTATGTTCACCGTGGTAAGGTATACAATTTTATCTCGTGGTTGGCAGCCAAGAGGATATCCAAGGCAGTTTAGTAGGAGCCGTAGATGTTTTCTACTGAAATTTACCAACGAGCTTGGAACCTAAATCCAGACCTATCTGATGTTTCCATTGTAACCGTGCAACGTCAAATAGTGTAATTTCATGTCGAGTAAACTAACATGCTATTCAATTTTGAGGGAGTTATGGAGATTTGGAAATATTTCAAGTTGTTATTCATCGAAGACTGACATCAGTTGGAGGAACAAAGGAAACCTGGGAGCACTGGACAGCTGTTTCGTCCTAGTATGGGACTCCTCAGCAGTGCGCACCCACGACCCTACACCCACAAGGATCGAACCCGCGACCTTCAGGTTCCGCGGCCAGCGCATTACCATTGAGCCACTGGGTCAGAATCCAATGCTCCATATTTCCAACTTCTGTTAGCTCGTGGGTGCGCACTGCTGAGGAGTCCCATACTAGGACGAAACAGCTGTCCAGTGCTCCCAGGTTTCCTCTGTTCCTCCAACTGATGTCAGCCTTCGATGAATAACAACTTGAAGTAACATGCTATTCATTTGGTATCCGTGATCGACAGTAACCAGTCGATTCTCACAATTTAAAAAAATAAATTGTCCGCTCATCAGGAAAAGTTAAATGAATGTTTGCACTTATTTTCATATTTTTATTCATATATTGTGCATAATAAATGTTTTTATTTAGGTACATTTTATGAAACTGATGGCTATGCAACTGATACTAGTGGAGTGTTAGATTCTGTTATTGAACCTTCAAGATGTTCAGGTAATGCCAGTTTGATGTTTTTACCTTTATCACGAAATATATTTATTTGATAAACTCCTGAACAGAAGCAGCAACAAACTTTATTGCATAAAGTGGTTTCATTTCATATTAACGCAGTAGTTACTAAAATCCACACATAATTTTATGCTTGACTTATATCAGTTGAGTTTCATTGTAAAAATAACACCAATTACCTTTCGTAACTACTCATGTACAAAGCAAGTGGAAGCGAAATACACTTAGATTGTATAATTTCCAGTGACTTACTTGACTGGTTAACAGTGATCGACCTGGTAGGCATATGATCTTTGTATGTATTCTTAGGTTTTACCACAAGTTTTATAACAAGTTTGTTTTGGATGATATTCGACAATTTCAAACAAGAAGTTTAGCTGAGTAACTATTCATGAAGGTTGTTTTTCCTGCAACTTGTGAGTCCATATGCCTAAATGGGATAGTCACTCCATAGTTGTTCCATTCCAGTGAAAACTTGGAAATTAAAAAGGAGTGACTTTAAAGGCCACCCTAGCGATTGCTGAAATATCCAATAACATCCCAGGCGAAGTACCGTAAGCTGATTGGTTATTTCAGCAGTTGCTAAGGTCAGCTTTAAAGTCATTGTTAAAGTTTAAACAAGGAATCCTACCGACCCGGGTGGCTCTAAAGACCACCTAACCAACAATTGAAACAACCAATTAAACTTTGGTATTTCCTTAAAATCTGCCTTGCTAGCCGAAATGGAGATACGCAGTTGCTAGGGCTTCCTCTAACGTCACTGAAAGGCCATCAAAAAACAACCCGGACAACCGGCAAAACTTCTTTATTTCATTAAAATCTTCCTTTGTAAATGAATGACCTTAAAGGCCACCCTGAAATTCCAGCGACGTAAAGGGTACCCAAACAACCATTGAGAAAAAAACTATCAGAATTTGTTTTATTAAAAACTACCTTTCAAGCAAAAATTAAAAAACCTAATTGGCTGTTTCAGTCGTTGCCAGGCTGCTTTTAAAGTCATTCCTCATATTCTGGCTTTAAAGTAAAAGGTGGAAGTGATTTTAAAGGTCACCTTAGTAATTGCTGAAATAACTAATCAAGTTTTAGTATTTCAGCTAGAAATTTTTTCTTTAAATAAAGAAATTTAACTGGTTGTGTCACAGGTGTGAGTGTAATGTATTCGTCACCTTAATAATTAAAAAATTAATAATAATTGAAATTAAAAGATCCGATTCCTCATTTGAAACAACAAAATTGTGTTTATAAGGTAGACTGCAGTGAATACGATGCCACATATATTGGAGAGACATCACGTCAAGTACTAACACGTCTAGCCAAACACGGTAGAAGTTCCAAAAAACCACCAAAAAATTCCTATGATCTAGAAAAACTTAAAAAAGCTCTGCTATCGCAACTCATGCCCTATATTCAGGTCATAAAATATCATTCGGACAGACAAAACTTTTGCAAAAGGGTTTTCTCTCTCACAAAGAGCGGACCATTGCAGAAGCTTTGCACATCTGCTCACATCCTTCTTCAGTCAACAGAAAAGATGGGTTACACATCCCACTAATTTGGCAAACATTAATGACTCGCCTAGGCAATTATAAATAATATCTGAAGAGAAGGTAGATTGTCTAGTCCTATTACATACACCTTATTGATCTACTATTTTCATCAATTTTACACTACTCTCTGAGTCATATACATTCGATGAACCATAACATAATCCATTTTGTTATCACTCATACTTCAAGTGTTATCAAAAGTACATTTATGGTTATCATTATTATTATTTATTTAAGATATATTGTCTCATCTTCAAATATTCATCCTTCCAAACTAGTAATCTATTATTTCTCACCCTTGATGTCTCACAACCCCATTGTACTTTCCATAGACGAACTAAAAAATTTCCCCACCATATTTTTGTTCCACCTTACTCACACAAAGGAAAAACCTCTCTGACCGAGTTGCTTATTCACTCTACCTGTATTACATTGATCTTTGCTCCATATCACTATGTAATTGGATGATTGTAAAGGTCACCACTTTCTGTACCAAAACTTGAATATTTCCCTGAAAACTTAGTGTCAGATTCATACTCTTGAAAAGGATCTTCCTGGCAAGATCGAAACGTTGAGGAATAATACAAAATATTTGTTTATTTTGTTATTTGTTCTAATGTACTACGCCGGGATTACACAAGTAAAAATACATTATATACAGTGAATCATACTAACTCGGTGCCCAAGTTTTTCAAACCATCCAGTCCATTGTTGGCCAGGATACCTTCAATACAGGTATATCATTACTAAACAATGCTGTTATAAGCTTTTTTGATGCCAGCTATCATTTCATCAAATGTAATAGTTGATATTTTAGTTGACAGTGGAATCGTCCTCCTTTGGTACATGATACTCGGTTTTGCGTGTCATTTTTTCCGGTGACATTAGTTGGTTTGTGAGCAAAGTTCATTCCATATTGCTTGGATAATTGCGATTTCCAAAACATTCTTTTTATACGGCAGGGAAATTCACTTATCTGTTTGCTCCAACTTTTCGGTTGCGTCTGACAAGTTGATTAGATGCATCGTGATGAAGTGGCGGAGATATCCTTTATTTTAGAAGACTTTGTAGAGGTGATTTTCTTCTGCCTTCCTGAATATGGGAGTACAACAGTAAGCCATCGTTCGTTTGAATCGTATTTGCACATAGGTTCTTTTTGTTCATTAGGTTGATTGTCGTTTTAATTAGGAATTTGCTCCTCATGCAACCAGGTACACTTTTATGAAATTGTACAGGGCTTGAGTTTGAGTTCTTTTCTAGTCTAGGGATTAACGTACCACGGCTTCTTATGATTCCCTAGTACTTCATTATAGGCGTATGACCTAGGTAGTTTATTACTGTTTACTCATACTTCTTACTTTTCAGTGTTCCCTCCCTCAGACAATCTGCTGCCTTTAAACTGCTCTGCTTGTCTCCACAGACTTTCTGCTCGAACAAAATATTATTTTCCAAAATATGAATAAGTTGTTGCGGCGTTTTCCAGATGCAGCTGTATACTGATTAGTTAAGGCTGTAGGCCTATCTAATGTACTTTGAACATATATATATATATATATATATAATTTAAATGTTTCCCTTATTGACATTATATTTTTCATTATTAAGTAAACAAAATTTTAAACTCTTCTCTTCATACGAATTCATTTTTAAGCTCTACCGGTGAGAGTAAATAACGTCCAACTAGTTGAAATGTATGATGGAGGTTTCAAAATTGCATGGGATCCGATACCAAATGAACGGGTGACGTACAATGTTGAAATCAGCAATGACGCAGGGAGATGGTGGAAACCTGTACTTACCAACTTGCATGAAGTTTCAGCGGATATTTCTAATGATATTGCATGTCCTTTGAACCCAGTGCAAGTGAGAGTAGTTGCTGAGAACGAATACGGTCTTGGACCACCTTGCGTTCCACTAATTCGTCTACCAATTCGTGGATGTCTTCCTCACATGCAAGCTATTAAGCCAGAGACTGAATTTGAAGAAGCAACGGCTGTCAGAATCCGATGGTCTCCTGCAGTACCCTCACTTCCACCAAGCCAAATACACAAAAGCGGAATACTAAATCAATCACAGCTACTTGGAAAAGTGACATATGCTGTGGAAATTAGAGAGGGTTCACAGTCAGAATGGTGTAGAGTAGCAAATGATTTATCAGATTTATCCTACACTCATCATCTGCGCCCAGGTGTCAGCTATGCTATACGTATTGTCGCCAAAAACAAGTTTGGTGAATCCTGTCCTACACCGATGGCAATTGTCCAACTTGATCCTAACTCTCTTCTTCCAGATCTATCTCTTGATTCACCATGGGTTGCAGTAACCTACCCAATGGATAATATTTCAGGAAAAAAATGTAGTGTAAAACTCTTCTGGAAAGCCGCATATCTGCCAGATTATTGCGATAATTGTATCAAAGGCCTTAAACCTTTGTACCGAATAGAATGGCGTCGTGGAAAGTCTGGACATTGGCTTGAGTTGGCTCGTGACATAAGTGAATATGAATCGGGTTACCCTCTCCCAAGAGATATGGTGGATTCTTTAATTAAAGAAACTCAAGCTACACTGATTTGCTTTTGAACACCATGAGTTTGAATCACTCTATTGAATTTCGTGTAATTTCTTACAATGAATTTGGAGAAAGCGGACCCACAAAATCTTACAGATTAAAAGCCTCTCAAATATTTCGAGGTCAGAATTATCGAAGTAATTTACAGTTAGTAGATACATTGAATAGCATAGATCAGTATGAGCACCTAAGTGTGTTGGACAAGCTACCTATAATCACATCCACTAACAGCCAAAGGTTGGAAGTACAAGTGACCTCAGTTGACCCTAGAGAAGGGATTGCACTCAAGTGGACTCCAAACACTAATTCAAAATTAAGTAACGGCGCTGATAATAACTATGATTCACACAGCCGATACAGAATTCAACGCACAGTTGCAAATAGCACCACTGAGAGTTTACAACCTGATATGAAGAAATGGACGGTAGTCAATAAAGAAGACGGCCTCGTTTATGGTGAAGAATATGTTATTGATGTAAGACCAAATAAAGCGGAACAGTTTTGCGCATTCTGACCTTGCAGGAAGATAAAGAAGGTAACCACACTTGGTTAGACAATCATGAAGTCTTACGTATACCCTCACTACATGAATTATGCCCTCCAGCCCCATCGAAAATTGAAGTGAAGTTGATACCCCCACTTGAAACTACTGGTTCTGAAGGAGTATGCGTCACTTGGAGACCCTCCAAATTTCAATCTATTTCAGATGACAGTTATTTGAAGCATATCAAAAATCATGATCAAATCGACTACAGAATAGAGTCACGCACAACTTTAAGTGATATGGCGCCTTGGCGACAAGTTGGTTTGATTTCTGGGTCACTCTGTAAAATAGATGATCGTAAAGCTGAACCCGGATCGCAACTTATTTATCGAATAACACCCATCAATCAGTTTGGTGAAGGCCCTAGCCTGTGTTCTGCTCCAATTAGGCTACCGCTTCTGTTAACAAGTTTGGAGAGGTAGGTTATGTACAAGCTAACTTAACTGTTCTTCATATATATGTTTTTCATATTCTGCCTAGAGAAAATGTTGTCAAAATTTCGAAAACTTACCAATGACAAACAAGTTTGTCTTCAGTAACAACTATGTTTCGTCTTATATTATAAAAGTGAGATTAAAATACGCTTAACCTAGTGTATTACGTATCCTCTTAGTCAACCTGTTATGAAGGGAATATGGAATAAAAAGAAAGCCAAAGGTAGCCTACTAAAATTCTATGCTTTACCTCTGCTGTGGCTAATCATACCTTTTCAATCTAACAGTTATACAAAGGGCCAGTTTAAACAATCTGTCATATTTTAAGTCGACTGTAAACAAGTCACAGAATAATAGTTAACACCATATGGTGTTCAAAATAGTAATCAAGGAAGACATTTATTTGTATTACAACACTGAAGTGAATAGCATCTACAAGATGCTGATATTTCACCCTCCGAGAGATTCTTTTTTCGCTTCTGTAAATGTGTATCTGTAAGTCAATAAGCTGCATGAAGCTACCAGAACTGTACTTTTCATCATAGATGTTTATGAAAATTACAACTCAGAAATTCATCTTATAACAATAATAATGATAATCAGTGACTGCAATCTAAAGAAATAAATTTAATTGTTAGTTGTTTGGAGGCAATCTGCAGCAAGCCCTGCTTGACCTAGGTTTGTTGCTTGTTGGTACTCATCAGTAAAACGAATCTGGAACCTCAAAGGAACTTATATCCTCTGTGAGATCCCAAACCTGTGTCACCCAATGTTGGAGTCAGCTATGTTACCACTGAGCTATTCAAGCCGCGAATGACATCTTGTAGAAACTATATATATGCCACCCTCGACTAGGTAGGACTCCCAACTCGCCGTTTCCCATCTAGGTTCCACTCGAGCAATTGGCCTGACACCTGATGTCCCCAGTCAGCCTTCTCAGTGTATGCCCAATCCATCTCCACTTCCTTCCACTGCATATTTGTTGAGCAATAGCTAGCTTCTCAGTTGGTTCGTTACCAGCCAGAGTTCCTTGTTGCTTATACTTATTATTCTGGCCATCTGAGCCTCAGTAACGAGCCAGCCTAGGCAGTTGTTGATGAATATCTGCAGTTTGTTGGAAATCCCGTTCGTAACGCGCCAAGTCTCTCAACCTTCACCTAGGAGCACTGACTTGACTGAAGTTGGTGTTGAAAATCCGGATCTTGTTCCACATACTGAGTCCAGAAGATCGCCACACTGGTTTCAGGTTAGTGAATGCCTGTCTTATTGTCTTTCCGATCCTGGCTGCTTTGACGTCCTCGTCTGGGCTGCTGCCTGTATTTGAAATAGTGCTGCCTAGATAGGTGAAGGAGGCTACCTCCTTTAAGTTTCTCCCGTTGATGGTGATTGGAGTTTGTTGTTATTGGTGGTGGTGTTGGTTGGGTATCCTCATCACCTCCGTCTTCTCTACGTTCACTTGAAGTCCCATCTACCTTCGCTGGCTCTTCCGTCAACTGTAGGTCTTCGAGTTTATGGGACATTAGGCACAGGTCATCGGTGAAATCCAAATCTTCTAGCATCCTTTCTCCGGTCCAGCCAGCGTATCCCCCTCTTCTCGCTCCTCAACGTTTCTTGTATGATCCAGTCCAGTCGACCACAATCACGAATATCATGGATGATAGTAGACAGCCTTGTTCTACCCCTGTCTCCTGTCCTCACTTCAAAGGCATCACTGAGCTTCCCATTGTGAATTACTTGGTATGTGGCTTCTTCATATAGTTGTTGAATGAGGACTTCGACATCCGTCAGATGGCTTGTGTTCACTTGTAGTTCTGTGGTTGCAGGTGGTGTTTCTGGACGAAGTGCAGATGATGGTTGATTCAAGAGCTTTTTGAAGTGGTCAGACCGTTGTTTCCTTTGTTTCTCTTCCTTGGTAATTAAATTTCCTTCATCATGTTTATTGATTTCATCTATGTTGATCTCTTCCATAACAGATAGTAACCTGGTTATTTGATACAATGTTGTCAGATCTCTATCTCTCGTACCTGCAGTTTTTTTTGCTTCACTTGCTAGTATCGTGGAAGTGTCTTTTGTCTTTGCGTGCAATCTTCTTCACTTCTTTATCCAGTGTTTTACACATTGTACTCAGTTCCTCTTGTCGTTGTGCATCCTTGCACTGGTTCATCTTCTGCTTCACCGTCCTCTTCTCCTCTATCAGCTTCCATGTATCCGTCAAGGTCCATTCCTTGTCTTGTTTCCTTTTCCTTTCTAATATAGTAAGGCAGGTTTCTTTCCACATAGCTTTCAAAGAGTTCAAGTGTTCATCCACAGGCGTTTGTTCAGGGATCTTGCTGGATCTCCCATTTTGTCTTGATGGCTGACGTGAAGATTTTCTCTGTAGTTTCGTCGTTCAGTTCCCGGGTGTTGAACTTGAACTGTGGTCAATCACCAACTTCCTTGAAGGCTTTCAACTTGATTTTGAAGGTTCCTTGCATTAGATAGTGGTGTGAACCTACATCCCTTCCACTTTTTGATATATATATCTTAGTTGATTGCTAAGCTGTCGAAATGAGATTTTGACGAAAAACTGACCCAGAGATAGTACATCATTTCAGAAGTGTAGAAATTATGAATCTCTTCCTGTTACTCATAATGAAGTCAAGGACCATATTCGTCATGCTTTGAGGTGGAATGGTTTATCATGGAAAAAACCCATCCAGTGTAATGCTAATTCACAGTTAAATAAAGAATACAATGTTTCTGATATTAAAGTGAAGATTCGCTTCGCGAAGTTTCTGACTCGAATACATTTTTCCATAGCTGAGATAAACCGGTCAACCAATTTCCATTCAGAATTCTTAACTTCTGCATAGTTTGTAAGCCATCAGTCAATATTAAATCCACAATTTCTTCAATGATCTATGCTAAATTTGGCATACTACACAACAATCTCCACCTAATTTTTGAAATTCTTTGGGAAATTTCTTCCCTAGATCCCAGTTTATGCGTGGTTGTTGTTATCCTTATATTGGTGCACGTAAGAATTTATAGGTAGTGGTTTTTTAGGACAGATGGTAAACTTAAACCAATGATCACTTGGAAGCAGTTTCGAAATTCTCGATGACTAGTTGCAATGTTAATCGGTAATCTTTAGATTTATTTATATATTAGGTTTAGTCTGACTATCAATTTATTTTTGACATAACAACCAATGAGAGTGAAGGTTACTGAATCGATTTACCACCGTAAAAAAATATCCCGAAACGTGAATTAGCTTTCACAAGCTTTACTTTATTACACAGTGGTAGCCTGACAGCAGAAATGACGCATTAAGTTGATTTTTATATGGTTTGGGTTCAATCGCACATAAAAGCTGGTAGGTCTCAGTTAACTTCACGAAATGGATGTATTAAATATTTTGCAGACTAAAGCAAGCTAAATTCTGTCATAAAATTAAATCAACTGCTAGTAAACTGACAGATTCTGTGATGAGAATGCTGCAATTATGAAGTGTCACCCTGGTTTACTTTTGAAACCGAAATATTCTGACCAGAGTATATGATCTGTTCGACACCACAAAGGTCTTCATGATTATGTGCATAAAAGCTTTATAAAATCAGCCCCCAACTGACATAGTTGTAGATCACTAATGTCAGTAAGCGATATATTTCCTTCATTCGTTTGAAAATATAAAAAGCATAATACTAAGCATTTCATGAAGCTTTGTTACCGGCTCAAACGGAATATTAGTTATCAACCTATAAGTGTGAGGTGAATAGTCTTTTACTTTTTTCAGAGTGGACATTTTCGTGGTTAACTTAGCGTCCAGAGGAAATCACCAGGACTAGAGTGAATGTCTTAATGCGATTCTGTCAATATTAATCCTGACATTCATCCCAACATTACAATCACACTATCTGTTGCAAAATAGATGAATGCAGATGACTGACACTGAGTTTGATAGCTTTTGAGATATTTGAGTTTTCTGACGAAACCCACTGAAAAGAAGAACAATTACTTCATCCTTACTCGATACTCGTCAATAACACTATCACTCACGAAGCTGAAAAGTAGACTCTCTGGTCTTGCAGTTTGCACTTCACAATCCGCTCATTGGGTGAAGACAAAAATGGCCTCATTCTAAGACTCACCCGGTTTTGCAGTATGCGGCGACTATCTTACATGTTCCACCGATGGCATCTGTCCTCACTCCATAGAGAAAACTGAAACCGAATTAGTCAAGGATAATTTGCCTCTTATCAATGATCTGCTTGGCTCTTGAGGTTCTAAGAATTTAGTAAATATGAATCTGACCAAGGTGGATTTCAAACAGGTTTTTAGATCATACTATTTTCGCTGAAAGATCGTAGGTTTGATGTGTATAGTGTTTCATGTATACTGAATACGAAGGTTAAATTGTAGTGAAAGTGCATTTTACCATTCTCATATTATCAGTAATTCGTAACTAACTATTCGATAGTGATGAAAAATGATTTTATTCATACAACTGATGAGTTGCGAAGATGAGTTGTTCTCAAAGTAGTTTTTCATCATGAACCGACACCAACTGAGGAACTATTAAAGACCTGAGTGCACTAGAAAACTATTTTGTCAAAGTCTGGAATTCCTCAGTTAGTAAAACGTTATAACCACAAGAAGAATTGAGTCCGTGACTGTCAGGTCTTGTGGAGAGCACGTGACTATTCAGCCGCTAGATACAAACCTCATGGTCCAAATTTCCCCACTTTCGTCGATTCGCGATATCTCAACCGTAATCCAATGGAATCAATGAATGTTTGACCTCACATCCGACTTTGTTGGCACAAGAGGTCACAACTTTTCGTCAGAACACTTAGAAACTCATTTCAAAAATCGTCACGTGTGACAACTAGACAGTAGTCTAACTGGTAACTTCTAGGCTCGATTTTTCATGAGGTCTTTTGTGCGCTCCATTGAGGAGTCCAAAACTAAAACGAAACACCTCTCCAGTGCTCTCGGTTTTCAATAGGATTTCAGTCTGTGATGAAAAAGGTTTCATTTCAAGTTAACAATTTTCCAAAACATTCATGTGCCGAAGGTCACTTAGGATTATGTTTACAGCGCAGTGTGTTTATTTCAGGTACAAATGTACATGTTAATTCGAATATAAATGTCTCTTCCCCTTTCTTTCGACTTCACTATCTTTCTTGTCACAGGTGTATAGAAGATTTACGCTTCCTAGTACTCGGACCAAATACGATTCAACTACGCTGGCGTTTAGGTGATGCCATCATCGATGCATTAGGATTTAGGAGAAATTCAAAACAGTCAAGAGATTGCATGAAACAGTTAGATTTAGATGAGTCTGCAGAAATGTGTGGACGTGTAAACTTTTCTATTGAAAAACGCGATGGTTATGCTGGTGAATGGTATGCTATCCATGAACAAATCAGTGGGAATCTGCTTAATAAGATTGTACTGGATAACTTTTCTTATTTAGACAGAGATATCTCGTGTAGGATAGTTGCACATGTAGACGGACAGCAAACAAAGCCCAGTAGACCGATTAGCATCAGTATTAAAACTGGTAAGTAGCTGTCATAAATATTTACTTACTAACACTTATTTGTACAAATATTTACTTCAATATATTGTGAAATTGTTTTCCTTCTGAAAACGACTTTATTCACACTTTTAAGAGTAGTTGTAAGAGAACCAAAAAAATGTGTTAGCTACTTATGCAAGAAGAAAGATTTCTAGCACTATAAAAACTGATAGTAGACTATAACTGGAGAAATAAAACCAATATCAATTTCTTTCTAGAGTAGTGATTTGACTGGAAAAGTTCGCAGTATAATAAGTGCAACTTAATAAAAAATAGTTGTTCAATTTCAGTTGTTTTGAGACTTAATCATTCATAAGTATAAGTGATCATTGTGATATGATATAATTCCATATTGCATTTGTTTGTTTGATATAGCATACAATAATATACTATGATTTACAAATACATAACACCATATCATTGTATACTAAATCAAATAAGCAAATTCTGTGTGGAATTTTCCTGATGATCCAATTCAAGCGGAATCAGAACTTTTCCTCTTGTATATGTTAGTCCTAACCTACTAGATAAATAGTTTACACTATCTGAAGCAGTAGGCAGTCTTAAACAGTTGTGAAAGAATAATAATTGTTTTGTGTTGCAAAGTGATAAACTAATGAGTGATCATATTGTAAGGAATATGGAAGTGCTTAGTCTTTAAATGCATCAGTGCTTGTAGCAAATAAATGCAGTTGAAGGTATAAATGTCTATTCTCAGACCTTTTGGAAGTAACTTCTTTATTGAGTAATTATGTTGTGTCAGCTTATCAGAGTGTACTCAGCCGGAAAAATCTTTTATAAATAATCAAGTACACTGATAATAATATGATTGATTATTAACGATTATTAACTATTTCTCATCTTTATATAGCTGTGGAACATGAGCTTGAAGGGTAGCATCTCACGTCAGCACGCTGACAGTGACTAACAGTAATACAAGGATACATATCTCTTTCTGTCTCAGACTCATCAATTGAAGCCGTGAGTATTCTAGATGCTGAGGATGTTCATCGATGCAAGCAGAACTCATAAATAAATTCATCAAATCATCAGGCGATGGATTCGTTAGGGAAAGCCCGACTTAAGTTAATTTCTTGAGAGATTTAATTGTTCTTCTAGTGTAAGTAATAATTTCTGAATGCTATTTTCCAATATCTTTCTGTTATGCATCGCCATTTACATTAACTCTCACTGTTTTCTTTCCATTACCCAGACTATTTAGTTCCAGACTTCTCAGCTTTGAAGCCCCATGTAAATGTTACATCTGTCGAGGAATATTTAATATCATGGGAAGATCCAGATGTGCAGTCAATGTATACAAGTCATATTTTAAATCTGACCATACCTAAAGTCCTAAACAAGGAAACCAGTTATGCTGTACAGGTAATAACCAGAGTAATAATTTAGATTATTTTGTTGACCAACCCCTTTTTTCCTCATGAAATCATTTTACTGACTTTTCGTTGCTCACATTCCATAGACTGTCCAAAGTAATCATATAACTTGAAATTATGGCTTTAACAAACTTAAAGTAATACTAGAGGGGGGTCAGTGGAAGTCATTTTGTTACTGATATTCTTTAGTCTGGCCCCTCTCAGAAAGGTACCCGTAGAACCTTGGCAACACTGATACTGCTTCATGACACAGATGTAAGTGGCTAACATGCATTTGCTTATTTATGTAGAAAAGTCATGTTAATCACTGACAATGGGTTTTAAGACAGAAAGGCCGGCTTCTTGTGGACTGCCGAAAACAATCCAATTTCAAACACTTTAAACTGTGACTTCAGATGACCTTTTTTTAATTTGTTTCGAACGGTTAGTGTTGCTCCATTTATGTAAGCAGTTCATCAAAGTTATCACTTTCTATTTGAGGTATTCAGAAGTAGTGTAGGTACAGATTATATCTGAAAGGTGAATTCTTCTGTGGTTATGCAAACGCTCTGCTCAGAAAACTAGAAAAGTGTTTTCTCAGTGTAAAATTGTTTGATACACCTGTCACAAGGGATTCTAAACGAAACAGTTGATGAGACTGGTCTTGAAAAATTGACTGGTAATTGAATTGAGATGAAAACCTGGGTTGAGGAAAGATTAAAACCAGTGACACTCTGTTAACCGATACATTGCCTACCCGATAGGCTGATGATCATTCAGTTGATGTCACAGGTTAGTTTGCTGATTTGGATTATCTCATATTACCCATTAAAGTCTGATTAGTAGCGGTAGATTGATTTAGACAAGAATAAAAATACTTGGCTTGGCAGCTAGTTTGATGAATAGGCAGTAGTTTATCACACATCATAATGATAACCAGGTAGAATCATCAGTGTTTGCGGAAAAATGAAACCAAGTCAACAATTGGGTTTTGTCATTTAGTAAAGTGGATTTCAGGTCAGTAGCCTGGAAACCATTGTCCCCAATCTTGATGAAATACTGACTCCATATTTTAGCCTCAGTCATCATCCAAGTACTTCAAATCAAATTGCTGAATATTTTTGATTTCGTATATTTCGCTTTATTTTTCGGCAATATAAAAGTTTTTTCAAGTATTATTAGTGGAGTTAATGTAATCTGAATATTTTCTGTAAACAATCCACCAACCGAAATTATGAGAAACTACTCAACAATGTATGTCTGCTAGCTGATAACATTGTAGGCACGTGCACTGTTGTGAACTGACTAAGTTCAACCCGATGTTGAGCACTTTTGAAACAGAAACATAAACACTGAGTGCATTAAAAAGTGTGAGCTCCCGGTAAGAAAACTAAAACATTTTGGTTTTAGTTTTCAGTTAAACCATTTTTGGATACTTCTCTTCAGATTGCATTTTTGACATATGTTCAAATAATTGACATCTTGGCTACCAGTAATCTTATCACCCTCGGATATAGAGCATTTAGTGAGCTATAGGTAAAAATAAAAGACTTACTTCAAGATTAGTTGATGTACCGAAACCCTTGCTTACCAAGACAAGGTGCCGAAGGTTTACGGATTCATGGACATTCTAGGAAAAAATTAGGAATTAGCAGTAGCTTTTAGGCTAAGCCTGCCTGCAAAGCACTGAGGAAATTTATATTATTTACCAAACGCCAGGTCAATATCCGAGCACAGCCAAATGTAAGAAAAGATAAGTCAACCTTCGGGAACTGATTTCATCTGCGAATTATATTTTCTTCAATTTCAGCCGGCATTTTCGTACATCTGCAGACTGAGTATATGTCAGATCGTCTAATTTATAAAAAAAAGAAACTCGCTTTCATCTGACAGTTGAGAATTAGTGATTAATACCTCATTACCGTATAACCAAATTACTCCAGTGCTTGGAAAGATTTGTACAATCCTATCGACACCTATTCACTTCCAGGTGATTAAATACAATGAATACAATATCTTTTCCGTAGATGTTAGAAGGGCTTCCACAGAAGTTAAACTGTCTCAGCTTCTTTGATTTGACACTGTGAAAAAAGTTAATGCTGAGCTATTCGTGTCAAAACGGATGGTATGAAGAATCAAAACACAGCAACTAAGCCGTATATTAAGTTGTGACTGGTATTATTATACTGTCATTAGTGTTGAGTACACAACACTAAAGTTTCAGTAGTAGTTTATTATCAAGCGCATTTAGTGTGAATAATATCCCATGCTTAAAAATAAGAAATGATATGATACCGTAATTCTTTACATGAAGAAACCTCATTAGTTTTCTAAAATCCACATAATTTGAAAATTGCACCTTATTTCCATCCTAGAAAGATTGAAATATTCCCATGAAGTCGTAAGAGAACAAAAATTTATTTTTGGTGGTATCGCCATCAAAAGCTGTACAAGTGCATATAAATGCAATTAGCGTGCGTGTTTAATGTTACAAATGTCAATATTTGTCGGTGGTTCTTAGGAGGTTCTGGCATTCCACTGCTGAAGTTTTGATAGCAAAATTCGAAACTAGGATTGCGTATCTGGAAGCAACTTTGCAATTCACTATCCTTATTTGCTTTTCAGTCTTCTAAAGTTTCCTGTTCATAAGCCTAACTAGCCTTTTTTGACTTTCATGCTGTTATTGCGGGAAATGTCGTCAACTCAGTTGATAGTTCTTTATTTCCATCGACACTGATGACCGTTTATTCTCCTTTTTATGCATAATACATTTCTTCATTGCAACACACACTTATACATTCACGCTATCAAATATTTGTATGTTTCTTCCAAAGCTTTGATTCGAATATAATTTTTTCTGACCACAGTCTACTCTGAAATTTTGTTCAGCAAACTATGTCGACACTTTAAACCACTAAATATACACACTAACTAATCATTTAAATACGACTGTACAGCTTCTGTGAATGACATCTCCAAGACCTAATTTATTCACTGAAATCTCCCTTCGTTTATTCTAGACATTTTATCGAATTCGCACTTCGGCATTTTTCGGTTACTTCTGCTAACTTTTTTTGGATACTAAACTTGATGAAAGTATTGTAAGTTCTTCTAAACATCTCAACATATTATTTTACCCTAATAATAATAGTCACCGATCAAAATGTGCTTTTTTATCCATGAAACAGTGTTCAGCTTTTGTTTCTTTGGCACAAGATGTTAACCGAAGTCGAATTAGGTTGAAAAGAATTAAGCGAGGGTGGAAGAAGACATGACTCAAGTCTATGGAGACTTTGGCCGTTATTTTGAGACATGTCGGGAAGCGTGTGCTGCCCGGCCGGGTTCCTCAAAGTGATAAGAATCAATAGTTGAAGACTTCTGAAGACATGACTCAAAATACTTCACAGTGGCTCAGATCTACACACATTTTGTCACCGAGTATTTTCAATAACTTTTAGTTACATAATCTCTTCCCTCTCACATACTTCTATCAACTTTTGTGCTTCACACTTTCTATCCGCTTACACTTTTACTTACCGTCAATCAGCCATACAAGTAATAAAAACAATGGGACAGTATACCAATGAATTATTTCATTTTGCATTCTCAGACTTTTCATCAATTAACACATGATTAATCAATGATGCACTGAGTATGCCGCACTCATAACTAGTCAAGATCATCACTGAAGAGTATTGTGGTGTTTTAATATAGGTGTTTATGAATCTCTTAAGAGCAGTCGATAGTAACTGGAGCATTTGTATAAGGAGGAAAACTAGGTCTTTTTAGCTCACTGAATTTGTTTGACGTAGAAATAACTCAAGTTTTTTAACTCAAGCGACAGCTCATGAAAGCTCAAGTAATTCAGTGGCAAAAATTAAGAGCGAAGATGAAAAGTGATATTCTTGAAGGAACATAGTATAATATACAGTTATAGGCATGCCTCACTAAGGATTCTGCTAAGATGTATGCGCTTTATTTAAGGTTGTCAATAGATTAGCTTCTGTCCAAATATAGCGATATAACTACTCGGAGTTCCCTTTTCGAGAAATTTATTTGTTATTTCAGGTACTCTGCTAATTTCCTATCCTTTTGATGCTAGTTTGTATGCTCTGAGATCTTCGAAAGCCTCAAGTCTATGAACCGTCAGTTATTTAGACTAGAATCTATTCACTAGAAAACAATTCTGACGATGAACAAATAAGTATGGAGCGTGTCCAAATAATAGCAAAAACGCACCTATGGTTTATCATGTTTACCAAAAAAATGAAACAAGTTAACGTGCACGCACACACACAAATAATCTCATCGCACAAATAGTTTAACGAGTTAACCACCGTGCTAAAAATTAATGCATACGGAACTATGCAGATTGATAACCGTAAAATGTAAATCAGTTGCTGATAACACTTATTTGTCGTTTGTGTTTGCCAAAAGAGAAAAAAATCAATAGGTACTTGTTTATTTCGCCTAATTTTCTTCTGGTCAATCAAAAATACGACTATTTGTGAACACGGTTCACTAAATAAGATGAAGGGATATGGGTTTGAAATAAAGGGAACGGAAGCGTAAAACAATTGATTTTATTTTATATACATTTTATTCTGTACAATAATTTGATTGACTAATGTCAGTGAATCATGTGGTTTCATCACACATTTCATAGCTTCTTGTAATTCTTTAAGATACAACATGAAGGTTCAACAGAATGGACAACACTAACCTCTGATCTACACACAACCCAGTGGACATGGAACCAACCCAACCCACTAGTTGGATATCATGTTCGTATTCTTCCATCGAATCAATTCGGTGCAGGACATCCAACAAGAAGCACACTGATATCACCACAAGTTGGTAAGATAAATGTTTACTCAATAACTAAATTGAGTCAGTCTTTTAGCAATTGGAAGTTTGACTGTAAAACAGATCCCAACTGAGTTGTCCAACTGCTAAAACATTTAGTTACTTTGTGTTTGTTTATTCTTGTTAAACCCCCTTTCAATACACTACAAAAAGTAAGCTATGCATGATTTTCGACGTCATTGCGACTTGTTATACTTCATCGCAGTTATTAATGACTTCTTGAGTTAAATTATCAGAATGATTTGAGAATACAAGTTTTCTCTAGATTGAGAATGCACCTTTTTATCAGTTCTGATAAAACGAAACCGAGTTACAGCGCAACCTACTGCTCACCTAATCGAAATGAACAAAATAAGTCGGCAATATATCCATGTGCTTCTTCTAAGTATATAAAATACTCTAGGTCTTTTGTGATTCTTTACAATGAGTTCAGGCAAACAGAATTTCACCGGCTATGGAAAAAGGCAAATAAAGAATTACACTTATTTTTTTAAAACTGTAAACAACTCATAATATTATCCTACAGCAGAGGGTAAATCCACTGAAACTGAAAACATTTCTATTAAGTCAGAGGAATAAGAGGATAAAACTGACTGCCACTGGTCAGTGACATTTTTTTGAGCTAACGTCAGAAAAAAAGCTTCAAGCATACAGACAGTGCTATTTTAAGTACTAAATGTTATTTTATTGATGACCTGCACAGATCTTGTCCAATATTAATTGCAGAAAACAATTTATTCACTTTAACTCTGCAATTTTTTAAAATCAAATACTTGAATTTAAGGTATTATTTGGTTTCTTTTTGAACACTTTAGTCATACCTGATTTGACATATATGCGACCGTCTGTTGAATCTCCATCGGAAATTCTAAAAGGAAGGGTTGCACCTGAGCTCGTGTGGCAGATACCAAAATCGTATGCTTTGGATCGGACCTTCACACCTTATACATTTGAAGTACAAGTTAAAGGTGTAGAAAAGTCTACGAATCGTGATCGTATCAAATTGGAAATGAATAATGCAAAGTTATCAAAAGATGCTTCTAGAACTTCTGATAGTGAATACATTTGGAGAGTTTTAGCATCTGGTTTAAAACGAAATCGTTTATCTCTGGAACACTTAGATCCAGAACAAGAATACTGGTTACGAGTTGTTGCTGTTACAGAATATGGCCGAAGTACGCCGAGTCAACCTGTAAGAAAAATGGCTGATTTAAATGCACGTAAGTTCAAAAGCGTGGAGAAAACCATTACATACGCTTATTTTCCTCAATAAACTTGGAAAACTCAGTGTGAATAATACTTGCTTCAATTATAGTGCAATTCTGAACAAAACAAAAAGAGATTTGTTTTTAAACAACTAAGGTTAGCTCAGATAATATTAGAAACAGTTGCGCAGTCATGGGAATAATTTATGTAAGCGGAATGATAAACTACGAGCCATATGTGACTCCTTCCAACCAAAATGATATTAAAAACAAGGTGGATAAGGCCAAGTAAGAAATAAAATTGACAAGATCTCATCAGCGTAGAAAGAAAAGTTCAAAGTGAAACTATCATTACTTAATAGAGCAGTAAGTGTCATTTTTTGTAAACGAAGTTCATATGATATTCTCCTAGTGATAACGGCTTCATCATTTTATATCAGTGTGAAGTCTTTTGTTTTTGAACTGTTGTGAGTAATTTGACTGAGTCAGTTTAGTTTACTGTATCAAATATATAATGAGATATTGCATTGCTGAGTAAAGATGTTCTTCAACATGTGCTCAACAATCTCAATAAGCAGGCGTATCTTTGCTGTTCCTATAGACTAGCTCCAATTTATACAGCTGAATTCATCAATACACTTAGTTTCCGAGAAAATTATCTACAAACTGTAATGAAGACGCTTCAAAAAACAAAGTTTATTATGCTTTAAAATAGTAAACACTTTCTCTTGGATGTTTTATTCTTGCATAAGGGACAGCTCTTCAAAATAAATACTTTTACGATACTTAAGTCTACAAATACCATGGTCCACGTTGACGTTTCTTCCGGCTGAGTCGCCTTTGAAGTGTCCATCGGTATTGCCAACAATCTTTCCGTAGGATACTACCCAGCCGAGGTCACAAGGCATGATCCGCAACACAGAAGTTCCATTAGCTAGCGAAATATGTTACTGAACAACTTGAGTAGTCAGAAACCACTCAGGGTGATCTATATATTTCGCCAGCCAGATCAAAGTGATTTCAACACCTAACGACCTGTTTACTCGTTCGGGGAAGAGTTCTTCAGCGGTGTGCCGGAGCAAACTCAGCACAAAGAGCCGAATTAGTTCAGATCATCTAAATCTGGCTATCCGACTTTCATGAATTGCTATATCTAAAGATATATGATCGATTTGCAAATAAGTTATAAACTACATGGTCAACGTTTACATTTCTCACAGCTGGTTTCTAACTACTCAGTTTGATTGATGTTATATTAAGGATAACATCTTAAACATCTTATAACCAAAGAATCTTTTGAGACAGTAGGCAGGAAGTAAATAAGGAGAGCAGAAACTTTTGGATCAGTAAGGGTATCCGTTACAGTGTTAATGCTAGATGGTGATAATGTCTGCATGACCTTTTAAAATGTCAAATAATGCATCAAAAGATGCAGTATTTTGAAAGCCATTAGAAAATTGTTAAGCTGGTTTTCTAGATAAACTACTTATGTTCTTTCTTGGCTATGAATATCCTTAAAAACACTACGAAATATTTTACACCTTAGGAATAAAACTATTATATGACAATGAAAGCTAACTTATATGTTTTGAGAGCTTCCAACTACTCAACCTTAAAACAGGTAATGATGTAAGCACACAAACATACAGCTGAAGGATCCTTTTCGAACTATGTTTAGCTGCACAACACATGTAGGTGGCTTTGTACATTTATGCAGTAGACCGATAAAAATAATAAAGCACATAGAAAAGAAACACTCAACGAACTTAGCCTTTTTAGAGTGTGCAGTGTGGCTGTGATCTAATGCCAACGCTTCAGCCTAACGCTGATTACGCCATAAACAGGTTATTTGTTCAAAATCCAACGGTCCAGATTACCTAAATTCACTGCATACGGAAGATGTAAACTTAATTTTCTAACGAAAGTCAATCCAAATGAAGGTGCTTAAACATATTTGCGCAGTACATTTCGAACAATCTGATCACACATTTACTTGTCAAGTCAGTTTATATATGAAAATTAAAGGTCAAATATAGTGAAAATGAAAAGGTTGTGACACTAGTCTTGGTGATATAATCAGATAAGGATTACCAAGGTAAGTTAAGTGAAACAACAAATTGTTTTGGTACGCACAGCGGGGGATTAAGTTTACAAACAAACTTCAGTATGCGCCCCTGATTATTCCTGTATACTGTCTTAAACAATTTGTGTTTCACTTAACTTACCTTGGTAATCCTTATCTGATTATATCACCAAGACTAGTGTCACAACCTTTTCATTTTCACTATATTTGACTTTTAATTTTCATACAAAAATTGACTTGACAAGTAAATGTGTGATCAGATTGTTCGAAATGTATTGCGCAATATATCACATTTTTAGATAATCTTAGTCTTCTAATAGCCTTATCGAAATTTATTAAAGGGACTAATCGTTTCAAATAACATATCAATAAAAACTAGTGAATCCAGGGAATGGTATTAGACTCCAATTTTAGGTGAATAAATTCAAACCCCAACCATTTTCATCAAGCATGTATTTAGCTTTCATCAATAACTATCAACCATTTGTTTTTAATCTTTTTTCTCGCTGCTGTATAAAAAAGGGCGTAACAGATGCTCATCAGCCTCCATTGGAGTACTACATGAACCTACACCAAGTAAGTTGCTATGTTGAAACACTGCTTGTGACTAATCTTGGTTATCTATTTTTTATAAGTTTGTTTACATAAGCATCATCTTGAGAATGATCTTGTAAGGATGCGTGAGCAGATACCTGAATGGAAAGTCACAGGGCTAAAATAAATATTGTCAGTAACTTTGTATTCTTAATGGTCTAGTGTCTTCATTTGACTTTCTGTCTGCAATTTTAAATAATAGACAGGATTACCATTTTGTATACGTTAGAAAATACTGCAAGTTCAACGTTACAGTGCACCTGATGAAAACATAAACGAATCACTGTTCCTGACAGTCTCACGAGTATGTCATTAAACTTCTCAGCTAACTACAAAGAAATAGTGATGACAAGTAGTACGGTCACTGATCTCTTTTATTTTTGGTGTCTTTTCCACCCCAAACTAAGAATAAGTAATTGGTGATACATATCGAAAATCCAAGAAAATTTGCTTCCCCCTAACTTTGATTCCAGTAGTCTCTCTTCAGTTCCTACCACGAGTGAACAAAAGGCTTACACGCGTCAAATTTAGATTAAGACTTGTCTCTATCAGTATTCAACTAAAGCAGTTGGCTCAAGTCCAACATATTCTTAGGCTTGATGTGTAAACTGCATATTTGGCTAGATTATTTTTTCCAATGGTACTTTCCTCATTCTCGCATACTTGTTTTCATACATACCACTTTATTTCCCACTAACCTTCATTGATAAATCTTTTTCTGCTGTTCAAAAGAGTAACAGGCTGGTCAGCTGCAGATTTATTTTAGTTTCTTGACCGGATTTTCTTAGCCTACGATTTTAAGGCTATTTGAGTTTGACATTCGGCAACATGAAAGTTAAGCGTAGATAGCTTTATCAGTACAGTAACGTTTAAGCTAGAAAAGCACTTAGCTTAAATTATTTTCACTTCTGCTTACACAAGTTCGTTTCTGAGCCTAAATGAACTGTTTGGAGTTCTGGTCCATCTGTCATATCTAGACAACATCCAAGGCTAGATTGTGGTATGTTATTCTCAATGAGTGTTGTGGAATTAGGGTCTCTGAAGTACAACACTTGTGGAATGATAATTCTGGCTATGTGGCGGCCTATGGAATGGAATTTTAAAGAATTAGAAATCAACCAGAACTGGATATTTCTTTTTACCCGGATATAATTCTTGTGAGAACCAGGTACTGTTACCTCTTTTTCAGAATGGAGATCATATTTAGTGTGTGATGTCTTGAGTAAGCTGCTGAGTCGAAATTGGATAGCTGCATTGTTCTGCTGTATTTAACAATATAATTTATTCATTCCTATGAAAACTTTAATAATTTTATAGACTGACTAGAATTATGTACAGGTAAAGGATGGAGGCTGACTATGTGCACCAAAACTTTTTAAGAACAAAGTTTTCATTGCTTTTAACCAGAAATCGTAAAATATCTCATCACTTATTATTGACTTTCATGTACAACTTCAAAGTGAATAACAAATGTTTTAGTGTTTGACAAAGGGGTTGTGTAAATAGGGCAAAGTCTACTGATAATAGCTATGTCAACATTAACGATATAGTATATCATAGATTTTGGACGCAGGAATGCAATGCTTTTGTCTAAAAATTAATGAATAGTAAAAATATTTTCACTGTAACAAACGATAAATTGAAAGTTAAAAATGTCAAACAAAAACCACAACTGATGTATATATATATATATATATATATATATATATATATATATATATATATAAATTCATTGCCTGCGACAGAAAACTTTCTTTTGCTTATACACTCACCTATTTTCTTCATTTCGTAGTTCAGTGCAAAACTGGACAGGAATTTATAATCTTCAAGGTGTATGCTAACCTGATATAGGAAGCAGATTCTTTAAACTGTCAACTGTAGACTTAAACCTTTGTTGGATACAAAGTCTTTTATTGAATAGTGGATAAATATCCCCTATATCTAAATCATTATTGATGTGGGCATTTTACTAAAAACGTTGGATTGCTCACTTTCCCCAATGCACTGCTCTGTATTAAGGATTTTTCCTATTCCAGCGGTAAATAGTGTTCTCACTCCCTATATAATAAGACCGTATTGTATTCCATATTAAAATTTCGGAAGTAGTCAGCCAAAAATTTTCCATCAACTTATGTTATGCTTTTGCTGGTTCATCTGCATCACCAGTGAAACTTCGTATTGTTAAGAACTTATAGACTATATCACTTATTGCAAATGCGGTTTCGTGAGTAACTATTGATTTCCAGGGAGGTTTCATTCCGAATTGAAATCAGCTGAATAATCATTAAAACCCTGTAGACATCAAACAGATGTCTGATCCTTGTTTGAAACTGCTCAACAGTGCACCCTTATAGTAACTGGTAACTTCGGTTTGCAAATGCTTCTAATAGAAGCTTGAGAGAACCACCAATGGAATGGTGGAGACATTTGTTTTGAGGAGTATATACAATGTTACTTGCTGGTTGAACTCATTCTTAGATATTAGCTCAACTTTAATATGTCCCACAATATTTGGCTATGAACTATCCTTCAAATTTTAATTCTAATATAAAAAAGGCCATCAAGAATTCAAGAATTTCAAAAGCAGTAATAGAAGAAGGATACTTAGTATATTACGTTTAAAAACCCTGATACTAATTAATACTTTGTCGAACATAACATTCTATTTAATCTCCTATCACTCACATGATGCGTAATCTAAGCCAGAATGTTATCGATGTAGGCAAACATTACATAAATGAGTGCTGTACCATCTTAAGCTGTGAACAGTAAGATTTGCTAAACAGTTGTTTATGGTTCAAAAACAAGCCTTTTATGATCTCGAAGACTGTTCTATGTAAAAAGTTCACATATCTCCAGTTGCGTTTTCCAAGTATCGTACCAATCACGGCTTTAAGAGTTTCCAGGCTTTAGCTAAATCTAAATTAACGTGTTCTCGTTTGTTATTTGAAGCAAGAGTTATCCTTTTCCTTGGCTCTCAGGAGCTGAGTTTATCTATAAACTTCCATAAAAATTGGACAAAAAAGATAACTGTGATTCACTAATATAATATTAGTAAGGTATATCTTACGCTAATAACTGCTGAAATAACTAAACAGGTTTCGGTATTTCGGTTAAGAAGGCAGTTATTCACAAAATAGACTAATTAACTGTTTATATCAACAGTTGTTTTACACTCATCTCACTCAGCCTTCTAAACAAAAGGATCCAATTACTGAGTGACTTTAAAGGCCATTATACCAACTGCCGAGATGACTAATTACAGTTGTCTGTTTTATAAAAACTAACTTCCTAGCCGAAATATCGGAACCTGATGGGTTATTCGGAAGTTCATAGGGTAGCCTTCAAAGTTTATCGCAGTTACCTAGGCAAGCCAACATTAAACAATTTTTTATGAATTAATAGCTGTTTAACAAAATCAAATCAATCATTCGTGTAGACCAACCTTTACCCTTCAGAATACCAGCGTATAAAATTAAAAAACCGTCAGTTGCTGGATAACTTTGGTCTAGCTAAAAGTATTTGAAAACATAAAGGAACAGTTTTCAGTCACCCACACTGTCAGGTGATAAGTTTTACTAATGGAGTTATGCGAAAGAAAGTTTGATTGTTGAGTTCAGTTTCACTGAATCCACATCAATACATGTCACATGAATAATGCAACACCTCTTCTAGTATATAAATAACTCTACCTTCATGTATTTGGAAGAATGCGAAGCAATAAAGGTATGGAAAATAAACCTTAAGAGTTACATGACTAATTTGAGATAGTTACGGACAATTATGATCAATGTATCAAGTAGATAATACCATCATTGTGTGCTACAGAAAATAAGCTACAGTAGCTTAAACGACAATTATAGCGTTGAAGTCAACACTTTTTAGCTTCAAGAGCTAGCAACCAAATTTATTGCAATGTACTGTTGATTGTCTTATACTTGAAATCCCAATGTTTAACACATATTAACTTGAACTACTGATATAGAAACAAGAGAGCACAAGTTTTCCAAGCAAGCATCAAATACCACTACCTTTTTTTAATCTTTTGTCCAGCTCCAAATTAGTAAATGAAGCAGATAATGTATTGAGTAGCTGAATGAATCAGCCGAAGTTCAAAGTTAGGGCGGGGCTCTTATATATGCGTTAATGAATACCACCCCAGAAAGAGTTCAGCCAATCAAAAACGCAGTTTTAAAGCGGGGTAAAAATGAATCGCAAATGTTGTTAAGTATGTTGGCGAGAAAAATGGAAATCCATATTTTATCAAAAGTATAATATTAAAAATAAAGTTAAATAGTGTGTAGGCTAGCCTGTATTTAACATTCCCAATCTTGATTATAAACATAAATAAACCCCAAATTTAATAGTTGATTCATTTCTATGTAGATGTGAGTGTACATTACATGATTAAACTAGATTTTAGTGAGCTTTACTGCTAAACAATAAAGGTAAAAGCATGGTGGACAATACTTACCATTACATTTGCTTACGCTGACCATTTGCAGATTTATGACGAAGTACTAATTCTCAATACTTGGAGATATTTTCTCCCTGCATCTTCTTTTGAAGTATCAAGCGTCATTTGAGTTTGATTCCATTTATCTGTTTATCTGAAGTCAACAAAAGCTGTTGACTGACTTAATGCGTAAAAGAATTATGCATCTTTTGTATGAGATACCGTATGCATAACCTGTTACTTTTTATATTATATCTACTCTTTCTTGTGCTTTAATGACCTCTTTTTATAAAAATAGACAGTGCTATAAGTGTTTTTGAAATACGAAGACTTTGTGACACAAAACTAACCCATATTAGTTTGTTACAAAGTAAACGTAAATCCAACTGTTTATATATGGCTGGTTGTAGCTGCTTTGTGAAACTTAGTACCCGATTAGCTTATGTCTGCTTGCTCTGAACAAAAGGGTAATTCACCAGAATTTCCAGGTTTAAATAAAATGATCTAAGGATATTCGGTTTACACCATGATCTAGATGGTGAAGGGATTAATATCTTAAGGTGTTAATTATGTTTCGGTCAGTCATCCGTTTCTCTTTAAACTGTTATTTTTTGGATTTCAGGCGTCATATTTTATGTCTGTTAGGTTTACAATGATTGATTTTTACTTACTTTTACTGATATCTTTCAGTATTATCCAGTAATATTTTCCGTATTTAATGGAATTATTCTTGAATCCACTTCAACTGATTTCATGAAAATGACCAGCGAAGGTAAATAAGGTATACCTGAATCTCTTCTGTTTTCGGGTGTATTGAATATTCAAGTGTTGTAGTGATCATCGAATAGATAACTTTCTTTTAAATATCACCTAACACAAAACATGCATTTTTTTTGTTTCCGCATCATTTCAGCTTCACCTACCTTCACAGAACCGAACACGAGTATGATTTATGCTCCCGTTTATGGTCATGTAGAACTGAAATGTGTATTTCGCCCTGTGCATCCTGAACATGAAACACGTTTCACTTGGTATTTCAATGGTAAACTGCTAGATGCAGATGGTATGTTACTATACTTCAACATAAATGCACAAATGTATATTCGATTTCCACATTTTCCATAGACCTAGACAGTGTCAGATAAATAAAAAGCGTCGTCAAAGTGATTGGGAAAATGAAGCATTTGTTTTTTTAACAAAATAGGTTTCACGTGCTAGATTTTTTATGTTGTTAATTTTTATCTACCACTTCGTCATTACGCGATATATCGGGAAATGTCTCTTATTCTGGATTAAAAGTTTACATCCTTTAAAATTCAAAACGAGCCAATGTTGCAGGCCAAACAAAATATTCATTGATGTATGAAATACTTGGTTTAAACATTGCTAAATCCTACTACCATATCAGTTTACTTCTGATAAAACTAAGGCAAAGAATTTCAAGCTATATTATTGAAAAATTGTGGCCGAAAGAGGATGTTGAGAACTTGAAACTACTTTAGGAAAAGGATCTCATAAGTTCATAATTTTTGTTAACTGAGTGCCACTTGTACGTGATATTTCCCATTAGTACTAAACGACTATGTTTTGTTCTTCAAAAGAATATAAATACAAAAAGCACTAGTGGTCTATTCCACCACCTTCTGCTATTCCTTAGTAGCCTTTAACCCAAACTACATATGAGACAGGCCTCATCACATGTATGTTAAAATTCAGTCAGTAAATAGGGAGAAATCTCTGCATATTTGTTAATTCCAGTAAATAATTGATGAAGAATAACCAACATTTAATGTTTTCATTAAAATCGAAAACCACTGAGGGAAAACTACTCACTCACGATTCTAGCGTATCTTTTTCAAAAGAACTTATGTACTGATGTGTGCATTATCAAGTGATCACTGATAATGTTTTATTTTGTTTAAGAAGAGGAGTTGCCATCATATTACAATGATGGCTGAAGCTTGTTTCCCTGTACATATTAAGATTATTTTATTTTGTATGAATATCTCCAAAATTTTGCTGTCAAACCCTACTGTGTAACTACTTTCGAGAAACAAACTGGTGAACATCTCCCATTTATACTCGATCTTAATCCGTAGCACTTTTATTTCCGTTTCAAGGTGCTTTTTAACCAAACAACTTACCTAATTAGTCCACACAATAAAGAGTTTAGGCACCGTAAAGTTATTAATTCTTGTTTCACAAATGTAAACCTAGATGCGAACTACTAAAACGATAGTTTATAAAGTTAAAGATCCCCTGTTGAACAGATTCAAGTGTTGAATATTTTGGAGAAGTTGGAAGTAATACAGATTTTTAAATCCGCTTCACAGCGAAAGACTTATTCAGAATTCGATGTCTTTTACACTTTTCAGTGAGTTCAGCTTATCCTACCTTGAATCAAAAGTTCTACAGTACTGTATCAAAATCTGGAGATACAGCCATACTACACTTAAATGGAATTGGTGAAAATGATTTTGGTACTTATATTTGTAAGGCAGTGCATATGATGGGAACTGGAGAGAAAGAATTTATTGTGAAAATGGCAGGTAAACTTCAAATATTTCCTAAAACTAAAACTTTTGCGTCCAGCTAACTGTAAAAGTTCATTCTTTCTAGTGCTTTACATGGTTACTGTACTCTATTTGATTCCTTATTATGTGACGAGTTGTTATTATTCCAAGCATTAACTTGTTCTAGTTACAGAAGATAAAACTAAGTAAACTATTTTAGGACTGAGTGATTTTGCTTACAGTCTTAGTGGCATCTATCAGTGGTTTTACGTTTTTCTACAGAATTGCTACATTTTAGTAAGTATCAATACAGCCCTAACTCAGACGGATAGGTGAAGTATATATATAGTTTGCTAGGAACAGTTATAAAAATTGAAGTTCAAAAATGCTGTACTTGTTAGAAAGTTATTGTTTTTACTATTGGTAGTAATGTTGTTTGTTTTGCTCTTACATTTCAGATGCCCCTGTATTTTTAGAAGTCCCTACTCCGTTGTTGACTGTGAAATTACATTCTCGTTTTGAGTTACGCTGTCTTATTGATGCATTACCACCCCCAACAATAATATGGACAAGGGATTCTAAAAGAGTTGTTGAATCTCATCGTACACAAATCGGTAAAGGTGATAGAAGGTTGGTGAACAGAACCCCAAGCATTTCAACCTGTGACTTTAGCACGGATGCTACTCTATCTATTGATAAATGTATTCATCAAGATGCTGGTTTGTATACGTTAATCGCTGAAAATATAGCCGGTCGAGTAATGACTAGTTGTTTGATTCATGTTGAAGGTAAATCTTTACAAATATGATCCTTAGTTCTAAAAAAATTATTTTATAGTTTTGGTGAATCACTCCTTATGTACTATTGAAATATAATGCACCTGCGAACCACGTGATCCAGTACAGTCTGGTATCCAATAAGATTGAAATCAGCAGTACCTAAATATATCATTAGGAGTACAAATATTTAAAAATCAACTGGATAAAAAATTCACAAATTACTTACAAGTTACACTAATCACAACATTTCTCAACCAAAAGACCTTGATGTTATAGAGATTTTGCCGGAAAGCATTCTCCATCCATCCTACTTTGACCATAAGCTGTGATATATAAAAAAAATATTGATGAAACTATGTATAACATATACTTCATGGCACAAAAGCTTTCGTTCTCCATAGATTTCTTTAATATATCATTCTAAATTTAGCTGGTGTCCTGATGAGATCATAGTCAGGCCTGTGAAAATGTGTTCAAGTTATAAGAAATGTTGACGTAAACGGTGGAGGTTATGGATCCTTCCTGTGTAACTTCCTTTAATACTTATTTTTTAAGTTTAAATGATAGACAGGCCAGCGGTAGATGTGATGTCCACTTGTTTTTTTAAATGTTAACTGCTTTTCGAAATCCCATAGTATTTATTTACCCCAAATCAAATCGACTGTAGCTTTTAAAGCAGGACCCTAATGCTTGGTGGTTTTGGGAGAGAATCTATCAAAAGATTCATATGAAGCTGCTCTCCACAGCAAATCTCATGTTCCTTGTTGGCTGACGTTTTCACCACAATTGGCGAATAAGTAGTGACCTCAAAAGGCCAATCATGTCACAATCCTGTGCATATTATTCTTGTAAATGGCACTGATATATAAGACTATAGAACGATTCTCATATGATGACATGTATTAACAAGCCTGCACAATGAGATATATAGTGGGTTTCCTGGAAAGTAACGATTTTGGCTATCAGTAGTTGAATATGACTACTAATATCGTTCACTGCGAAGATGGAAGTAGATTGGCAGTGGAATAAACACTGTTGAGTCATATTTCCGAATAGTTTCATTGCACCATTGATTTCTTCATAGTAACTTTCTAAAAGGTGCTTTTATCCGTCAACCAGTGACTATGACATAAAACTTATTGTAAACGGTGGCAGCAAGCCTACTCACACTGGAAGTAAACTGGTTCATGCTATAAAATTAGTTTTGCATCCATTCTATGATCACAATAATCTTGATGTTACTAATAAGATACCCATCGGTAAGTACAAGTTACTGTTCTAAATGCTTCTTCGTAGATTGAGGATCCCAGGAAGTTATATCCTCAAACATATAAAAGCCAGCCATAATTTAGAATAAATGATTATCTGCATACGTGTGTTCAGTCATCATCATGATGAAACAGAATATGGTTTAAAGCTGTCTTACTTTAGTGTGTGGCAATTTCCATAGACAAAACTTAATCACAGGCATTCAACTTAAAATGTAAACATGAGTTGAGAAATTTGTAGTTGGACCAGCAAATTTTGATATTTTACCTTGCAGAAACTTTTTTCACACTAAAAGAATTTCGATGATATACCTATGTATGCTTTTTGCTGTGAGTAAATTTTTCTTTGATTTCTAATGTTATCTACTTGAGCATCAGCAATCAGGATAATAAAAATGATAACTATCTCTCTCGGTGCCACTTTACGGTTTCATATGCTCCATAGTGAATTGTACCTAGGTCACTATTACTCAGAATATTGTAGACTCTCAAATTTTAGTTTTTAAAATGGAATGCCTGGAATTATGGACTACAACTAAGCAATTTAGGGGAAGTAGAAAATCCAGTGTAATCATTTGACTCTAAAATTGATTTAAGGGACCTCGAAAGCCACCATAAGAATGAATATTCCTAGTTGTGCTGCAGAACTTAGTATTTCGGATTTCCTTTTCTTATAACTAAAATGAACCTTGATGAATCAAATTCGTCAACAAAATCTCGTAACTCACTTATGCTACTTGCTAGTAGTCTGCACATTTTCGTATAATTTCATTTCGCTTCATTCTTTATTCAGAAAATCCTGTTCCTGCCAATATAACTCTAAGATGGACAAATATAGAGGAGCATTATTTCGTACTGCGGCGACTTGAACAGTAAGCAGTTAACTCCTTTTAATTATATTTAATGGATTGCATATCTTGTTTGCAAATTATTTGCAAATTACCAGGTACAACTCTACGTTTCCCTCAGTTAAGCACTTTCTCAAATGCTCAAATGAGTTGTCAGCAGAGTCTGTGTTGGAAACCATTCAGCTAAGACCACAAAACGTGATAATATGAAAGCGTCATGAAGTAACACAACATACTGCTAAATGGTACGAGAAGCCACAAACTATTCTCACACATGTGCATATTTCTCTGGCTAGATGAAAGTGATATAAACACTGAATGGCTATCTCACACCTGATTGATCTGTGTGAATTGACTTTATCTGAGCACAATGCTGGCGAGCTTGGCTGCAAAATAAGGATACAGGCAAGTGTTGGAAAGCGACGGCTGCAGATCAATATGAGTAGTTTGTAACTAGTCAGTGTGTTAAACTTTATGGAGCAAATGCTGATAAAATCTCTTAGTCTGGTGATGAAACGTCCAAGAACAAACCTCAAAGCTCCGAGAACACTAAAAATTGTCACTTTCATTTTTCTTCCTACTCCCTACCCCCCTGCGGCTCATAGTACCAGCCACAGCAATCAGAGACTGGTCCTGTGTCTTAGTATGTTTATCCTTCGCTGCGATGCTGCTTAGTCTTATTCTGGTCTGCATAAAACTTCGTGGAGGGAATAAGACTCAGTATGCATAATATGTGTTCCTAATTTCAACTTATGATAGTTCATAGATTTTCCAACCGATCTACAGTCATAACTCATGCTCCAAACCCAAATTCAACACTTTTATATTAGAAAAACTTGGATGAATAATCTTTCAACTGGAGAAATACGTTCCACTTGAGCAAACGTATTCGAGAAAGGAGAAAACATCAACATCTCAAACCAAACCCGAACATACTATACTAAGCCTATATGTACCTATAAACTCAGTGAAACCAAAAATGTTGATCAAGTTTCCGCACAAGGTACATTAACACTAAAAACAATAAAATAAAACTTAGCGAAAATTTAAGCGATTAGAAATGTTGGTACTGAAAATTTGAGAAATGTCAATGATATTATCATTGGTCTGTCCCTTGGGTACCTAGTGGGACAAAGGGATTCACTAGCACGTCTTCACTTCACACTCTTCTCTGCAGTCTTTCCAACCTGGCTCCACCACTCCCAACAACCTTCCATTTCTTCCTCACACAACCTCCTCCACGTCAACCTCGTCACCAACGCCCAACTTGTCCTTTCCCTCTATATTCCACTCGACGACTCGGCCTGAAGCGTGATATCCCCAGTTGGTCTTCTCAGTGTATGCCAAATACAACTCATCTCCACTTTCTTCTGCATATTTGTTGGGCGATGGGTTCTTCGTTGGTTGGTGTGTGGCCAGCCAGCCGGCAACAGTTCCTTGTTGCTTATTCTTATTATTCTGGCTATCTGATCTGATCTTCAGTATCGAGTGAGTGTAGGCGGCAGCTGTGGATGAATGTCTGTAGTTTGTTGGAAATACTTTTCGCAACGCACCAAGGTTCCGAACCATATAGAAACACTGACTTACTTGACTGACTTTAGTGTTGAAAATCCGGATCTTGTTCACGCTTCATGCTGAGTGCAATGCAGTGCAGTGCGATGCAGTGAAGTGAAGTGCAGTACAGTAGATCTCCACACTGATTTCAGGTTAATGAAGGAAGGCCTGTCTTGCTCTCTTTCCGATCCTGGCTGGCTTTGACGTCCTCATCTGTGCTTGTGTCGCCTGTACTTGAAACGATGCTACCTAGGTAGATAAGTAGGTGAAACAGACTACTACCTTCAGGTTTCTCCCATTCATGGTGATTGGTGCTCATTGTCCTTGTTGTTGTTGCTGCTGTTCGTTGAGCATCTTCATCACCTCTGTCTTCTCTACGTTCACCTGAAGTCCCGTCTACCTTCGCTGCCTCTTCTGTCAACTTGTTGGTTTTCGTCTGTAGATCTTAGAGCTTGTGCGACAAGACATTGGATATAAATCATCATCGGCGAAATCCAAATCTTATTCTGGTGTCTCTTCATAGGTCCAGCCAACGTATGCCCATCTTCTCGCTCCTCACAGTTGTCTGCTGCATGATCCAGTCCAGTCGACCACAATCACGAAGATCATCGGTGATAGTAGGCGGTACCCTTGTTTTGTCTTACTCTACTCCCGTCTTCACTTCAACGGCGTCACTGAGCTTTCCATTGTCAATCACTTGGCATGTAGCATCATACAGCATACAGCTGTTGAATGAGGTTGATAAAGGTTTCCACAGTGCCCAAGTTTTACTCTTATATTGATAAAGGTTCGTGGAACTGAAACCGTAGTGTTGAAGCAGCTGCCTGCCAAATTACTTCTCGGCTGACGCTATCGAAGGCCTTTTCAAAATCGATGAAGTTGAGGTGGTGAGTTGACTGTCATTCTATGCTCTTTTCTATGACGATGCGTAGCGTGGTGTTGCAATTTGATCAGCACATGATTTGTTCTTCCTGAAGCCAGCCAGCCAACCAACCAACCTGTTCTGCTCGTACGTTTCAATCCACAACATTTTCGTTTCAGTCTCTCCAGGATGATGCGGCACAATTTTTGCTTGAGGTGGACAGGGATAGAAGCATGATTCCTCACCAGTTCTTGCAAACACTTAGGTCGCCCATCTTTGGGAGTTCGATGAGGTAAGCCTTCTTCCAATCAGTTGGCAGATACCTTCCCCTCCTTCCAAACCTTCTACAGTAGTGATGTGAGCACGTCTGTTGCTGTTGTCTCTGCGTCTGTTTTCAGTGCTTCTGGAGGAATCCCATCTGCTCCTGCTGCTTTCCCGAATTTCACCAGCTTTATGGCGTTCACAACTTCACTTCTGCATTTGTCGGAGGGCTTGTGTTCACTGGTAATTCTGTGGCTGGGCTGCAGGCGGCATTTCCGGACTACTTGCAGTTGGTGGTCGTCGTCGTCGTCATCATCATCGATTCAAGAGTTTTCTGAAGTGGTCAGACCGTCGTTTCATTTGTTTCTCCTCTTTGATGGCACATAAGTTTCCTCCACTATCTCTTATTAGTTTCGTCTGCGTTGATCTCTCCCCTCCCACATAGTAACCTGGTTATTTGATACAAGGTTGTCAGGTCTCTGTCTCTCCTACCTGCAGCCTGTTCTGCTTCACTTGCCAGTGTGTCGTGGAAGTGTCTTTGTCTTTGCGCTCACTCTTCTTCACTTCTTTGTCCAGTGTAGTGTTTTGTAGGTTGTGTTCAGTTCCTCTTTTCGTTGTTCATCCCTGCACTGCACTGCACTGCACCACTTCATCTTCTGCTTCACCATCACCATCTTCCTCTCCCAGCTCTATCAGCTTCCGTGTGTCAGTTGAGATCCATTCTATTCCCTGTCTTGTTTCTTCTTCCTTACTAACACGGTCATGCAGGTTCCCTTCCACGTCTCCTTCGAAGGGTTCGAGTCCTCTTACACACAGGTTTCTTCAGGGATGTTGCTCATCGTCTTCCATTTCTTCCTGATATCTGACGTGGAGATGTCCTTTGAGGTTTCGTGCTTCAGTTTCTGTCCTAGGTTGGTTTTGAACTTGAACTGTGGTCTATCACCAACTTCTATGAAGCCTTCCAACTTGATTTTGAAAGTAGGTTCCTTGCACTAGATAGGTATTGATTGATCTGAACCTTCATAAAACTTGTTTATGCCAAATTTCAGTTTTAATCATTGGCTGTGAAACGTTAAATATTCCTCTAGAAGCCTCATAGAAATAACTTTTTTATTCGCTATTTTTTCATCACACTTTACAGGGAATTATGATTGAACTTAGGAATAAAATTGTAAGGCAACGTGTTATAAACCTGAGCTATATTTCCAAAGAATTTGTAAAACTCATGAGTTTTGTTTAATGAGTGAAATTCTAATTACCTTGCCGCTGAGCTACGCTAATGTTCACTTGAATAGCTTCAGTGTTACAGTGATCAGCAGAGTTGAAATAATAATAATAATAATAATAGCCCTTAAGTGAAGCTGTTATTACCAGACTATTTGTTACGTGATTACATTCACATGCGACAAATTTATAGTCAAGATTATTGATTTAATCCTCTGTCTGTTTTACTTTGAGTACACTTTAACATTAACCTCCAGACCCCACGTGTCATGGTGTTTCAGTTTTGTCGAAAACAACTATCGCTATAACAATCAGATTTATCCAAACACTAATTATTTTCAAATATTGTCTTAAATATCTACAGCTGGCAATGTCATTTTGAGGTTATTAAAAAATTTTGTTTTTACTGACTTACGGTTAACTTATGACTATGTGATTTCCTGGAACTTCAGAGTTAATCTGATTATTTCTAGACTTTTACGAGATTTCTAGCTTCTTTAGAGAGAGACGTGACGATAAAACACTGTGTCCTAACAGCTACACTGTGGATTAGTGTTGAACTTGAACTGTGGTCTATCACCAACTTCTATGGAGCCTTCCAACTTGATTTTGAAAGTAGGTTCCTTGCACTAGATAGATATTGAGTGGTGTGAATCTACATCTTCTCCCCTTCTTCATCTGATCTTGTGTCCAGTAGACCGACTGCATCTCCACTTTCTTGAGATTCAGATGAAGTCGATGTGATTTGTAGTGTGTCCTGGTGTCTGGTGAAATCCATGTCGCTGCCTTGTGAATGTCCTTGAGTTTGTACACACTGCCTCGCCTCCAATCACCAAATCGTTGAATGCGCAGAATCCTGCAAACAGTTCTCCATTCTCGTTCACTTCACAATCGATTCCTTCTCCACCCATGGTGAGTTCTCTTCGTGCCTTCTCGGCTCTCAGCTGGGCAGTGGAATAGTATTTGCCAAATCTATGAAAAGCAACTCGATCGCAGTCATGGATATGTCAGTTTATCTAAAGAAATTCAATGAATATACTGAAATAGGACCGAACCTATTGAGAAATTTTGGCACTTGTTGACACAATTGTGAGCAACATTAAGAGGCAACAACTGACTTCATGTACCCAATGAAGCTCTCTTTGGATTCAGTTTAATACCTAAAATTAATAATCCCAGTAGGATTCATCACACATTGTGATTTATAATCAGGTTATCTTATTAGGCCAATAGATGACTTCAAAATACACCAACATATCAATTATATAAATATTAATCAGTAATACTACCTTGTTAGAACCCGTTTGAATTCTTGGCTAACCACTTCCTTTGATTTCCAACAGAGACTAAATAACATGCAATTTGACAATGGAGAAAAATGATCAGTTTTGATGTGATCAGCCTCTGTAAATATATACCAATCAATGTGGCACTGGAGGCAGTCAGAAAAAAACTTGTGACTGGCCACGAACTCCGGAACGGAACTGGAGTTTCGATTGGATAAACCATCCAAGGAATACGACTGTGTCTGATTTCGATAGTCTTCAAAGTTTAAGACGAAAGTATAGGCGGACAAAAGGTTTGGCTTTTGGATCCCTAATATTCCTTATTGTAGTGGATATATTCATGGATAGTTAGAGGTCGAAAGGCATTAAGAATATTCAAACTACCTCAAAAGTACAGTGGCTATATGTAGATGACATCAGCTGTGTCCAGTCATAACACATTCAGCACTTTTCATGCATAAACTCGATACTGGGTGCAATACAATTCAATTATGGATTGGTAAATGAAAAAGGAGAATTGCCGTTATTGGACTGCAAAATCAAGAGGAGAGAAGATGGAAGCCCAGATACCAATGTTTACAGGAAACCAACACATTCGAATAGATACTTGGATTTCACATCATGTTACTGCATACTTGTCAATGCAGACTCGCTAAAATGTTTAAATAACGGGCTAGGAGTTTGACTTGTAAGTGAGAAAACCAAAATAAGGAACTGAAACGCACCAAAGAGATAACAGTTCTTAAAAACTACCCTCCGAAGTTTATAAACTTTATGAGAACTCGTAAAAGAAAAACCAATAAGATGGGTGTTAGTCACTGCATCCTAAGAAGGGATTCGAATCCTCTGTACTGTTGCCGTATAAAGAAAGCAGCATTCTTGACAATGCTGGGATTAGAGGGTATTTAAACACACAAACTCACTCGAAGAGAAACTTTAAGGCCAAAAACTCCAGCAAATCAAATTTAAAAAATATCAAGATATCAAGAAACGTTTGCTAACATTAAAATGAAAGAATGAAAAACGGTCGGACCATGCAAGTGTGATCTGAAAGTCTTGTGGTTACTTTCATATGAATAACAGCAATAAATTCTGGTCGAAACTCCATCCAGTAAAGTGTTCCGTGTCGCTGTATGGTATACCAATCAAGTAAACGATATTATATGGAATTGAAGTGCACCACAGTGTCCAAGCTTACTCTTATACTCCACATTGTTGGGATATTAATTTCAGTGCACCCTAGAAACACCAGAAAGCTATTGAAGATCGATTACTTGTGATTTTCGTCAATCGCAACAACCGGCGGCTAGATTTTACAGTCATATTGTAGGGTAAACAGTTTTATTTCACAAGACACTCGGTAATTACCACGCATTCATACTTCGTAAATAAACTTATCACAGATAGTATTTGTTTCCGATCAAACAATATACAGTATATTGGATTTGTTTATTTGATTTATAATACAGTGATATAGTATTATTTACTTGATGAGGTTTAGAGCATGAATTATTGCTCATAACTATATCACTATCACATTGATGTGATTATGAGCAATAATTTATCCTCGTAACGTCATCAAGTAAATAATACTATATCACGGTGTGTTATAAATAGATATGGAACTAAATTCCAGCAGAGCCCAAATTTACACTGATATTAAAATACAGCATTTTCTTACTTCTGTTTCTTCCATCTCAGTGATTCATCTTCGGAAGTTCGTTTACTAATTGATAAGAAGACAAATAGTGAATATATTGGAAAATTATTTAACTTAGACAATCCCACTAGTCGTATTAATGGTGCTCGTGAAATGGAGTGTTTAACACGTTTATGTCATAAAAATGTTTTAAAATTAGTTGATGCACTTATCAGTGATAATGTCCTGATTTTAGTCTGTGAAAAGTAAGTTATTCTTCCTACAGTACTTATTTCTATCAGGCATATTATTTATTTAAATATCTGAATTAATCCGCCTAAAATGTCCTGTTGTTAAAGGTGATAACCATCTTCCGAGTGTTGTTAATTTAATTCTCGACGCATTATCCAATCAGCTGTTTATTAGTAAAGCTGACTTTCAAATTCTTGAAAAATGCTACATAGGATGATCAATTTGCAAATAATTTACAAATTGCACCGTCTATGTTGACATTTCTCATAGCTGAGTGGTTTTTCAACTGTCCATCTGCGGTGCCGACAAGGTTTCTGCTAGATATCACTCACCCGAGATCACAACGTGTGACCTCTGACAAAAAGAGTGTCACGAACTAGTGACAGATACTACTACTGGGCACCTTAAGTAGTTAGAAACCACTCAGGCTGATCTATATTATTTCTGCAGTTAGATCAGAGTGATCTAAACAACAGACAGCCATTTCATTCTTTTGTGGTCAAGGTCATCAGCAGTATGGCCGGTGAAATACTATAGATCAATATGAAAGGTTTCTAACTGCTTAGGTTATTCAGTAGTAGTATCTCTCACTAGTTCATGACAAGTTTGTGTCAGAAGCCACATGTTATGATCTCAGCTGAGTGATTTCCAGTAGAAACCTTGTTGGCATCACAAATGGACATTTGTGAGATATTTCACAGTGGACCATACAGTTTTTAAACCATTGGCAGATTAATTATCCTATTTTAGCTATACCTTTCATTCAAGTCAACCAGTAAGATTCAGGTGGTCTGAATCGATTCGGTTCTGTAAGCTAAATTTTTCCGGGTACACTGCTGATGAGCTCGGCCTCGAACGAGTGAAAAGGCCATCAAGTGCTTAGATCACTCTGATCTGGCTGGTGAAATCTACAGATCAGCTAGAGAGGTTCCGATCTACTCAAGTTGTTTCAACAGTTGTATCTCTCAAATCCCAGGTAATTTTCAGGATTTATTGTATGTTCTAGACTCTGACTTCTATGCTAATGAGAACTGTTTTATTCAGAATAGTGACACAACGTTGTAGACGATTTCGCTTCCATTTACTGAAAACAATAAAGGTACATACTTATCCACCCTTCATTTGGAACTCAAATAGGTCATTCAACTTTTCTGTTAAGTCTTTGAGGGTAACTTTTATGACTTCTGGCATCTAGAAGGAGGAGGTAGGTCTTCTTGACAAATTCATTAATTTTGTGTTATAAAAACTTCTGAAAAGAAAAGCTCTGAGGCTTAATGCGCTTTCTGAAGAAAATTTATCATGTATGAGAATATTTTTTGGCGTAATTTCAGTTTATTCAGCAAATTCACTCAAAATGCACTGATCAAATGGCATCCATTGAAGATGATTCATAGAAAAAATGTTACTTTCGCTGAGTTAATTTTCGCTTATTTTCATTCATTTCTATATACAAATACAGATTGACTTTATACAATCAATGCGGCTGTTAAATAATGCAAAAGGAAACATTCGTTTGCTTTTATGAAATCCAAATAATTCTGACGTTGTAGTTGTTTTGAATGAGCTTCCTATAATATTGGTTTACTAATATCAAGGTTTTCAGTCAAAAAATCAGTCACTCTAACAGATCATTTTCTGTTGGCAAATTTCAGATATTTGCTTAGACAAACAAATCTAAACTCATAAAAGCACTAGGTGGTATTAAGTACTGGCAATCTTTAATATAATATCCACTTGGTTATTTGTTCAATGGAGCTCTGAAATAGATATGATGCATAGGAGGTTTGTGTTGTATAACGCTGAAGTTATTACTTAGTGGTTTAATGCAAGTTACATTGAATTAATGAATGCAAATAATTTTGAAGCTATTCCTATGGACCAAGAATCTTGGTTTAAGCAGGATTAAAAATGTTTGCTTCAGAAATACGGACCTGGAGTTTGAATTCTTATGAATAAGGCTTCGTCAGCGGTTCTTGCTTTTGTTGTAATTCTGGTCAACCCTAAAAATACCTTTTATCTTCCTAGTTGCTCTCAGATTTGTCAATCAGCACACGTGATTTGGTTGAAAAGTTGCATTAAATTAGGAGACCACTTACTCAATGTGGATAATTTTATTTCAACATGAGTGGTGAGATACAGTTGGAAGATATTGCGACTGCTGAGTAGCACTTCTGGCTGAATGTAACTAAGAACTATAAACACTTATTTGCATTAAATCCATATCTTATCGTTAGAATGTAATTGCTAACATCATGGAACTGAATTCTCGAAATGATGCGTTTCAAAACACTCTGACTTACAGTGCAGTTGACTTGTAAAACTGGCTTTCTATAAATACACAAATATCTTCATAAAAATACTGGGTGCTCGAGTAAATAGCACACATTACATTGCCGAAATCATAAAATAAGTTGGAAAAATTTGCTCAATCTATCTGTAACTATACTGAAACGTAATTTGACCCTTACTCCCTTTATCAGATTGTCCGGTTCAAACCTTCTTGATTCAGTGCTTGCTTGTGAAAATTGGTCTGAAATGGCAGCAGCAGCTATCATTCGGTCAGTACTTGAAGCACTAGAACATATACATAGTCAAGGAGTAGTTCACTACGATATCCAAGTAAGTGTTATTCTTTATGCTAGATCAATAAAAGTAAGCCAACTATCTGATTTATTCCTGGGAATTACACAGCATGTTGTAATTAACGCATTTATTGATTCATAATTTTTTTCCAGAGAGAGATGACTGCAACAAAAATATCCTTCTGTTAAAAGTATTAAATGCTAGAACGATACAGATGGGAACACTTTATAAGAAGAGAATTCCGCTCATAGGATAAAAGTTGAAAAGTTGATAAAATCAGGTTAACTGAAATAGACAGAAGTTACGGAGGTAAAGGCTAATTACTGAATAGAAGAATTTTATGAAGTAAAAAGAAGTGACTTAATTTCGGCCGGAAAACAATGTGAGCAGAAAGTATGAACTGGATTTTTAAGTATGAAGTGTATTTTAAAATCATGAATCATGAACATTCTACACAAATACAAGAGCTTCTTGAAAAAGCTTTTTATGAATCTTTAGATTGTTTTAAATTTAATCTTGAAAGAATCCCAATTTTCTATATTCATGCTTTATCTTACTGAAAGGACAGTGAAAAATTTCCCCTCTTTTACGTCCAAAAAAGGCTGGTAGGTATTGATAGACAAGTTTCGTAAGCGAGTACATGTTGCGATTATTGAATTCAGCCGAATTTAAGTAAGTAGATCAGTAAACCCAAACTGATGTTACAGACAACGCAAAATTGAGCAAAGATATCTCTTTCGGCGATTCCACTCACCACAGCTCTTAAGTAGCGTTTCATACATTTTTTCTGTTTAACTGTATTGGATACTTACAAGAATTATTTAATTACTCTTAGTAATAAAGACCAAGTTGAGTGCAGATTAAAATTCACAAGTGTGATGCAAGCTAAAAATTACTCACAAAGAGCATGCAAACTAAAGTAATTAACCGGATGGAATTTAAAGCTGCATAATGTGAAAAAATAGTTTACCAGATGAACTATGATCAAAGGTAGCATCGAAACAGAGTGAAGACCATTTTTAGTTAGTAAGTTACATCATAAAATGTAGCGAAATTGTAAACGGCAAGAGGGAGATAGAGGTCGATTTATTGTTCACCAAGGTGGTAAAAAAGGTTGCACAAATTTTTTGTACAAATAACTTCGGTTTTTCCTTGCATATTACAAGGGCTTCTACAGTACAAAGAAGGCAGAAGACCACCATTTTAGGTAAGTTTCTTGTAGGTGACTTTGAACGCTGAATCACTTCTGATGCTATGACCAGTGTAAACGTGTTTACTTATTGCACTTCTGATGGATCCGCTAGCACCTCTTCGTAGCTGGGTGGGGTCATGTTCTCTATCCCGTTTGAAAAGAATTCACATCAAACGACTTACGAACCTGGCTGCACAGGAGCAGGTGAATTAATAAATGCATATAGTCTTGCTAGTAACTACCCTAAAGGAGTAAAAAAGACTAAGATCTCGATGGTTAATTGAAAACATTAAGTGTTCATTCATTTTGCGGCTGGAGAAGCCGTATCATCTAAGTTGAATATACTACTTCATCACTGAAAGTCACCTTAAAAAGATGACCGGACGGATTTGCCCAATTACCTGAAGATAATTAATAAATTATATAATTTTTGCCTTAGGTTGTAAAGGGAATATAGGACTTCAGTAGCTCTTCTCAGTTGCACTCTGCTCTCTCCAGTCTTTTGCAAATCAATCAGCAGGTACCTTTTTCTCACTTCACTCATTCCTACCTTCCTTCCAAACCTTCTACAGTAGTGATGTGAGCACGTCCGTTGCTGTTGTCTCTGCGTCGGTTTTCAGTGCTTCTGGAGGAGTCCCATCTGCTCCTGCTGCTTTCCCGAATTTCACCAGCTTTATGGCGTTCACAACTTCACTTCTGCATTTGTCGGAGGGCTTGTGTTCACTGGTAATTCTGTGGCTGGGCTGCAGGCGGCATTTCCGGACTACTTGCAGTTGGTGGTCGTCGTCGTCGTCATCATCATCGATTCAAGAGTTTTCTGAAGTGGTCAGACCGTCGTTTCATTTGTTTCTCCTCTTTGATGGCACATAAGTTTCCTCCACTATCTCTTATTAGTTTCGTCTGCGTTGATCTCTCCCCTCCCACATAGTAACCTGGTTATTTGATACAAGGTTGTCAGGTCTCTGTCTCTCCTACCTGCAGCCTGTTCTGCTTCACTTGCCAGTGTGTCGTGGAAGTGTCTTTGTCTTTGCGCTCACTCTTCTTCACTTCTTTGTCCAGTGTAGTGTTTTGTAGGTTGTGTTCAGTTCCTCTTTTCGTTGTTCATCCCTGCACTGCACTGCACTGCACCACTTCATCTTCTGCTTCACCATCACCATCTTCCTCTCCCAGCTCTATCAGCTTCCGTGTGTCAGTTGAGATCCATTCTATTCCCTGTCTTGTTTCTTCTTCCTTACTAACACGGTCATGCAGGTTCCCTTCCACGTCTCCTTCGAAGGGTTCGAGTCCTCTTACACACAGGTTTCTTCAGGGATGTTGCTCATCGTCTTCCATTTCTTCCTGATATCTGACGTGGAGATGTCCTTTGAGGTTTCGTGCTTCAGTTTCTGTCCTAGGTTGGTTTTGAACTTGAACTGTGGTCTATCACCAACTTCTATGAAGCCTTCCAACTTGATTTTGAAAGTAGGTTCCTTGCACTAGATAGGTATTGATTGATCTGAACCTTCATAAAACTTGTTTATGCCAAATTTCAGTTTTAATCATTGGCTGTGAAACGTTAAATATTCCTCTAGAAGCCTCATAGAAATAACTTTTTTATTCGCTATTTTTTCATCACACTTTACAGGGAATTATGATTGAACTTAGGAATAAAATTGTAAGGCAACGTGTTATAAACCTGAGCTATATTTCCAAAGAATTTGTAAAACTCATGAGTTTTGTTTAATGAGTGAAATTCTAATTACCTTGCCGCTGAGCTACGCTAATGTTCACTTGAATAGCTTCAGTGTTACAGTGATCAGCAGAGTTGAAATAATAATAATAATAATAATAGCCCTTAAGTGAAGCTGTTATTACCAGACTATTTGTTACGTGATTACATTCACATGCGACAAATTTATAGTCAAGATTATTGATTTAATCCTCTGTCTGTTTTACTTTGAGTACACTTTAACATTAACCTCCAGACCCACGTGTCATGGTGTTTCAGTTTTGTCGAAAACAACTATCGCTATAACAATCAGATTTATCCAAACACTAATTATTTTCAAAATATTGTCTTAAATATCTACAGCTGGCAATGTCATTTTGAGGTTATTAAAAAATTTTGTTTTTACTGACTTACGGTTAACTTATGACTATGTGATTTCCTGGGAACTTCAGAGTTAATCTGATTATTTCTAGACTTTTACGAGATTTCTAGCTTCTTTAGAGAGAGACGTGACGATAAAACACTGTGTCCTAACAGCTACACTGTGGATTAGTGTTGAACTTGAACTGTGGTCTATCACCAACTTCTATGAAGCCTTCCAACTTGATTTTGAAAGTAGGTTCCTTGCACTAGATAGATATTGAGTGGTGTGAATCTACATCTTCTCCCCTTCTTCATCTGATCTTGTGTCCAGTAGACCGACTGCATCTCCACTTTCTTGAGATTCAGATGAAGTCGATGTGATTTGTAGTGTGTCCTGGTGTCTAGTGAAATCCATGTCGCTGCCTTGTGAATGTCCTTGAGTTTGTACACACTGCCTCGCCTCCAATCACCAAATCATTGAATGCGCAGAATCCTGCAAACAGTTCTCCATTCTCGTTCACTTCACAATCGATTCCTTCTCGACCCATGGTGAGTTCTCTTCCCGCCTTTTCTGCTCCGGGTTTAGCATTAATGTCGCCCACTAGAACTTTGATGTCGCCAGCTGTAGTCTTGTCCAGCACTGATTGAATTTATCTGTAGAATTCATCCTTCTTTTCTTCATCTGCATTATTTTTTGGCGCGTAGCATTTAATGATTTGACTTTCCTTCCTTTTGAGTTGAATCTTGCTGTCATGATCCTGTATGAGATTGGTTCCCACTGCATGATAGCCTTTGATGTTGTTGGGGACATCATGATAGCCACTCCTCAGTGTTCTCGTGGTTGTCGTTTGGGCGAGAATATTAAAGTAGAATAATGACTCTGTAGTTAACAGTGTTGAGAGTCCACTTCCATTCCATCTCCTTTCGCAGATACCAAGCGTTTCCATACCATACCTTCTCATCTCTTTTGCAATCTGGGCAGCCTTGCTAGGTTCAAACGTAGTGCTGACATTCCATGTCCCCATGTTTACTTTCGCTTTCATTGAGGGAGAGAAGATACATCAGCCAATTGGATTCCCGAAAGCTTTCACTAACCGGCTTCATTTCGTCTCTCCGATTCCAGAGAGGAATAAGTTTTTTTTCATGTTTTATATTTTGTCTGTGCTTTAAAGTTGGATTGGTTGGATTGGTTTTAAGGAGTATTGTTGGTAGCCTTACTCTTAACCTTCCCTCTTTACCCGGGCTTAGGACCGTCTAGTAACTAGTGGACTAGTTAACCAGGCGAGGTTACTTGAGGATAATGCTATAATAATATGATTTTAAACAACAAAAATAGTCTGCACACTAATTACACTTTTTTTACAGCCCGATAATCTACTTTTTGTAAGGAAAACTATCGGTGACAACGACTTTACAAATTCATCTAACAATTCTGATCTTCTACGTGCTCTAGCCCCTTTGGTCACTGATGTACTAAGTCAAACAGATCGTCATAAAATGAATGTTTTCAGTAACCTACTGAAAGTTATAGGATTTTCTACAGCTCAAACATATATCACAAACTCTCAGGATCGCATAGCTTGTATGCCTCCTCTACGCTACAGACCGGAATACGTCTCTCCTGAAATTCTATTATCAATAAAGAAAACTGATGGACCAAATACTGAAGTCGTTCAAACTTACTGCGAAAATCTAGGTCCAGCTGCTGATATCTGGAGTCTTGGGGTATTAACCTATGTCCTGTAAGTTGATATATAAATTATTCTGAAAGGGTTAAGATCTAAGGTTTTGAAACTTTATAGTTAGTTAGTTACGTATTAATATTTGTTGAAAAGACATTTTACTATTCAGCAGTCTGGAAGACATTACCCTTTGAAAGGGAAATTTCCCTGTGGGTATTAATGTCCTACAAAGAGGCCTAAAGTTAGGGACTACAAACCAGCCATTTTGTTTTGTCCTGAGAATTATTGAAATTGTACGCTTTCAATCCATTTGAGCAGTGAACCAAAAATCATTTCTTGTAGTTACCAAGCTCTTCGAGGTTTTCTGTTAAAGTAATCCAAATTAGTACGAAATCGAACCTAATAATCACTGATTACGCTAGGAAATAATTCTGTTGTAAAATAATGCTTACTGTGGAACGTGAAAATTCTATGATCTACTGATGGAAGTTAGGAAAATATTCATTCTTGGATAAAAGTAAAGACAGACAAAATAACTTTCAACTACTCTTAGGTTTTCATTTTGTTTGCTTCTAAAGACTGTACTTAATTTCCATTTATGTCTGTGACCATTTATTAGTCGCCTCATTCTTATAACACAGATGACAATAAAGTCGTGATATTTTTACAGCAGTATAATCCAAAAATCACTTGGTTTTTGAAAAATTACACTTTGTGTAAATTATTTTTTCACTTAATGAATTATATGTCTTTAGTCTAACATATTAGGCGGGTTGGTAATCATTGTGGAGTGACGTCAGTTGGCGAAACACTGGAAACCTGGGAGCACTACATATTTGTTTAGTTCCAGTGGATAGAAGTCACACTATACCATGAACTGACAGAAATAGGAAATATGGACCACTGGATTCTGACCTAGTAGTTCAATGAAAACTTGATGGCAGCGGAACTTGAAGGTTCTAGGTTCCATCCCTGATGAGGTCATAGGTCTGTACTGCTGAGGAGTTTCATGGTAGGACAAAGCACCTGTCAAGTGCTACCAGGTTTCCAACACTTCTCCAACTGATGTAAGTCCATGATGAATACGAACCTGAAATCAATAAATTAATCCCCACAAACCTTCAAATAAGTGGATGTGTTCTGTTCTAGTACACCACACTGAGAAGTTACGGGTTGGTGATCAGATCAATCTTTGTTACTATCTTAGAAAGCAAGCATTACCAGAATACCAATAAAGTTACTCATCAGTAGTACAACATACCTTGTGAATTTACTATCAGTGTGTGTCACGTACCAGTGGATAGGGAAAATGACTGTTCTACAGGATGCACGTTTGTGAAGAATGAAAATTGGGAAGCAGTCAATTTAAAAGAATGGTCGTTTAGTTTACTTTTCGGTGTCGAACAGCTAACAAGTCGAATTCTTATTGCAAAAATTCTCCAAGCTGCGACGGAAATATATTGTTTAGGAATTATTAACCCAAGTGCTTAAATACTGGCTTTTTTGCTAATGTGAGTAGCGAAATTATTGGTAATAAGAACAACCATAATACAGGGTCTCACTGTTTTTGGAACTAAACACCCTCTTTATTTTACAAAATGTCTATTCATTAGAAAGTAAGACTTCAGTATTTAACTCTCCCAACCTACCAGTCTTCGAACACTTCAATATTCACAGCAGTGAATACTTAGTTCATTTCAAAGCATTATCAAATCTCGTTGATCTATTAACGGGAAAATTCACATTTTATGTACCGAAAATACGTACAAAATATGAGTGCCATTGGAACTGTGTGAGTGATAAACAGCTACACACTAACCTTACTGTACAAAGTTGATTTTCCTTGAAGTATCTGAGCACGAAAATGGATGAATGTGAACCTAGCGGAGTAACTCAAAAGCACAAAAGAAAGTCTTTGGAGACTGAGGCTTTAAAAAGAAATGGTATTTGGAGGTGAAAATCTTACTAACGACAACAAAAGATTATGAAAAAAAAGGGTGTGTTTACAGAGGACTTACGTTTTTTGATTCTTTCTTCTAGTCAGTAAAAGATGTTATCAACTAAGTGTTCTTTAGAAATACTTTAATGCGGATACACTTCAAGACAGCAAACAGCATGATTGCATCCTATGGTCACGAATTATTATTTCATGACGTTTCAACCACAGCATTAACTGCTTTTCGACTCATAGTTCTTCAGCCGTAGGTACAAGCTTAAGTGGCAAATTTTCCCGTCATTATGGTAATTGACAAAATCCACTAAACCAAGATAGACAGTGAGATCTGAAATAAGTTATGTTTTACACTTACTGCACATTTTCAATGAAGTTAGATGGGATGGGTAGAAATCCGATTTCAAAAATCTGAATATAGGATGTCAATAATGACCTGAATTACCTAGTCTATGCAAATTTTTGAATACCTTATTTCTCCCCATTATTTGTAGACTTGTTGGATGGCCTCCTTTTGTGGATTATGAATCAGGCGATATACTGACGGACAATATTTTACAAGCAATCATACCATTTGATATTCCAGAATTTGAAAACATTTCTGAAGAAGGTAAAGACTTCATTTCAAAGTTACTCCAAGTGGATCCCACGTAAGCTTTTGTGGAAAATAGTATATTTTTTCTTTCAGCAGAAGGCAATATCATGATAATAACTAGTATTAGGTAGTAATAGTGCTTTAAATCAGTTTATACTGTGCAATGTTTTTGATGCAGAGACAGTCAAGATAAGACTGATGAAATTAAATGCAAGAGTCATCTTCCGTGTTTGTTATTCAGCAGTTATCAAGATCCAGCTAACCATATTATATTCCACTTTTTCTAACTATAGTGATTCGCTCAAGTAGGTAAATGTATACGGGTAATGGAATATAGCTTATGTCTTAATAAAATTGTAAAATGTTTAGCAGATATCAAGAAACTGTAAAACAAATTCGCAACTACATTACATTAGACGGAAATGGGACACAAAATTGATTTCGATTGGATAATTGTTCCACTGACAAAAAGTATCCTGACTTCCTTAGAAATATAAAATGCCATCAAATATTTGACTGACATAAATTACTCAACATCATTTGACTACCCAGCTGGTAGCAGTTCATGCGTAGAAAGCTATCTACCCTCAAGATGGAAGTTGACAGTTTGACAGTACTTTATTGTATAGGCAAAGCAGACTTACAGTGGAATTCACCCTCTCACACCAAAAAAAAGCGAAACGGCAAACTTGAAAACCGAACAAAGCTTGCAAGACCTGAAACAGCCGAAAATTAACTACTGGTCCGTTCAGATAAAAAAAATAAACTAGTTAATTGAAGACAGACTAGATCAACTAAATCAATGAAAATGTTTATCGCAAAACCGTACGCATTATCGAAAAAAGAAAAATTATTAATCGCCACCTGAAAATCTTGTAATTAAATTAAACTTTCCTTCACGAAATGAAACCTGCTGATTATATTATATATTATTATTCACCCCTTGAGTTTCTAATGGAACAAAGGGATTCACTAGCACGTCTTCACTTCACACTCTTCTCTGCAGTCTTTCCAACCTGGCTCCACCACTCCCAACAACCTTCCATTTCTTCCTCATACAACCTCCTCCACGTCAACCTCGTCACCAACGCCCAACTTGTCCTCCCCCTCTATATTCCACTCGACAACTCGGCCTGAAGCGTGATATCCCCAGTCGGTCTTCTCAGTGTATGCCAAATACAACTCATTCCACTTTCTTCTGCATATTTGTTGGGCGATGGGTTCTTCGTTGGTTGGTGTGTGGCCAGCCAGCTGGCGACAGTTCCTTGTTGCTTATTCTTATTATTCTGGCCATCTGATCTGATCTTCAGTATCGAGTGAGTGTAGGCGGCAGCTGTGGATGAATGTCTGTAGTTTGTTGGAAATACTTTTCGTAACGCACCAAGGTTCCGAACCATATAGAAACACTGACTTACTTGACTGACTTTAGTGTCGAAAATCCGGATCTTGTTCACACTTCATGCTGAGTGCAATGCAGTGCAGTGCAATGCAGTGAAGTGAAGTGCAGTGCAGTACAGTAGATCTCCACACTGATTTCAGGTTAATGAAGGAAGGCCTGTCTTGCTCTCTTTCCGATCCTGGCTGGCTTTGACGTCCTCATCTGTGCTTGTGTCGCCTGTACTTGAAACGATGCTACCTAGGTAGATAAGTAGGTGAAACAGACTACTACCTTCAGGTTTCTCCCATTCATGGTGATTGGTGCTCATTGTCCTTGTTGTTGTTGCTGCTGTTCGTTGAGCATCTTCATCACCTCTGTCTTCTCTACGTTCACCTGAAGTCCCGTCTACCTTCGCTGCCTCTTCTGTCAACTTGTTGGTTTTCGTCTGTAGATCTTAGAGCTTGTGCGACAAGACATTGGATATAAATCATCATCGGCGAAATCCAAATCTTATTCTGGTGTCTCTTCATAGGTCCAGCCAACGTATGCCCATCTTCTCGCTCCTCACAGTTGTCTGCTGCATGATCCAGTTCAGTCGACCACAATCACGAAGATCATCGGTGATAGTAGGCGGTACCCTTGTTTTGTCTTACTCTACTCCGTCTTCACTTCAACGGCGTCACTGAGCTTTCCATTGTCAATCACTTGGCATGTAGCATCATACAGCACACAGCTGTTGAATGAGGTTGATAAAGGTTTCCACAGTGCCCAAGTTTTACTCTTATATTGATAAAGGTTCGTGGAACTGAAACCGTAGTGTTGAAGCAGCTGCCTGCCAAATTACTTCTCGGCTGACGCTATCGAAGGCCTTTTCAAAATCGATGAAGTTGAGGTGGTGAGTTGACTGTCATTCTATGCTCTTTTCTATGACGATGCGTAGCGTGGTGTTGCAATTTGATCAGCACATGATTTGTTCTTCCTGAAGCCAGCCAGCCAACCAACCAACCTGTTCTGCTCGTACGTTTCAATCCACAACATTTTCGTTTCAGTCTCTCCAGGATGATGCGGCACAATATTTTGCTTGAGGTGGACAGGGATAGAAGCATGATTCCTCACCAGTTCTTGCAAACACTTAGGTCGCCCATCTTTGGGAGTTCGATGAGGTAAGCCTTCTTCCAATCAGTTGGCAGATACCTTCCCCTCCTTCCAAACCTTCTACAGTAGTGATGTGAGCACGTCTGTTGCTGTTGTCTCTGCGTCGGTTTTCAGTGCTTCTGGAGGAGTCCCATCTGCTCCTGCTGCTTTCCCGAATTTCACCAGCTTTATGGCGTTCACAACTTCACTTCTGCATTTGTCGGAGGGCTTGTGTTCACTGGTAATTCTGTGGCTGGGCTGCAGGCGGCATTTCCGGACTACTTGCAGTTGGTGGTCGTCGTCGTCGTCATCATCATCGATTCAAGAGTTTTCTGAAGTGGTCAGACCGTCGTTTCATTTGTTTCTCCTCTTTGATGGCACATAAGTTTCCTCCACTATCTCTTATTAGTTTCGTCTGCGTTGATCTCTCCCCTCCCACATAGTAACCTGGTTATTTGATACAAGGTTGTCAGGTCTCTGTCTCTCCTACCTGCAGCCTGTTCTGCTTCACTTGCCAGTGTGTCGTGGAAGTGTCTTTGTCTTTGCGCTCACTCTTCTTCACTTCTTTGTCCAGTGTAGTGTTTTGTAGGTTGTGTTCAGTTCCTCTTTTCGTTGTTCATCCCTGCACTGCACTGCACTGCACCACTTCATCTTCTGCTTCACCATCACCATCTTCCTCTCCCAGCTCTATCAGCTTCCGTGTGTCAGTTGAGATCCATTCTATTCCCTGTCTTGTTTCTTCTTCCTTACTAACACGGTCATGCAGGTTCCCTTCCACGTCTCCTTCGAAGGGTTCGAGTCCTCTTACACACAGGTTTCTTCAGGGATGTTGCTCATCGTCTTCCATTTCTTCCTGATATCTGACGTGGAGATGTCCTTTGAGGTTTCGTGCTTCAGTTTCTGTCCTAGGTTGGTTTTGAACTTGAACTGTGGTCTATCACCAACTTCTATGAAGCCTTCCAACTTGATTTTGAAAGTAGGTTCCTTGCACTAGATAGGTATTGATTGATCTGAACCTTCATAAAACTTGTTTATGCCAAATTTCAGTTTTAATCATTGGCTGTGAAACGTTAAATATTCCTCTAGAAGCCTCATAGAAATAACTTTTTTATTCGCTATTTTTTCATCACACTTTACAGGGAATTATGATTGAACTTAGGAATAAAATTGTAAGGCAACGTGTTATAAACCTGAGCTATATTTCCAAAGAATTTGTAAAACTCATGAGTTTTGTTTAATGAGTGAAATTCTAATTACCTTGCCGCTGAGCTACGCTAATGTTCACTTGAATAGCTTCAGTGTTACAGTGATCAGCAGAGTTGAAATAATAATAATAATAATAATAGCCCTTAAGTGAAGCTGTTATTACCAGACTATTTGTTACGTGATTACATTCACATGCGACAAATTTATAGTCAAGATTATTGATTTAATCCTCTGTCTGTTTTACTTTGAGTACACTTTAACATTAACCTCCAGACCCCACGTGTCATGGTGTTTCAGTTTTGTCGAAAACAACTATCGCTATAACAATCAGATTTATCCAAACACTAATTATTTTCAAAATATTGTCTTAAATATCTACAGCTGGCAATGTCATTTTGAGGTTATTAAAAAATTTTGTTTTTACTGACTTACGGTTAACTTATGACTATGTGATTTCCTGGTAACTTCAGAGTTAATCTGATTATTTCTAGACTTTTACGAGATTTCTAGCTTCTTTAGAGAGAGACGTGACGATAAAACACTGTGTCCTAACAGCTACACTGTGGAATAATTAAATTTTATGATAGAAATTACAGGACATGACCGCCAATCTGCCACTACAATGTCTGTACATCTTATGGAATAGACTGTTCATCAAATAACGTAACCAAAGTCATCAATTATACGTGAAGCGAAACATTTTCGTCTTTCACTGTCAGTTAAAATTATTTTTAACAGTGTCACTTTGTTAACATTTAAGTAGTTTACTTACTATAAGAAAACCAAAATAAACCGTGTATGAATAGGATCGCTTTATAAATAAAGTACAGAGTAGTATTTAACTAAATTGTAGGCCAGACGTCTTGGAATGCAATTTCTTGCACTGTAGTCACTTTCTACCGTGAAAAATTTTTAAAATTTTTACTGTTTCCCGATTTCATTTTAAAAACAATAACTTGCTACTGAAATATAATGTACTGATCAACTAAGTTTCACGAATGTCAGTATAGAGTTTCAGTAGTGTATTGCGATGTAATTCCATATTAGATTAGTCTGTTTGCTTTAGCACATAATGACATAATTTTACTTATTAGATGGCCACAGAATTGTGTGATTACTTTGACGTAATAATGAACAACAAATCTTGCTCGAAGCATAATTTAGTGAATAATATTATATTACGGTTTGCTATATCAAATAGACTGATCTAGTACTGATGAAACATCTACTTGACTAGTTGACTAAAACATAGCTTCGTATATTAATCTTATGAGAACCTGGTTAGCAGTGGTAACGCAGGCGGTCAGTGTTACCGGGCGTTACCATTCTTCTAAGCTGTAAATTTAAGAAGCATTTACCAAGGCACTAAAAACCATTGAAATCATGCCAATATTAAAATTATGCTTACTTGCTGAATGCAAAGGTAAATGGAGTTCAGTTCAATCTTTAAAATAACATCTGGTTGTTTAACTGGCAATCTTCAAATAATATGAAAAAAACCACCTTCAAACTTTCTCCCTCTCAATTAGAATTTACCATTAAATTTAACCATTTTCTCATCTTATATTCTAATTTGGAAGGAAAAGTTGGATTTATAGATCTGATTGTTGCTTTCAAACCTTACAGAAACGACTTTCGGCAAAAGAATGCTTAACTCATCCATGGATCCAGTTATTCTCGAATTATGAGATAAAATCAGAATATATACTTAGGAAGTTGAAGAAATACAAAGAATTTTATAATTCAGTAGTAAGTGAATGATCTTTTTCAGTCATTTGGTTATTTTGGTAGGCATATATTATGTGATCATAAAGCATGCGTACTTCACTTCTGAGTGGTCTCTATTCCTACGTGGGATCTCAGCAGTAAGGGCTTCGCAATAAAAAAATCCCTTAATTTGATAAAATCAAGAGATGGCTCAACAAAGCCTTCTTCTGATCATTCTTCATTACAGTATGGTCCTAGTTCAACTCAAATTGCACGTCGAGAAAGGCGGGGGTGACTCCAAAGGCCACCCTAGCAACGACTGGAATAGCCAATCAGACTTCCTATTTATATCACAAAAACAGATTTTTGGGAAATAATAGATTATTTCAGTTTTATTAGAGTGACCTTAGAGTCACTTGGAAGGCTGTGGCTCAACTTACTCATGATTTTCAAGCCCATTGACTACGTTTCCCAAATACATACAAGAATGGCTTTGAAGATGCAATCAAAAAACTGCAAAACTATTCATATCCTCAAACCTGGACAGAATAACGTGAATTCATTTTATTTCATTGGTTTTACGATAGCTTTTTACAGTCAGTAATACTCATATACGAAATGTAACTGGAGTTTAACATGCTATTATACAGTGAAATTTAGGTAATCGTTAAGAATGAGCATGCTTTTGAGTAAGGAATAAAAACGTTCATTGATAATGACAATATATGCTCACAAGTCACAATATGGTATCTTGAGCAACCAAAATTTGGGTAAAATCGAAATGGTCAACAATAAGGTGTTATGCTATTTAGAATGATAGAGTGAGCAACAAAAAATTAACTTTAGATAAGCTGGTAATCATCTTGTTTTTCACGGTGAAACTAAACTTTACTAGTGTAGCTTCACCACAAATTTTTATTCTTCATGATAATGAATTGCCTAGAAATTATTAATCCATCTAGGAAGATATTCTGAACATTTTTGATTTTGGATAAATATGCTATTATCTGGAAGACTGACCAGTGGATAGTCCAGCGCAGGGACTTAACGAATGATATTATGTATGCAGCGAAATCGCGGCTGACATATTGTTAGGGACACATAATGGTACTACATCCTCTTTTCATATACTTATAAATCCACTAATTTCTGGCGGTAATTCTGGTGACAGCTAGTAGTCGAAACTTGGTAGTATGTTTAGTCCTATTTGAGACTTGCCAACTGCATATACCAAAATCTCAGTGAGCCATAGGAATCCTAGTGAGATTCGAATATATAAGTCATTACTTCGAACTTCAGAACACCAACCACTAAGATAATAAGTCGTGAGATCAGCTTGTAATGGTTTTTTGTACTAGTGGATTTTGGCGGAACTAATACATAATTTTCTGAATTTATGAACATAATTTAAACCGTAAATTGTATGGATTCGTTATGTGTATTAATCTCTGCTTAATCTTTCAGCATCCGGTTTACATAGCGAATGATGACAGAAATTACAGTATTGACCTGAAAAACCGAATAGCAGCTATGATAAGACACTCAACTCCAAGTGAAGATACAGTTAGTGTCTTGTCTTCCGGTGCATCCTCAGTTTTTGGACTTCAAGATAACTCTGAATCCTATAGGTGAGGACCTTTTGACTAGCTTAGTTATAAAATAGCTAAATCAATGAAAATTCTGAATTATTTTATGATGCTTTCTTCATACAAAATCAGGCTTTCGGTGTAGGAGGGTAACCATTAGACTATCAGTAGTACTTATATAAATGTTAACTTTAAGATGATCAGGCAAGAAAGAATCGCTTTAATCACTTCAAGCAAAATTATTGGTGCCAACTATTCTTCCATCAGGATTAGCAAAAGATTATAATTTGAACAGTTTGGAACTAATTTATCAGATAAAAACCAAATGGAAACCAAATACCAAGTTCTTAGTATGACTCAATACGTTCTGAAAACACCGCTTTGGAGTTTGTTCAGATATACTGTGTCTAACTAACAGATTTCAATTTTTCAGAATTTCCAGGTTGTGATCATGGCGAAACTTACAGACTAAATCACATTGTTTGCAAATATTTATGCAGTTTCAACAACAAATTACATCATCATTTTCGAAATAGTTAAGCTATGAAGTGCATTATTGGACGGAAAATGTGTACGATAATTTCATGAAATTCGTTTTCATCAATACAAGTTACTAGCTGTCAAAATATACAAACAACCAAAAACGTTAAGTGGCCACTAGGGAGTACTCAATTTCATGTTGTGTAATCCTAAGTACCAAATGATTTTTGTTATGCAAGCTGGAAGATTGACAGCCACGGTGAACTTTAGTTTCTGTAGTATGGTTTGAAGGCGTCAGTAGACAGCAATGAACCTAGGTCTCGCGCTTAATGGCACTCGTCAGCACAGTCCATATAAATACCTCAGGGAACTGATCTATCCTCAGAGATACCAACCGTCGTCACCTGGTGCTCCTGTTTGAGGCCTATATCTTATAACTCCTGACAGCTTTTTTGGTGTCATCCCTTGGGATCTCCACATCCTTTTCGAATGTGTCTTCTATTTAAGTGAACTTCAACGCTAATGAGACATTCAAGATTATTACTGATAATAGCAAGAAACAAAGCTTTTTAGGCTAAGAAAATATGTAAAATATTCACACTTAAATGAGTGCTACTTTTGAGTAGTAGAACGTTCATTAATAATTGTTAAAGAAACAAAAAGTCTATAAGCACACCTAAAAAATAATGCCATACGACAAGTTTTTCGGTGAAATTAGGCCATCTGTATGAAAGATACTCCTTTTTTAAAGTCTGTTCTTAATTCATTGAATTATCCTAGCTAATGTGTAAGTCAATTGTTAATGTAAAGTTCACACAAAATGATAAATTTTATTTTGGAAATATTTCGAGCAAAATTACTCATAATACATTAGTATATTCCACAATGCATAAACCTTTCATTGATATATCCTAGCTAATGCTTCAGAATAATATCTAATTTTAGTAGTGTCACATTTTTTAGTCCAATAACTTCTAAAGTTCTTGTTTCTTATAGTGAGGACCAATCTCAGTTACTTGATCGGTACGGATCACATGATTTCAATGAGTCACTATTGATGATTCCTTCAAGTACACATATCCCTACTGCAGCAGATGCTTCAGAGTCAGTTTTAGAAAAATTCAATCTGGAAAGGCAGAATACTCTTACAGAAACTACACAGCTGGAAGAAACGACTTATCCCCTTTTGACAGGACAAGAAAGCACTTCAGCGAATATTGAGCACGAAAATCAGGCCACTTCAGCAACACACGATAAGACCGGAAAAAAGTTTAGTGGTAGGTCAATAGTGCCTCAAACCATATTCATGACCCTCAAATTGCTATTTTCACTAATAACGAAAACCTTCAACTTAAAGCTTTAACCAATAATTACACCGACTAAAGTCAATAAGTTTCTATCGAGAGCTGTCCAGTGAAACTTAAGTTAGACTGCAAGGTGGTTTTATCCCGATAAGATATTAAGTAAGGAGAGATTGAGAATTAGGCCTTACTTGATAAATTGTAGTGATGCTTTAATATTGATTAAACCCCCTTCCATTAAAGTTTGTACGATCGAACTTACCTTCAAACTGAATTGATATTGTATGCTCATTAGTGATATGATTCGAGATGATGTTTCCCAAAGTTCTAGTGAGAGATCTAGATGGATGGGGTGAACCAAGTAAGGTACAGTGAGAAATATTCAGCAATGGTATGGGATGAACTTTACACTGTATAGTGAATCTACATAAGTAGAGAAATGTGGACCATTAAGTTCTGACTCAGTAACTTAGTGGTAACTTGCTGGTAATGTCCTGGTTTCGATCCCTGGTGTAGTCGGTGCACACTGCTAAGTAGTCCCATAGTAGGAAGAAACAGTTGTTCAGTGCTTGCAGGTATTTATTGGGTTCTTAATTGATGTCCTTTAGTAGCAAATACTACTTTGAAATAAATCACTGCGTAGGAAACCAGCAATCTAAAGAAAGATTTATCGTTTGATCTAGAAAAAATGTAACCTCAGCATTTAAAATAAACCCATAACACCCCTGCAGTTCTGATTAAATGTTACATGTCAGAACACTCTAGTGATATATCATAACAGTTGTTGAGAGTTCCTGTTTGATAGAAGTCTACCTTGACTTAATAGACATAATCAACATTATTTAGTACCTAAAAATATCTTCTACAAGGTGTGCATTGTTTCCAAAATGTGTACAACTTTGTCTATCTACCTATCTACCCACCCACTGAGCCTGATTAACGCTGATGAAACGATCAAGTTTACTCAAAACTAGCTTTGCAATCAAACTTAAAAGTCCCATAACCTGGAAGGCCACACTAGTCTGAGATGTATATTTCAGTCACGTGAAGTTGAACTTTTTCACCATTAAAATCTATCAAAAGAGTTTAATATATTGGTAATCTTTTTATCACTATCTACATCTCTAAAACTGTGATTTTTGTTGTTCTCTTCACATTCAGCTCCAGTTTTTGCTAGCTTATTGAGGGATGCATACTTCAGTGTGCATACCAGAGAAGCTCGATTCACGTGTCAACTTGCCAGCGCTCCATATATTCCAGAAGGTATTCATGGCCATGATGAGGCACTCAAGGAACTATACCCATCTGGTGTCACTTGTAATGACATCAACAAAAGCTCTTCTGCTGCTGCAGCATGGTACTTAGGAGGCTGTTTACTTTCCGACGGTCCAGGTGTTAGTTTAGGCGCAGGACATAGTGGATGGTTGTGGCTTTGCCTTAGTGATCTACGTCCAGAGCAAGATAGAAGTGTAGTCGAATGTGTTGTAAGAAATCGAGCTGGTAAATCCAGAACAAAAGCACGTCTTCTACTTGCTGGTGAGTGTTGATGTACTTTCACTCAACATATTGTTTAAATTAGTGTGAATAAACTCTGTTTTAATTATAAAATCTGCAACTAACTTTGTAACCAGTTACAGTTTCCAAGCGTATCATAATGATAAGAATAAGTGTGATATAAGTCTTTCCTTAGACAAATAGTTTTCGAGAAATCTCATGAGTTAGGAACCACTCGATACATATCCTGCCTAATCCTGAGACTCCCTAACTGCATGCACTGATGATTAACCTATGGTTTACAGTAAGAAGTTCTAAGTTCTTCCGAACTGCTGGAAATAACTGCTATGCAATTAATAATGACAGAGCTGAGTAAAATTCCTTTGTTTAAAAAGTAAAAACTTAAAAAAACTACATTTAAGCAGTAATTATAATGGCCTCTTTAGATATCATAACGAACACAATCACTGTGTTGGAGTTTGCTTGGTGCCTAGCAGCGGAATTCAGGACTCGTTCCTTCTTATCTGGAACTCATCAATTGGATGCACCTGCACCATGGTGAATGCTGTCCCCACTAGGACTCGAGTTTAGCACCTACCGTTTCAAGCATAAAACGTCACCCAACAGGCCACTGAGGAACGACCGCCAGCGATCACCAATATACGTCAATCTAAGTGGAAACACCATCATCCAGTGGGTCCATGTAAACGCAGCCTAAGGGTCCCAAACAAGACAAAGTGCATGTTAAGAATTTTGTAGCCAGCCACCACGTACATTCCAACTTAGCTAATGCAACCGCATTGGAGCCCATCTCCCAACAGAGTTCGAGTGATTCGACCCAGTATGGTAATGGGAAATTATGAGTGTCATTAAATAACCACCACATGTTTGTTCATTTCCTCACTTTAAAAAGAATGATTTCAAGGATAGCTATAGAATAATATAATTAATCAAATATTGTTACTTATCTGAAAGATTGATTACAGCTAAAACTTGAAGTTTTTGGTTCTTATCAAAACCAAGTTAATTCAGAATGTACACTAAGACATTGGTGTCAGTATTGTATGATTTAATTTTTTCCTATATGTTATATTCTCGATTCCACAAACATGTTGATTAATTTTCTCATTTGCAAGGGATTTCAGAAATAGTTAAACTACTGCACACCTATCATATACATAACCTCTCCAAACTTTATTACTATTTCAGTACAACTGATGTTAATGGATGTATTTCATTGGAAATTGTCACTTACTCCTCTATATTTGCCTAGAAAGATGATATAAATTTAGAGCCATACAAATATCTCTATGTTTGATTAAGTTAAGATCTAAACCTATTCATATTTCTTCGTCTTTCTGTAGTTTTTGTTTAGTGCACTTGAACTATCAAGCACTAGACTTTTCTATAAACTGATTATAAACAGTCGTTATAGTGCTTAAACTGACCCTTATTTTAAAAGTCGAAAATGTTAAACAAAATCTTTATACAAACTTGACTTACAGTTTGATGATCACCTCCTCAGAAGTGTAATGTGATAAATGTAATCAGAGACTTCATGTAGTAATAATTTCCAATTGAAAGTTAGAAGAAAAGGATGAATCAGTAGGATGAATATTTAGACGATTTTTGAAAACTTATAGATTCTAATGGTCCGAAATCAAAATTTTCAAGTGTATTAGATCACAGTAATATTTTCCATTCCATAATCATTTCTTCTTTGATAAACCAGATATAGATGAATTAAATTTTGCTTTTCTATGTTGCAGATATTCCGAAACCCCCAGGTCGCCAGGTCTAATTGACATTCGTCCAACAGCGGCATTAATTAGTTGGTTATCCTCAACGCCTGACTCAAATGAGGATCTGATCTACCGTGTAGATATTAAATATTCGGGTGAGAATTGTAAAATTAAAATATTTCTTAAAATGGTAAAATTTATCAATCCAAGTTATCTGGTAACGTTTCATAAATTACTGCAAAATCTCGCTCCTTTTATGTAAAATAAACCTTGACAAGATGTCAAGCCTAGCTGATTCAATAGTCAGATGGGTATCCTTTAAAAAGTCATGCTAGAGTTAACAGAAGCTTCTAACAAAGCAGCAACCAGTAATTTTATTTTATTTCTGATCGTCTGGTTGGTAAGACTATGACATAATTAACGGACTATTTCACAAACTGTTGGTAAACGAAAAAAATTGACCGGCAATTAGTCTTACAGAAAAAAATGTTAGTGTTAAACATCTAAACATCACAGAAATACGACTGTAAGTATGTCCATGTTAGAGTGTCACGTCACTCCTCATATGTCTCATCGAAAATCGCTAGCAATGAACCTCAAATGTTTTGATCTTACACTTTATATGCATCTGACTGACTCAACTGGAAACCACTCCTTACAGTCAGCAACCTCTGCTAGTGTAGACCGAAATTATATAAAATTCCCAATTTTTCAATGGTTACCTACTGAACCGGTAATACTTTGAAACAAGGTGAAAATTAATAAGTCCAACAAATCCAAAATAATGTATATGCAGCTGCATGCAGTGAGACCGTGAAACTTGATCATATATATGTTTAATCTTCATTCATAAATATGAATTTCGTAATGATTATCTATGTCATCCAAAGTGACGACAACTAGTGGTGTCCACCAAGGATGCCTACTGTCATCGTTTCTATTTACCTTCATCATAGACGTAATAATGGACATAACCTTGGGTACGTTTGACGTCATACGGATTGGGCTACTCCCTGGGTGCCATTCGATTGACTTGCAGTATGCAGATGATGTCTTCCTCCCGTGTGAAGAAGCTGATAAAATGCAGGATCTTTTGAATCCGTTGGGCAGAAATCTGAGTGTGCTTAGCATATGTTTCCCACCTGTCAAATATAAGATGATACCCTAGGACTGGTCTGCAACCACTCCTACTTTAGTGTCGGGAAGTGAAGTGCTGGAATGTATTGACGACTCCACTTACTTGAGAAGTTGTATTAGCTCGAACAGGGTGGTCACTGACGAAGTTTCAACTCGGATACAAGAGGCCCATTTAGCATTTGTATTTTGTGATATCTGTGGGGCCAAATGGCGAGATATCTAACCATCTGTCAAAGAACGAGTTTTCTGCACTGCAGTCCATTCTGCTCTGCTGTCAGACATGACGTTAAAAGTAGGAGAGATGAAGCGGCTGCAAGGATCTGACCATGAATGTCTTCATAGCATTGCTGGCGTCTGGTTTAATCACCTTGTAAGCAATGTTGAGGTTAGGCATAGAGTACTAGGCAAGATAGGCAAGTCGACTGGTGAGGTTGTGAAACTTAGTCTACTTAGAGGACTTTGTCATGTACTGGCCATGCCGAACCACCGCCTACTTCAACGTGCTATACTAAAAGAAGTTGGATTAGGTTGGGAAAGGTTTCATAGTGGCATTACCAAGACGTAGCACCAGTTGATAAGGTCTCTGTCTCTTTTTCTGGGTTATGTGAGATGCAGATGACATGTTCGATCCGAGATTGTGTTAAAAACCAACTCATTTAAGCTGTTGCAACTTCCCAGTTAGATGAGATAGTCAACATGTTCCACCGCTTTACTCATTGTTCGAAGACTAGGAGTCGGTATTGAATGGTCCTGAAGCATCACCTTACATCTGAAAGGTGCAAAACAAGTGCCGAACTCACTTAGATTTCTGCTCAAATCATGCAGGAAACCGATTTCACTTAGCATATTTGCCCAATACAACCATGCCTCAAATGTACTCCAGCTCTATCAGGTGCCGTTTAGGTAATTCAAGCTGTGTCCGCTACTACATCTATAACGAAGTTCAACAGGAATGGTTAAAGTAGTCACCCTTGGTGGCCACAACTGGTTGTCGTTAAATCAGATAACTACTCTCCTTTAACCATTATAAGGTTGTGTATGTTCAAGTTAAGAGCCTTTATTATTACAATGTATTTGCTCGGTACTCCCTTCACAATCAGACACTGCCACAACACTTCTTGGCTGACAGAGTCAAGTTCTGCCTTTTGGTCAAGAAACATGGTAAATGTCGGCCTCAAGGAACCAATCCTCTGTCCCAGAACTTATTAAAGGGTGGAGATATAATCAGTGCATCCCCGTTCATGTCTGAAACGTGTCTAATTTTCTCTGTTTTTTTGTTTAAGAGCTTCATTTAAGTGTTGTATGACTACTGGCCCTATGACTTTTGACAATATCGGCCAAAAGGTTACTGTGTATTATTGTCACAAGAAGACCTATGAACTGGGATGTTTAGTGATATAGAACAGTCTTGATCGAACCGCCTTTGTTTATTTTAAACTAATACCTCTAATATTCTACTCAGTAGTTTTCAGTCCCAATCCTTGAAACTTTCAGTGACAAAGGCGTTTTAGATTTGACCAGCTTCCTCACCTTGAATGTGAGATTGAGGATAAGTATCTACATTCCGTTCGGATTCTGGATGCATCAAAATTGTGGCTATAGGTCACTTGAACTAATCTTCAATGGTTTGCACCTAACGCTTGAATTGCCTGTCCTTAGAAATAATCAAGGAAAAGTAATCTGAGAAAAAGTTCAGCAATTCCATTGTGCTCAATTGCTATTGTCTCCCGTTTAGTTTAAGTTCGGTTAAGTCGAGTGGCTGATTGATTGGCAAGTCTTTATTGAATGAATCAATGGCTTAATAGGTGACAGAAACATTTCAACACTCATTTTTTTATGTTTAACAATTCGATCTAACTCTTGCAACAAAATTCATGGGGATCGTTAGAAATGCGCAAATTAAGTTTGAAATTTCTGTGATTACCTTGACATAACTATATTAAACGGAAAGCATCCAAAATATCATTTAGTCGATAATATTGTATCCTCAAGTATTTTGCTGAATAAATAAACTGACAGAGTAATAACGGCTTTGATCAGGATTTGTTCGACTACTGGATACCAGATTAAATGGTAAACGTTAGATAATATTATGTCAGCGTGTTTGAAGGTAACTTTAATCATTCCAACATTTAGATTAGTTTTTCAGTCCCACAGATTTCATGTAAGGTCAAACACGTTTCACTGATCACAAGCAAGGTTTCCTGTAGACCAAAAACGAAGATGGACAGTGGAAATTTCACATACATAGGCAAATATCAGTAATCAGAATAGATAAGATCCAGTATATTTACCTGCCGTGTGTCATCAAGTTTTATTTCCAGTCTCATAATCTTTATCACTACGACAAGCTCTAGTCTAACAAATCCCTTACGAAAGTGCAATTTCACTTGGAGTTTAAGCAATTAAAAATATTGTGAGTGATTTCCACGTATAGCCCACTGTTCATAATCTACTTACACATAGGATTCTTGTAATTAGTATGAATTTTACAAACTGTGAGGTGTGTAGTGATCTCCAGTTTTCAGTGGTCTCTTAATTAGTTGATTTCAGTGCTGAAAACTGATTTCAAATCAATAAATTCTTCACAAACCGTCCTACTGAGCATCTTACTCACTTCATAGCTGATAACTGAGAATTATACTTAAGAACAAAATCAACGTCCAAACGAGGTTTATATATTTTTACTCTGCTTAACCGTCTGTCATCACTGTTTTTGACAAATCAAATCGTATTTTCTTTCAAGTCGTTGAAGCATGCAACAGAACAAAGATTCATTTTACAATAACTTTTTATTCATTTTCAGACAGCGATAATGAATCAGCTAAGTGGCATCGACATGGATTTACAGTAGACTGTCGTTATCTTGTTAATGATCTTAAACCTGGTATGTGTTATCGTGTTCGAGTTTCTGCGGGAAACACATTCGGCTGGGGAAATTATAGTATTGCATCTTCTGATTTCCGTACTCCTAATGGTAGGTTGACGATTTACTCTTTGTAATGTGTTCTACATCGTTTAGATAAGCCTAACCTGACTAACTTTGAAATAACTTTAAATAATCAGCAGAGAGTGATAATTGCACTACATTTGGCACCTGTTAGCACTTATCAGTAAGGTATCTCCAGAAAATTAAAAATATTTATTTTATATCTCTGAAGGTCAAGCCAATTTTTTAATACCGTGTGTAAAGACAACTGGAGAGTGAATAGCAAACTTGAAATATAAAGTTGCCTGTAGTTCTCTAGCAACAAATTTAGCATTTTTACCTTTACTAATTAAATTTAATGGTTCTCTGATTCTTCATTCAACAGAAGGATATTTTTCGCATTCGAGGTCTTACACAAACTAGTAAACAGGTTGATAAAATTGCTTGCTTTTTACTGACCGTTTGATCATCTTCCTTAGCATACTTCTCTCACCAGTAATTTGGTCATCTGTTGTCTGAATACAACACCGATTACAATAACTGCATCTTCAAACTCTTCATGAGAATAAATTATGCATTTTCATAATTTATTGTTTACATCTATTACAAAAGGACATCAGATTAAAGAATTTTAACAACCAGGGAGAACATCAGTTATATCTCTTTCGACAAAGAAGTGATCATATGAGTTCATGACTTCTGAGTCATTTTAACTGTATTAAATTATATAAGCTAGTTAAGAAAAGGAACGCAAAGTTTTCGTTGTAGACGTAGTGTTCACGTTTTTAATCTAACTGTACAGAAAGAAATGGTTAACCGAATTACTTACCGATATATAACGCGTTTAATCCTCAGAACTGGGTGTACAGTATAGTAGTATACTTTTTCCTACTAAAGGAATGACTGTTAAAAGCGAACAGTGAATGGAAGCTACTGATTTGGAGTAATGTTTCTTGAGTTATATGAATGAGATGCAGTTCTGGAGCTAATACCATTATGTTTATTCACAAGGTTTTCAGGAAGAAAACACTACTGATGAAGGTGAGAATTAGCGAAGGTAAAAGTGACTTAGGCATGTGGTACATATCTGTGACCAGTGAAAATACAGTCCATGTATATGAGTACTACGGGTGATCAGTTTGAGATAAGATAAAATACTTGAAGCTAGTAAATAATAGTCACATTCATAGAATTAAATTTCAGTTTAGTGAGTGGAAACCTTGAATTAGGAAACGCATTGACATAAGTATAATTTGAAACAGTCCATCTTATGAATTTCGATAGCGTAATTATAAGACGAAGTTTATCTAAACAATGTAATGCATTTGTGCAACATATTTCGAACATATTGATCACATATTAACTCGTCAAGTTAACTTCTATTAAACCAAACAGTCGGAGGACAATTATAGCAATTAAGATTATAGTGGATTAAAATCAATAAGATGAGAACAAACAGGAAGTGACATAGTTGATTCTAGTCTTGGAAAGAAAACAAAGTTAACTAAGGTGGTTGTTGTGTAAGATCAAACTGTTTTTGTATACATAAAGATGGTTTCAGTCTGTTTACGGCTGTCTTCCGCAAATCTCAGTATACGTCCCTGACTGTTTCTATATAAAACTTCGAAAGCTGTTTGAACATTAATTTTGTGACCTATCTCTATGATATGTTTAGCTATAGATGAAGAAGGTCGTCGCCCACCAGCGTTTATCACGGTTTCACACTATTTGTTTTTGAAGCCATTCAGGCACATGTTCTCCCACCCTCAACTGCATGGCTGGATTACTTCTTCCTAAGTATGTGGGATCATATACATGTAAATTGGTAAACACAATGGGATATGACGTTGGTACTGGTATTTGCTCTTCCTCTATTAGAATATCTAATCTTGAGTGTCCTAAGGATTTTGTTATTTCAATGTTTTTTTCTACTTGCCCAGAAAAATGATCAAGTTTGAGCCAAAACACTACGCTATTAGGTTTGACATTCAGTTAGCTGATCAGTCAGAATGTTAAACTATGGCTTCCGATATATTTAAAAAATATTATGCGTTAAGAAACAGCTTTGGAGAAAGTATCTTCGGACAATCATAAAAGCTCTATCCCTTTTATTTACATTTTGGGATGGGAATTCCATTGACGATCCCAGTGAACTTAATTCTGCTAATTTTCAGATTGGGTGGCTGAAAATTCCTTACGAAACCCAGATTGTGAATTTTTTAGACTTCATTGTTGACGACTATGAAGGTAATCCAAAAGACAAGATGATTAAATAGCTACTTAACTGTTTTTCATGAATCCCAAAGACTATTTTGATAAGCTGTCACCCATTCTCCATCGATAAATTACCTAACTGTGCGAAAACAGAGCGGTTTATTCAACCACATAAAACACGAAAATTTGCATTGTGAATAAAAGAGATAAAAGTTTCGATAACAGCCCCTTTATGTGAATTCATGAATGTTGAACAGAAACAGCGATAGATTCCAGTATAGTGGATGAAATCTTGACTTCTCTCATATATATATATATATATATATATATATATATATATATATATATATATATATATGCTTATTTACTCATAGTCAGGTGTTAAAAGTGCGTAACTGAAACTTATCGTTTGATCTATGGACTGAGTCCTGTGAATATGGTGCAAAATCCGACACCAGTGTCGATCATATGCCACTTATTGATAACTCTTTTCATAATGTTTTATTAATAGCTTATTCCACTCAGATATCTTACTTTTGAAAACCATGTAAAATGATCAGGTTTGCAAATCATCAAGATAACCTTTATCACAAGTACACTTCATTTGAGCTTATGACCTCCTTATGGCTCTCAGTATTTCAAACTTGAACGCTCTCTATTCGATTTTGAGAACGACCAACAGTGTGTACTAGTAAAGATCACTAGGATATTATGAATCATTTGTTCAACATCCATTGGTTCTTGTCCAAACTTCCCCCGATGTATGTATTATTTCAAAACCAGTCACTAACCTATAATTGCTAATTTGGTCATTCAAATTGTCTATATTCAGCACTTGTTATAAACTTGCATGTTAGAAGTGTTCTTTGTAAACATTATACACTGGTCAAATATCGAATAATTTTTACAATCTGATTCCTCTGAAAATCTCACCTATGTACGAAATTATGCATCTGAGCCAAAAGTAATCCCCCATTTACTGTTGCGTTGGCGAACAGTGGTTCGAATAATTTCCACCTCTATTTCAAAATACTTGAAACTTGCAATAAAAAGAGAAAATATAGTCTAGAGTTAGACTGACCCTACTCTTAGCTTTCAAATTGGTATCAGTCAGTGAGTAGTCATAGTAGTTACTGCTGAGTATCTTACACTGGAAGTGGCGATCCACATTTTAGCTTACTTGCACAAATATTTTGTGAGACAAGGAACACAGCGACTGTCTGCTGGCCCGTATTGATCTAATCTTATCATGGCCAGGGACCTAAGTGACCTTTTCTTGAGGTGTTCTTAAAACCAGATGTAGGCTGTAACGTCTCCCAAGTAGACAATTATCTTTTAATCAGTTTTATGAGCCAGTCATATTAGAACTTTGACCGATTATTTTACTCTTTTCCTTCTTATCCTTTCTTTTAGTTTCCCTTGGTCAGACACCAAATATTCTTTCGACAAATGAACAGGCTTGGATATTCAACTGGCGTCAATCAACGAATATCTATGCCCTAAGTGATCATCCAGTAGCTCTGCAATATGCTGTTGACCAGTTAAAAAGTGTTCCTCCACCACCAGACAAAGTTTTACAGAAACTTCATCGACACAATGGAATAATTCCAAGTTTAGATGTTTTGAAATCTGTATGCAGACCAATTCGTCTTATTAACAAGTAAGAGGAATTCACAGAAAACCATTCGGTTGCAACTGACTTTTATGAACAATATTCGTGCGTTTTGTTAAAATCTCGTCATCACGAAGTTCAACAAATTTCATACGTGACATATCCTTGCTGAATGTCAACAAAGTTGAAATGTATATCTCTTACTCTTTGTGATCATGTAGAAGCCACTTCTCCGCAGAAAGAAACCTGTACAGGTTATCATATGCTTTTATGGGTAAATGGAATGAACTAGAGCACTTGTCTACGCGTGTATATAAAAGTGGAGCCAGCCTAAAACATGTTATTGAAATTGATTATTAATCAATGGAATGAAGTTGAGGCTATGGTTGTGGCATATCCATGTAATAGCAGGTATACATAAGTCAGTGCAGTATGAATGAGAAATTCATCTGTGTGGTAAATTTAGTTATTCATAGTATACACTACATAACTGTTTGATATGTAATGCAAGTCGCTGAGATGCATAAATCTTCCTTTTTATTAAGTATATCATGTACAAAACTTGGGCACTTCGATTGAGTGCAATCTCATATTAAATTATTCTATATGAAGTAGCACACAGTAAAACAGTATTTTTTTCTCAGATAATACTGATGGTATATCAAATAGACTCACTTAATAAGTGTATCGCAGCTTTTTACGGCATGGAAAACACCTAACCCAGCTGTCATTCCTTGTGATTAGAAAACTCTTGAATAAAGCTCAATCTTTTCTACCATATCAGTTAAGATCTTAGTTCTGATAGCTGGAAGAACAAACATTATGCCTAATTCAATAAGCTCAGAAGGGACTCACATCAAATAATACCCACATAAATCCGGTTTGAATTCAGAATGAACAGAAAGTTCAGCTGATGAAAAGCTCGACAATCTTAACCGATGCGCTTAATCTTCTGTTCATCTTCGGCTATCACCTTTCAATTTTGATTTTTCTTCTAATGTTTATATATCGGATACCTTAGGTGATTTGTCGCAAAAGGTGTACCTAAGTTCACACACCAGCCAATGTAATTTGACATCATACTTAAAAAACCAGAATACTATGTCAGCAGTACACCTATACATGAATCAATCATTAGTAAATACCCCAAAGTTTTGTCAAGTCTTTTTACCAGACGTATCGTTTAGATTCCTTCACAGTGGTCAGTATTGACGTTAGGCGTAGAGTTCTAGGTGAGGCAGATAAGTTTAATATTGAGGCGTTTGTTAAGTACATCTGATGTACTAACTAGGGTGGAGCTGGGCTGATAGAAAACTGAGAGCAGTCTTTAAAGTCTCTGACAAGTAATATGAGTTGTTAAGTTACCTGGTTGGATTCTTTAAAATGTTCAATATCAGTGGTTGGAGACACCGCTTAAAATGTATCAGAAAAGTCGGCTTTTGTCCACTCGTCTCACCGAGTTCTGAAATATCATTAGCCTTTGTTCATCCTCCTTTTATATTTGCATAATTTCCTCGTTCACTTCAGTGTCTTTCTGGTTCTGACGATTTTTTCTGAGCTGTTGTAAAATATGACAGTTTGACCCACTTCACTTCCAAATGAGAATCAATATCATCGTGTTTCTCTATCCAGAAACCTCATTCTTCCTTTCAGTTTTAGTGAGTCTGTTTTTAAAACTAAACATTTACCTCAAATACAAGCGAGATTATTCCGAAGGATTGATGAAACGTGGTGTTCAATAAATCATCCTGACCTTTTCGTCACGCGAGTATTCTGTTTAATCTAGGTACTTATACCATGCATATCTTCATTTAGTTTAACACACAGATAAACTTTAACTGAATTTGATTCCTAAAGCTTCTAGTTACCTACCAAAAATATCATCAACTGAGACATCAAATTCAATTTTGAATAGAGTTTTGATCCCAATTTATCTTTCATCTTATGCTATGTGATGCGGTTTAGTTGAAAAAGTACACTTGATTATATTTTATCGTGCTGAATCAGGTTACTTTGTTCACACATGAGAATATAAGTGGCGATCTATCGCACCGTGAACGAGGAATTTAAATAAATGTCATCGTTATCTATTATTAGTCTGTAAGATCAGAGGGGAAGTTGTGAATGTGTGCACATGTGAAAGAGTATGGTATGAGAAAAATACTACGGATGAAGAATTCAGCTTGTTTTTGTGCATATACTTTATTTATGTTTTGTGTATCCAACTTGTTACTTCAGATATACCATCAAAGTTGATTGGGTAGCTAGGCCTTTGTATCTGTTGAGTGCATTACGATTCAACATAATGTGGAATATCTAAGTTTTCCGTCTTTCCTGCAAGCTTGCATAAGTCTTATTTTCTGAAGAAGAGGCTTCCAAGTGGTCGCGAAACGTCAGAAATGTATTTTTCTACCTCATTTGGATTTTACAAATATACTTCCTTTATGTAATATATTTTGAATTGAAATTTCAAACTTATATTTACTTTGACTACACCCAGCCGGGTTCGGAATTGTAATAAAAAAGCAAGAAGTAGTTTATCTTGAAATACATATATACGTTTGAGAAACGAGTAATTTCACAGAATCTCGCTGGTGTAACCAGTCATTTTAACGATCTTATCGGCAAGTGTTGCACATAGATTCGTTCAGAAACTAGCTGTTAATGTTACTGAAACAAACAACCAACATTATAAAATCAACTGTGCAATATGTTTGATTTTCATACACATGCAATTATTATTTATTTGCTGACAAGTTGAGCGTTGTATACAAGCCTGAAGTTCACGAAATATTGTATAGACGTTTATTCAAATAAACAATAGATTACATCCGGCAAACAAACATTTCCAACGGTTCATCAAACCGAACATCAACAATAAAAGCTATTAGAAACCGAAGATCACTGGACATTTATTTTTCCCTATTTTGGAACTTATTAAGAATGCACAATGAATATTTTCTCAAGACTGAAAATGACTGATTCACTATAATTGAAAGATGATAGCAATGAAGTCATGCCAAATAATGACTTTGGGATAAATTGCCATGCATCCTCCCTCGAATGAACATAAAAGTCCTAACTGGTTATTTACATATGCAGCCCGCAATCACTGGCCAAAAATAAATTGTCATATTCAGATTTTTTATAAAGATCTTTTGAAACTGACTAAAATATCTCAGAATCGTAACAAATATTTATGAATTTTATTTAATATTATGTGGGCAAAAGAGTAAATTATGTATCGGATACTTTTCAGATGTTAATCGTTTTGCTTTCTACATTCTTCGGTAACTTTTAACATTAATTTCTTCTATATTACAGGGGTACCTATACGAAATTAGTCCTTGGAAAGACCCATCCGATGTTAAGTGTAGGGGCGAATTACAGCAGTATTAGACAAAATACCCTGTCTCTTCCACCCAGATTGTTAAGTAAAATCACATATATAAACTCAGAGGACACAACTTTATTACAAAAAGCACGTCGTGAAGCTCTGATTCTTACTATCCTTCATGGAGCTAGTGGAGGAATGAGTTCCTCTCTTGAAGACTATTTTGGTGAGCAGGATAGTTCATATCTTTTCACCAGTCAGCGGCAACTACTACCATCTGGATGGTCATTTGGATGGCTAGCAAATGATGCAGTGAAACCAACAGAAGGCATAACAGTAATGCAGTGGATTCCTGGAGGACGTCTCATAGATGTGTTGTGTAGCAGAGTAGAATATACTGAGTTTTCTGTCATGATGTGGTGTCAACAAATACTCATGGCACTAAGATGGTTTCATACATGCTTCCTAGGACAGCCTCATGGAAATATTTGCCCAGAGCACATACTTATAGCTCGTCGGACATCTTCACTTCCGGATATAGTGCTAACTGGATTTGGTCAACAGGCTGATTCAACCGAACTTCAGAGCTGCTTCACAGGTATTCTAAAGCTTTTATATTCATTCTATGAAATGAAATCTACTTAACCATAAAAATAAACAAAACGCATTCTAGCGTAAGAAATTTTTCTTTAGATAAATCATTTTTAAAATTTGTACAGTCGTATTTACGCTAAAATAAACGATAGAGTCTGTTGAAAGTTCATAGGGATTTGTAATGTAGTATTCGAAATTAACGCTTGTAGTGAGAGTAAAGTAAAAGTGAGTGGAAATGATAGATAATAATGAACATGAAATAAAAAGAAACCAATAAAGGAGGTAAAAAAATATTATGATCATGGTGAAATAAGAGATCAGAAATATTGCTTTCTATGCATGGCTGCTGAAACTTTTATTTTGAAATGCTAGTATGTTTGCCATGCACAAATGATGAATCTGCATTCTTTTAGGTAGTTCGTTTTGACTTTGCACAGGATTTTGAAAGGAGGCTAAGGTAAAGTTGAAATGAACGAAAATTCATGGATGGATCTTTTGGTTGACCTATATTTTCTTTCAGATAGTGGAGTTAGATAGTGATCGGAGAAAATTTTAGAAAAATTGCATCTTATGAGACCTACACCATCAGCTCCATACGTTTGTTGCGACTAAAAAAATGACTATACAGCTTCTGATGTTGATTTATCAGAAATAAAACTCTCTTCGCTATACTACCTTTGGTAAATGTATTACACAGTAGTAACAATCAATGCTAGAAATTATCCTAAAGCTCATTAACAACAAATACCTTTTATTTTCATTTGTTAGTGCCTCAAAACCACTGAATTATGCTAACTTTTAATCTAGAGTTTTCTTATTGCTTACCCGAAAATTAATGCACATTTCAACCTAGTAATTTTGTGGTATATTTAAGGTCAGATGATGCCGCAACACACTCATCATCATCATCTGGGATACAACTTCATATGAAATTTCGACTAAGCAGCCAATCTCAGCCCACAGGATTCATGCACGAAAAACCAAAACAACCATCGGTCTTAGTGACCTGAGCTATATTGTCATGGAACTAAAGTCTGACCATAAGCTAACGAGAATTAGGTCTATATAATTTAAGAGATAGTTTACATTCCTATCAAGTATGTGTTTATCCAGAGAATAAATCATCTAAATTACAATGTTGAAAATATTTCCGTTCTTAACACAAGTATCAAATTTAGTTTCGCTTTAAAATATGATACTGGGTAATATCACGTTCATCTGTATACTACATGAAAGGTTATTCCAAAATTTTGACCACCAGTCTTCTACTCATTCACTCAGTAGTCAGTTACCACCTGCATACCTGAATGATTCTGAAGTTGTTTACAGATGGATAAAGTGAACACAATGGTAACGGCTTCCTCGTAATAATTATTATTAGTCCCTTGGGTTTCTAATGGAACATAGGGCTTCAGCAGCACTTCTCTAATGAACTCTGTTCTCTGAAATCTTTTGAACCTGGCTCCACGACAGCCTACAAGCTCTAATTTCCTCCTCGCATGACCTCCTCCATGTCACCCGTGGACGTCCAACTCGTCGCTTCCCATCGGGGTTCCACTCCGGGGGCCTGGTCTGACGCGTGATGTCCCCAGCCGGCCTTCTCAGTGTATGCCCAATCCATCTCCACTTCCTTCCAGTGCATATTTGTTGAGCAATAGCTAGCTTCTTAGTTGGTTCGTTACCAGCCAGAGTTCCTTGTTGCTTATACTTATTATTCTGGCCATCTGAGCCTCAGTAACGAGCCAGCCTAGGCAGTTGTTGATGAATATCTGCAGTTTGTTGGAAATCCCTTTCGTAACGCACCAAGTCTCTCAACCTTCCCCTAGGAGCACTGACTTGACTGAAGTTGGTGTTGAAAATCCGGATCTTGTCCCACATGCTGAGTCCAGAAGATCGCCACACTGGTTTCAGATTAGTGAACGCCTGTCTTGCTTTTCGGATCCTGGCTGGCTTTGACATCCTCGTCTGTCCCGCCTGTAGTTGAGACAGTGCTTCGTTGATATGTGAAGGAAGTTACTTCCTTTAAGTTTCTCCCGTTCATGGTGATTGGAGTTTGTTGTTGTTGGTGAGGTATCTTCATCACCTCTGTCTTCTCTACATTCACTTGAAGTCCCATCTTCGCTGCCCTGCCTCTTCTGCCAACTTGTTAGTTTTCGTCTGCAGATCATCAAGTTTGTGTGACATCAAACACAATTCATCGGCGAAATCCAGATCTTATAGGTTCTCTTCGGCAGTCCAGCGTATCCCCCTCTTCTCGCTCCCCACTGTTTGCTGCATTATCCAGTCTATTCGACCACAATCAGGAATATCATGGGGGATAGTAGGCAACCTTGTTACACTCCTGTCTTCACTTCAAAAGCGTCACTGAGCTTCCCATTGTGAATTACTTGGCTGGCATGTGGAGTCTTCATATAATTGTTGAATGAGGCTGATAAAGGTTTGCGGTATTCCGTAGTATTGAAGCAGTTTCCAAATTACTTTTCAGTCGACGCTGTTAAAGGCCTTCTCAAAGTCGATAAAGTTGAGGTGTAGAGTTGACTGGCATTCTATACTCTGTTCTATGATGATGCGAAGTGTTGCAATTTGATCCGCACAGGATTTGTACTTCCTGAATCCAGCCAGCCAGCTTGTTTCGGTCGTAGTTTTGAATCCAGTGCATCATTTAGCTTCTCCAGGATGATGCGGCTTAACATTTTCCTTGCTCTGGGTGGACAGGAGAGTGATTCCTCGCCAGTTCTTGCAAACACTGAGGTCTCCCTTCTTCGGAAGTTTGACAAGGTAACCCTTCTTCCAATCACTAGCCAGGTACCTTCTCTTCCTTCCACACCTTCTGCAACAGTGGTGTGAGCATCTCTGCTGTTGTCTCTGCGTCTGCTCTCAGTGCTTCTGATGGGATTCCATCTGGTCCTGCTGCTTTCCTACATTTCAGTAGCTTTATGGCATTCAGGACTTCACTTTTGTTGGAGAATTTATGTTTACTTGTAGTTCTGTGGCTGCAGGTGGTATTTGTGGACGAAGTGCAGGTGGTGGTGGTGGTCGATTCAAGAGCTTCTTGAAGTGGTCGGCCCATTGTTTCCTTTGTTTCTCTTCTTTTGTAATTAAATTCCCTTCTTCATCTTTATTGGTTTCGTCTGTGTTGATCTCTTCCCAGATAGCAACCTGGTTATTTGATACAATGTTGTCACGTCTCTCTTACTTGCAGCCTGTTCTGCTTCACTTGCCAATGTCTCGTAGAAGTGTCTTTTGTCTTTCCGTGCACTCTTCTCCACTTCCTTTTCCAGTGTTTTATACATTGTGCTCAGTTCCTCTTGTCGTTGAGCTTCCTTGCACTGGTTTATCTTCTGATTCACCATCCTCCTTTCCCTCCTCTATCAGCTTCCACCTGTATGTGTCCATCGATATCCATTCCTTATCTTCTTTCTTCTTCCGTCCTAATACAGCTGTGCAGGTTTCTTTCCACATACCTTTCAAAGACTTCCAGTGTTCATCCACACAGGTTTCTTCAGGATGCTGCTCAGTGTCTCCCATTTTGTCTTGATGGCTGCCTTGAAGATCTCCTTGGTAGTTTCATCCTTCGGTTTTCGAGTATTGTACTTGAACTACGGTCTATCACCAGCTTCCTTGAAGCCTTTTAACTTGATTTGGAAGATTCCTTGCACTAGACAGTGGTCTGAACCTACATCTGCTCCTCTTCTTGACCTTGTGTCAAGTAGACTGCGTCTCCATTTTCTTGAGATTGAGATGAAGTCGATCTGATTTTTAGTGTGTCCTGGTGTCTGGTGAAATCCATGTCGCTTTGTGGATATCTTTGTGCTTGAACACACTGCCTCTAATCACCAAATCGTTGAATGCGCAGAATTCTGCAAACAATTCTCCATTCTCGTTCATCACCTCCCCGAGAGCTTCTCGGCCCACGGTTAGTTCTTTTCCTGTGTTGTCTGCTCCCACTTTGGCATTCATGTCGCTCATTAGAATGGATTTTGATATCGCCAACTGAGGTCTTGTCCAGTGTTGATTGAAGTTGTCTGTGAAATTCCTCCTTCGTCATAAGCACAATACGAATTCATTACACTTCACAAGTTTCATAATCTCTTTAGATGACGTAATTCAGAAAAGAACTTCCACTTTTGCTCATTTCATGTATGATGCAGTGAAATCCCACATAAAAATTTATTTCCCACACCCAATAAATTAGGCTGCCATGAGCTAAATGTAAATCATTGTTCAGAGTCATATCGGAGTGAAATCATTTCCAGTTTAGTCAAATAGCCGGAAATAACAATCTGTACAAATTTTCAAATCGTATAACCTGGAATACGTGTATTTCATACTGTTTCAAAACATGAAAATTGTATTATTGATACTGTTATCACTGTTATTAAAAAAGAGGTTAAATTGAATCTGCTCAGGACATTTGCCTAAGGATTCTTTAATTGGATAGTTGGGAATCCAGAGATCCGGAAAAAGTAGAAATGCAAAGTCAGTATCAGATTTCTTTCTGACTTATCTGCTTAGGTGTAAGTTGCGGCACTACAACATTTCTTATAGGTATAGTATTACCTTTCTGTAACCATGAGGGATAGTTTGCCTAGGTGTACAGTGTTCGTCATTTGGCTTATTCAGATAGGCTTTTGAAAGGTGTTAAACTGAAATGCAGTCATCGAGGTAGCTATTTAGGATAAATTATCCATTATCTTGTCACAAAAAGTAGAAGCGCTAAAAAGTGCACTAACAATATACAACAGTTTCTGTCTACAATGCTTAGGTCTCCTATATTTGTCCATAAGCAGTACTTAATAATTATTTTTGATTTTCAGTGTCCTAAAGAGAATACTCGCTTTATCCTAGATGCAAGGTCTGTGAAAGACTTTTTTCCATGGATACCTAAATAACTGATCGTTCTTACATTAGCTGCTGCAATACAACAATTATGTTATTAAAATACTTACTTTCTGTAAAAATCCCAAACAAAAGCAAGATAAAAGACAAAATGGACAAACTAGTAGCTATACTAGCTCCATTAAATAATTATTCATTCACTTACCTAGATATGTGCCCATATCTAGTACTTTAATAAAAAAAACTAGGTGATTAATGGCCGACAGCATAACCTGAAGGTCCTGCGTTTGACCCCTGGTGGGGTCATGGGTGGGCAGTGCTGAGGAGTTCCATACTAGAGCAGAACAGTTGTTCAGTACCCCCTGGTTTCCAATGTTTCTTCGACTGCAGTCAGTCCATGATGAATACCAACCTGAATTCACAGGAAGTTTAGAGATTGGTATAGGTTTAGCTATCTAAATCCGTGATTTTGCTTAGTTCCCTTTCTGGACTTTACTTTTCTAATTAAAAAAGGTTTTATTTATTTACTTCTTAAAACAATAATAAAGTTTGTTTTTAAATTTCCACTTAAATTAGCTCCAGAACTGTATGAGGATCAACCGAAATCCATCGCTTCTGATTTATGGAGTGTTGGAGCTGTAATCAGACTGCTGTAAGTTTGATATCATTTAAGTGTGTTATGTACCTTTATACACTCTGGACAGTAGTTAGTCATCCGACTCCTAACCAAGTATAGACGGGAATCTGCATGTTACACATCAGAATGATACTAATCATCCACTGAAACAGAACTCAATGAAGTCAGGTTGGAAACCTACACCGACCCAAGTTTCCAGTCATGACCCGGGATCAAAAGACGGTTATTGCAGAAAGTCTCAGTGACGGTAATTGAAAGCCAGTTAACGTTAGTGATGAACCAAGATTTCATTAATAGCCAGATGAATGTAGTCAGTTCATCGCAAACATCGAATATTTCTTTGCTGATACAACTACACAGCAAGATGGCAACGTATTTCTTCGAGTTTCCTGGGTTATAAAAGACTAGAGATTTATTCGATACGAAAAAGTTCACATTTTTCCGATGTTAAAAAGGGTCTTTATGGTTACTTTTCGTTCTTTTGAAGTATCAAGAAAAAATGCAGTTTGAAAACTCTTCTTCACATCAATTGGGAAACAGACTTTGCTGTAATACAGGAAGTTGAGACTTTTGATCACCTCACATAATTCATTGCTTACCATGGACTGATGGTGCACACGTAGATCACTCTAGAAAAAACGGTGGAAGAAGTTGAAAGGTGACGATGGTGTCAAGAATGATGAAATTTACAGCCATGGATTGAAAGTCGAGGCGTGATATGCCAATCCGGGTCCCCCTTGGTACAATAATGACGTCAGCCTTGTTGTATAAGCACGAATATACGGCATGTTGTTGCGTACAGTTCTACCCCATATTTCTGAAGTCTGAACTCTTTAAGATTGGGGAACCCAAGACTGAGTTTTCGTTCGCCATAGAACTGCCAGTATACGCTGGAAATACCATGTAACCAGTAATGAGGCGAGACAGTTCCCGTTTGAACGTTTTGAAGTACGTCATCAACTGAGTGTAGTTATCCTGAAATAACAGCTCCAGTGACTTGAACGCGTATTAGGAATATCATCACAGTAACTCCCATATTGTTCACTATCCCCTTGCCTTGAAACTGGTTTAAAAAGTGGAGAGGTAAACAGAATATAATATGGAGCCATGGGGTTGAGGTTAACTGTGTTGTTTAGAGTCTACGGATGCCTCGTGACTTCCTTTGACGGGATCTGAAAGATCATACAACTCAGTAAATTGAGGCGATAGCAGATATGGATCAGAATCAGAACCTGTAGTAATCAAACACCAGCTTTCTTCTTCCTTCTTTTAATTCGAGGTAAAATGAAAGCAACAAACACTTCTTGAATTTATTATTTATTCCATTTTATTATTTGCCCCTTGGGTTCCTAGTGGAACAAAGGGATTCACTAGCACGTCTCCACTTCACACTCTTCTCTGCAGTCTTTCCAACCTGGCTCCACCACTCCCAACAACCTTCCATTTCTTCCTCACACAACCTCCTCCACGTCAACCTCGTCACCAACGCCCAACTTGTCCTTTCCCATCTATATTCCACTCGACAACTCGGCCTGAAGCGTGATATCCCCAGTCGGTCTTCTCAGTGTATGCCAAATACAACTCATCTCCACTTTCTTCTGCATATTTGTTGAGCGATGGGTTCTTCGTTGGTTGGTGTGTGGCCAGCCAGCCGGCAACAGTTCCTTGTTGCTTATTCTTATTATTCTGGCCATCTGATCTGATCTTCAGTATCGAGTGAGTGTAAGCGGCAGCTGTGGATGGATGTCTGTAGTTTGTTGGAAATACTTTTCGTAACGCACCAAGGTTCCGAACCATATAGAAACACTGACTTACTTGACTGACTTTAGTGTCGAAAATCCGGATCTTGTTCACGCTTCATGCTGAGTGCAATGCAATGCAATGCAGTGCAGTGCAGTGCAGTGCAGTGAAGTGCAATGCAGTGAAGTGAAGTGCAGTGCAGTAGATCTCCACACTGATTTCAGGTTAATGAAGGAAGGCCTGTCTTGCTCTCTTTCCGATCCTGGCTGGCTTTGACGTCCTCATCTGTGCCTGTGTCGCCTGTACTTGAAACGATGCTGCCTAGGTAGATAAGTAGGTGAAACAGACTACTACCTTCAGGTTTCTCCCATTCATGGTGATTGGTGCTCATTGTCCTTGTTGTTGTTGCTGCTGTTCGTTGATCATCTTCATCACCTCTGTCTTCTCTACGTTCACCTGAAGTCCCGTCTACCTTCGCTGCCTCTTCTGTCAACTTGTTGGTTTTCGTCTGTAGATCTTAGAGCTTGTGCGACAAGACATTGGATATAAATCATCATCGGCGAAATCCAAATCTTATTCTGGTGTCTCTTCATAGGTCCAGCCAACGTACGCCCATCTTCTCGCTCCTCACAGTTGTCTGCTGCATGATCCAGTCCAGTCGACCACAATCACGAAGATCATCGGTGATAGTAGGCGGTACCCTTGTTTTGTCTTACTCTACTCCTGTCTTCACTTCAACGGCGTCACTGAGCTTTCCATTGTCAATCACTTGGCATGTAGCATCATACAGCATACAGCTGTTGAATGAGGTTGATAAAGGTTTCCACAGTGCCCAAGTTTTACTCTTATATTGATAAAGGTTCGTGGAACTGAAACCGTAGTGTTGAAGCAGCTGCCTGCCAAATTACTTCTCGGCTGACGCTATCGAAGGCCTTTTCAAAATCGATGAAGTTGAGGTGGTGAGTTGACTGTCATTCTATGCTCTTTTCTATGACGATGCGTAGCGTGGTGTTGCAATTTGATCAGCACATGATTTGTTCTTCCTGAAGCCAGCCAGCCAACCAACCTGTTCTGCTCGTACGTTTCAATCCACAACATTTTCGTTTCAGTCTCTCCAGGATGATGCGGCACAATTTTTGCTTGAGGTGGACAGGGATAGAAGCATGATTCCTCACCAGTTCTTGCAAACACTTAGGTCGCCCATCTTTGGGAGTTCGATGAGGTAAGCCTTCTTCCAATCAGTTGGCAGATGCCTTCCTCTCCTTCCAAACCATATGTAGTAGTGGGCAGCCTTGCTCAGTTCAAACATTTTGTGGACATTTCACGTCCACATTCTTACTTTCGCTTTCATTGAGCGAGAGAAGCCACATCGGCCATTTGGCTTCCGGAAGTCTTCCACCAACTGGCGTCATTTCGTCTCCCGGATTCCAGTGAGGAATAAGTTTGTTTTTGTTTTTTTATATTTTCTTTGTGCTTTGGAGTTTCTTTAGTGATTGAATTTGTTTTACGTGTTACGGTTGCTAGCCCTATATCCAACCTTCTCCCTTTATCCGGGCTTAGGACTGGCTATTAATTGGTGAGCTAGTTATCCAGGCGAGGTTGAATACTTCTTGAATATACTTCTAAAATTGCTTCTTCAATAAGCCGTTTCTGTTTCTGGTTCCTTTTCTTTTTCCGCCTTCCGCATCACGATTTTGTCTTTGTAATGCTGACATATTGTTTTATGATGCATCTCTTGGTGGCCATGTTAGACTAAGTTTGTTTTGTCAAATAAAATACGAAATAAATTGTCTTTTGGAGCAAATTAGTGGTTGGATTGAGAGTCATGCACATACAGATACATAGTTTTATTCCTGAAGGAGGTTAGGTGTTGGAAGGAATTGTATGAATGCACTCTATTCTTTCAACATTATCTGTAAGGACATTAGTAACTCGATCCACGAGTAATCAATTATGAATCATCTCCATTTGAGTTTCCGATTCTCCCTAAATTTCTAGAAGTCACCACAAAGAACCCAGTTTTAAGTAGTTTTTGAAGCTGATTATTTTCTGTGGCCTTTAAGAGATACAAATTACCTCACCAATTTGTTAAAGCCACCTAAAAGAACCAATCCACTTTTATTTTACTGGACTTTAACTAATTTCCGCTATTAATCCACAGCTTCCGAAGAAATGAAGAGTGAAAGTGCAGTCGTATTCAGAAATGCTCAATTTTATTGAGACCGTTTACTGGAACTCTGAATGTATTAACCAGCTGTTAATTCTATCAATTATATTTCCTCTCCTACATTATTTTAATGGTTTCAGATTAACAGGAGAAAATTCAAGTGATATTAATACCAACAATAAGAAAGTAACATCGTCGTCTCCAACTAACTCTGAGGAAATACACACACGCTCACAAGGTTATCTCAATATAAAGAAGTTGAAGAAATTTTCTAAACCTGCACGAAAATTTGTATACAATTGTCTGAATCCTGTGCCAAGGTAAGTTTATTTTCAGTGATTTTCTTGGAGCTGTCAGAACACCAAACAGTTATCATCCTAAAAATGATTTACAAATCTCTGGACTCTCAATTTAATACCTATGAAACAAACATTGAGAATATTTAGTAAAATATTCGTAAAAAGGATTGATTGGAATAAAATAAACCTAATACAACAGTGAACCGACTTCACACTTCGAGATCCTAGGTATCGAATGTTACTCTTAATTTGTTAAAACTGATAACTACTTCCTTCTACTAAAGTGAAAGCTTTGGCAGTTGATTTTCCCATAATCAGATAAGCGTTTTAAGGAGAATTGATCAAGACTGAGCAAAATAAGCATTAAAGTTGATGCTTCTATTGACTTAATTCCTCCAAGTACTTTTCATGAGAAGCCAAATTTCAGTCTAAGTGAAGGTCAACTCTGAATGCAGTTAATTATAAATAAGTTAATATACAGCCCTAGTATACCTTTCTCAGTAAGTTTCCAGCGGCTGTTCATTTACTGTGGTTTGTAGAGATAATTTACCACGAATACACGCCAGTATAACTGAAGACAGTTGTCGTACGGACCTGAAAACTTAGTACACTATGTGCACGCTTTATCTCATCTGTTGATTTTTCACCAACAAAAATGCATCGTTAGCCCTGGGTTTGATAGAATTATAAGCATCCCATTATTTAGGCACTGAGCTGTGAAACAAGGGACAGAAGTCTAATGACCCATACTTCCATCTTCAGTGAATCTGTGATATAACGTTGATGTCACCCTTTGATGAAAACTATCTTCAAATAGAATTTTATAAAAACCGTCTAGTTGAATAACCAGATTTCCTATAACTCAGCATTTAAATATCAAGCATCTGAGATGTGTACATCAATAAAAACTGAAATATTAACATTTCAGCAACTGGAAAACGAAAATTAAGGTATCCAAATGATTCTGTGCCTAATTTCTTCCAAGTTGTCCAGGCTTTTGTTGGACAGGATACGTGTAGATGAAACGTTTGTTGAAATGTTGCTCAAACTGTGTTAGCCCCATAAGAATGGTATAGTGGTATAACAAATCCACTACTGAATTTTCGCAATAGTTTATTAGAGCAAGTTCGCTCATTTCCTTCCCCATTTTACGTAACATTTTTTCTTTAGATAAGATAATTAACTTGTTTTAGGCTATCATTATTACACCGAAGAGAACCACATTTTGGAAAGAAAAATAAAAATAATTTGGAAAAGTTCATAAGCAGAATTGTCAAAGATTTTACTGTTCCGTTGGATAACCAAGGGGATGGCATAAATGTTTCATTTCTCTCTTGCACTACTATTGGACATCCCAAGCAGCTCCACCAGAATTAGTAAACTATCTGGGACAAATAATGAGATCCATTTCCTTGTCATCACCTCTATGAAATTACAAACATATTTCCTCCAGACGAACCTGTTTAAACTAGTCGTAATCAGCTAAACAACTTCAGGTTAAAAACCAAAATCTGCTTAGGAAAAGAGTCCGGTGGATCAAATGTTAGGGACAGCCGGTTACGATTCACTTCTGCTCGCAAATTTGATTATCATCACTATCATCTCTGTATAGAAAATACTGAGTCTGTCAACAAGGTTTATGGTAGATAATCTTATTAACAATTCTTTTCAATTTTTAATTTGAACAGGAAGCGCGGAACAGTTGACTTTTGGCTAGATTCTCACTGGTTTGATTTGAATGCTGATAATGTGAATAACTTGACTTCAGCAATCATTCCTACAAATATACTACGATCATTTAAACTCTTTTCAATACTGAAACCAATCCATGTGTAGAGGAAGAAACAGAAGAATTGCAATTTTCCTGAAACACCCAGCTCCTATTCTGTTTTTCTACTTTGCCATTGAGCTTATATCTTTAAAAGTCAACCCTCATAAAATACCTATAGATAGGTTACAAGCACATACCTGATTAGCCCTATACAGTAACAGATTCACATACCTTCCCTCTGCTTTCCAGTTAGTCAATAATGTGTAGTGAAACGACCTCTTTTCAACACATTGTCTTCTATTAAAAGAAATCTATAGCCTACTTCATTTGAAGTAACCTTTTACTGAAAAGAAAACTTTTTTTCTGAACAGTTTTTCAAAGGAGAGTCTTTATGTGGGAAAGTTGAATACCTAAATTCGTAAAAGACTTTAAAAAATAGCCTTCCCCTTCCTTATTCATGTATTTGTATCTTACCCCATTCAATAATCCTCAGAAATAAAGATAATCCTTTGTTGTAGGTAAATTCTTTTTTGTGGAAAACTTTCGGATACCCCGATATTTCGAAACAACTATGCGTATAGTTAAAGAGAAGCTAAAACAAAACGACAAGGAGATCCTGAATGTGTTTGTCAAAAGAGTAATCATTCAACACACCTTCATACACTAGATGTACACTCTTGCCTTAGTACCAGCAGAGTTATGCCATAATAATATTAACAGTTGCTTGAACTGTTTTCCTCAAGAAATAAAGACGGATTGATTGTAAATTCGTGTTGACTTTTGATTGATAATTTATATTCGGTGACTTTAAACAAGATTAGTACAAGATTGGTAGCAGTTTTACAATTTACATCCTCAAAACGTAATGTATACAGTAAACGTAACTTTTACAATTCAGCAAATTTGCTTTTACGTCATTTTCATTAGGAAGAAACGTTGGTCCAAGTGTTACTGGAAACTAGGGAGTGCTATATTAGACTTATGGACAATGTATAGTCATAACTACATCGGAGGTCAAAGTTAGAATCTACATGTTGGCATTTACTGGTCGATATTCTTCAACTTCAGGTAATGCAACCATGTTTTAAAGTCATGCTGTATTTTGTGTTCTGCAGTAGCTCGCACATCTACTCCAAGATGAATCGAATATGGTAATGAGAAAACGGTAGTGTCTACTCTCATCCAAGGTTAGTCAACACTACAAAGAAGATAAGGTATTGTAAAAATGTTACGAAGAAAAATACGGTTAAACAGCTGTTATCTGTGTAAAGTTACAATTTTACGGTAGTAAGCGAAATGAAGAAAAGCATATTTGAAAGGAACTCATAGTGAATAGGAAGCGAGAATCTCAAACAACTGTCAAACTACAAAAAGAGCGTAGGGAATTACAGTTATCTTCAACAAAATGTGCATGATACACACTAAATGAACTCATTACTAGTAATCTACCTTATCAAAATATTATTTGAAATCTGAAGAGGATGCAATGCTCTTCCTAAAATTAAAAAGTTTGTGGATTAGTGTGTATTTCACAATACCAATCAAATAATGGCGAAAATAACTACCTTTCAATAAATGAAAAGCATTCCTAGGTTTTGAGTTCGTCTGAGCTGATTGAACATGTCTTATTGTTTGGTTTACGAACCAGAATTACAATAACACAAGTTGTCAGTCACTTGATTCCCATAATAGCATCAAAAAAATCAGCAGAAGAACCGCACAAAATATTAAACTAAGTATTATCTTTGAGAACTTCTGACAGACATTTCACATTTAGCAAAATGTCAGTAATTGGCGCACGTTATGAAGACTTGACCGAACAGTACTATCAATTCTGACTACCGAGCAGAAAGTTTGCATTAAATGTAGAGCATATTTCTACAATGCTTAGTATGTTACTTCTAACATACTGGCCAAACATTTAAAGTGTAACCCACACTCTGAAGATGGAAAATTGTCTTTATTTTACAAAAACTATTTATTAAAACTTCAGTAATCTCGACAACAGTTAATGGGTAGAAGTCTTAATAAGGAGAAACAGGGGTGCGTACATATTCGGCGAATCAATCTTTTAAAGGATAAAACAAGTATTTTATAGGTAACCCAACCAAGTTGCGATTTGATAGTTCGAAACAATTTGGGCATTGGGTCAATGATATTCACTATTTTGGCATTTGCCTTTCCTAATGACTAAGAGACAAAACAAGGTGGTGTTCATCATAGACTGGCACCGACGAGGATTTTTAGCTGATGTTTTGCTGTTCGGTGTTACACTGAAACGGAATTTACAATATTTAAGCTGGTAGCTCATATATGATAACTGGATTTTAGTTTTCCTAGGTTATGGGATTTTTGAGAAAATAGCCACCTTACATAGTGCATTAAGTGTGAGGATTACTGATCAAGATCTGCGTGTACGCAAGTACCTATAGTCCTTATCGCATATGTGTTGGTTACCAGTGTATGGGGGTGGGTTGAAACTAGGTTAGACTGTTTTATTCCCTCATTCCTATATAACGAGTCTTGATTTTACCTTGTGCGAAGAAATTCTGCTATGAGATGTTCTTTATAGTTTTCAAAGCCTTACTGAATAACTTAGATACTGTTAAGGTCAACCTTGTGACCTGAAACCATAGCATGTAGAGCTACGGTTGAAGGCTTTTCAAGTTCCACTGGATTCTTGGTGCGTTATTTGAAAGTCCTTCAGCGTCCATTTTCTTCTAACTTTTGCTTTCACACGAAGTTTGTCCTATGTTTACTGTATAGTCTTCTGAGCCTTCTTTCTTACAAATACAATTATATTAGGGATCTTGGAGGATGTTGTCCTACACAAAACCAAAGCTCTCTGCCCTATGCTTGATGTTCTGTAGAAAATCTTGATGTTGCGTTTGTTAAACATTCTCCTGATCTCAGCTGGGGCGTGTGACCTTTTTCAGATGAATATTGTTGTGACTCATGATTTAGGTGCACTTTTTCAATCTGCTTTAACATTATTTTAGCACACTGTAATTCGTGCACCTTCAGTAGTGCATAAAGATGGCCCTTTTCTTCGCCCGGTTTTGGATATGCTTAATTCACATTGAAAATTGAGAGAAGAAATGTTTCGTTTCAATGAGTTCTCCATCATTGGCTCTACACTAACATACAGACTTTACACAGCTTAACCATTGATTGGTGGTGGGTAAATCAAATAAAATAATCATAAATTTAAGGTTACTTATTAAGCTAATAATTAGAGAAAGAAGATGGAAATTGATGAATATGGTTAATATATGAGATCGGTAGAGGTGTACAATAAAAGTTTTCAGATCCACTGGTGGCAAAACACGGAAACTGAGAAACTTCGGGTAAGTGGACACATGTTAACAAAATTACGTAATAGTAGAGAGACGGGAAATCAAGGAAACAGGTGTTGGTAACAGAAGAGCGGAGAGGGTTGTTTTGTTGACAAATTTTAGTCCACTAGACAAAAAAAATAACCTTAAGCTAAATGTCACCTTGATGGTCAAGGTAATGACAAATCCCTCCTGAATACAAAGAATCAGTTCGTAAATGTATACGTCAATAGTTTCTCCCATGTGGTAAACCATACCAAAGGCTGAATGGTAGGTTGTAAATAACTGTTAAAGCCTTGCTTCTATTCACTTTACGACCAGTATCTTTCAGATAAGCAAGTATTGAGCTTTTAGTTTTGTTTCTGTCCTTTACTCAGCCTCGTTGGATGGTGTTCAGATATTCTAAAATGAACTTGCTTAATTGTACGCCCTGTGTAATTAGCTACATATGAGCGGTTAAAATGGTGAATGCATATAGTACAGGCAAAATCAGGAAGTTTATATTCGTAACATGCACTTGTCGACTGTAGAAGATAGGACATAGCTTTGCAGCATTAAATATTCTGTAGAAACCTCTTCTTAAAAGTTGTTTTATAATTGGAAAGAAAGCATCTAGTCAAATATGTGGTTTTACAAAACTAGATATTTGACCATTGAAGTTTTCAGAAGGCATGTTGCATATCAATAACACTATATTCATGTAGTAAAAATTACATTTCAGAAAGTACGACCAGAACTGAAAGTTTGTTGAAGGTGATTGACGTAGATCCGTAAATGTGGGTCTAATATCGGTTAACACCCATCGGTGAGTTGTATGTCTATCCCAAAAAAAAGTCAATCTTCTGTCACTGTTATGCACATTACCATCATAATATTTTGGCGATGAATATTCCTTACACTAATGGACCGTAAATAATGTCCTTTTCTTAGTCCTCAGCGCCGACTAGATGAATTCAGTCAAGTTCGCACTGAGAACATAGAATTAGGCTGCTCAACATCGATTTCATCTTCGCTTGAAGCTGGTAACTGTCTTTGTTGCATTTAAATCTATCAACGGAATGGATAGCATGAACTGACAGAATTATATACGGTGTCCAGTCAGTTCATCCAACTATCCAAATTTATGTTTCGCATCCAACTACACCACCTTGAACCCAGCAGGCAGTAGAACACCACTCTTTATATGCTTGCGTATCATTGTTTCAATAGCTACTTTTAGCATCAAAAGGATACGATTGAGATAGAATCCCAATCCGGCTCGTACTCATCAGATACTGCCTTCTCTAGGGCAGAAAACTATATGCTGAAAAATAGATTTTCGCAATATATATTTCGATAACGCATTGGTCGTTTATGGTAGGGGTTCATTTCTGCAAAATATGTTTCGTTCCTTTGAACGAATGTCATCCTTTGGTTCATTTTGCAATCTAGGGATAGATACTTATAAAAAGCTGTTTCAGGCACCCAGGTCAATAAGATTATCCTTACAAACTGGACTTCCTTTTCACATGCCATCATAAGTACCATTCCACGACGTGAGCAGTTGGTACGTTTCAAGAGCCCGTCAGTACAAAGGTTTCTTACGATCATCAACGACCTTGACTCGCACTCGCTTCTAAATTTCGTTGATTCCGGTATGCTAGTGTTTTTACAGTGTGTCCCTCTTGTATCTAATGCTCGTGATAGCAAACTGAACCCACAAAACAGCACATCTGATCTCTTGAAAGTTCACCCCAAAACATTTAACAGCTTCCTATGTCCGCATACTCAGTAGCCAAAACTGTGGTATTCTACGCTAGATGCATACTGTATTTCTAAGATATGCAAGTGCGGCCCCTCACTTTACCCCTTACGGCTAAGATGATGACTTCATGCTGCTCGTGCACCAGGTATCTAGAAATTCGACAGCGAGCAAGGTGTACAGATTTAGTCCTATGGTAAAAATGTATTTCTCAATCGAAATTCAAGTGAAGACGGCCTGCGCACTATTCAGTTGAACAGTGCAGTAACCTTTCTTGACGTAAGGTGTGGTAACTCTAACCACTACCCACTGAAGCCAAGTTTCGTCATGCCTACGTGTGCACTTATGAATTCGCCTGCTATTGTAAAACTAGATACTTAGACGACACTCAGGCAAAGACTGTCTGAGACCTACTAACAAGAGTAGTATCAGTGAAGACCTATTGGTAACTTTATATCGGCCATGATCGTTACGTGGAGTCTACCGAATATTAAAATAATCTTTCGTCTCCCGCGATTCAGAAATGAAAGAGTTGTCTAAAACTAGTTTTACTGCTCATTTTACTTCTAGATCTTTGAATAAACTGATTCTTGACTCTTTGTAACGTGACGAGTTCTTGTTTTTCTTAGCTTAACTTCGAGCTTTTCAATTTACAGTTTTTCAATATTCAAGAATTCATTCTACCAAATGCTTATAGAAATTCTATTCCCAGACTCTCTTTTCCCCCAAGGGTACCCTAATTTATAAGAAGTCATTAAGTCACAGTTAAATATGATTGCCATGGTTTTCTTAAAAGATTTACTTCCTACAGTCATTACTTTATAGCAATAAGCATTCTATCAAATAAAGTACACAAAGAGACGTTGCACTCATAAAGAAAATTTTATCTGTCAATGAATGATAATTCTAGTGACATGATAAATAAAATTGATTTAGAAATGACGCTCTAATCCATGTATTCAGTGTATTGCAAAGGCTTAACGAAGTGTGAGAAGACTTTATGAACCTGAGGCCATAACTCATTTGTACGTCGACCGTGGAACACATGTAAAATGTTCTGTTTCCTGAGTCAAAATAAAACAAAAATGAACATAAAGGTTATTTACAATAGACGGAAAGTTAAACCATGAAGAAACTACGTTCTAAAGAGAAGATAATAGCTGAAAAAATTATAAACGAACAGTTAGCCGACGGTTTATGTCCTTCCTGAGCTGCCTAGTAACATAAGGTAATAGGTAAAACTCACATGTTGCATGGTGCTTCTAACTTCCATTATTTCTCTTGCTTCCGCAACACATCAATGACTAAAAGCATCCTCATGTAACAGACAAAAGGTCACATCTATTCAGGAAAGGTTAATGAGACTGTCTAGCAATCAAAACTTACATATGAGAGCGACGAGGTAAACAAACGCTGAATAGAAGTTTAAAATAACATTTTGAAAAGTCCCCAACCTAAGTCATAAAACAAAGATCTAACAGCGAAGAAAATCTTCCTCTCGATGATTTCATCCAAAACCACTGGAAACAAATAACAGTCTATTGTTAATCAATAAGAACGTGATTACTATTTTGTTTAAGAGGAGAACGGAAAATTTATAAAGACAGAAGAAAACTACTACTTTCTTCATGGTAAGGCTAATGAATGCATGTAATGCTTTTGGTTATAGGTTGCCAATGATTCGGCTACGCATAGATAAAGCAGCTGAAAGGTCTTTGGAAATGTAGGGCAGCACCTAGTAAATCACTTTGAAGGGACTATTTGGAGGAGCCAGATGTCCGGAGATGACGAAATGCTCAAGAATAGAAGTGTTGATATTTTTCTCTTTCTTCTGGATAACCAATTTGGAAAATGTTTCCAAATACGCTCACGAACTTGACTTTGTGTACGGTCAACGTACTTTGTTCCACAGGAACAATTAAACTGATAGATGCACAGTGAGGTGGTCGAAAGCAGTATTCCATCTTTAATGCGTTGATGGACTGTCTGCTGGAAAATGTGATCTTCAACTTCCACTGGGAGACTACGACCACAAGTTGACATCTTCACCTATAAGGACTATGCTATCTGCGTTCTGTAGGTCTACTTAGGAGCCAACATGTGGCAAGGTTAATCCATGTGACGTTAGACGAAGAAAGAAAAACCTTTATAAGTACCTCCATGACAAAACTAAATAAGAATGGACACCACTCAACGTACACAAATCACCTGACAACTCACTATAGGCTTTAAAAAACTCAAGCGTGTTTGAGCACAGCGCTTTCAATAGAATGATGTAATCTCCCGGCACTACTTTCAGTAGGAGACTGCCACAAGACCTCTCAAATGACGGAGTCAAGTGTTGCCTTCAGGTTGAAAAATACAGCTGGTGTTAGGCGCCGGTAAACGTACCTGTTCTAGAACCTGACAGAGAATGAATACATGGTAGATACTCACAAGAACAGGTTTGAAGTATGCACGGTTTTCTCAAATTTGTTGTTCCCAAGCTCACCCAGACTTCACAAGACTTAGAGTTAGACTGATTCCCCTGTGGTTATCATGAGGCATTCTTCGCCTATCTTGAAAACTCAGACAATCAGTGGTTGAGACCAGCATTTTCGGGGGGGACCATATCTGATTCCCAAACAACCAGCTAACAATTCAGCTAACCTGATCAATAGTTCCCGACCACCGTCCTTAAATACCTCCGGTACATCATCACCAAGATCAACATAGGACTAGGCATCACTGCATAGCATTCCAAGTTGCCACACCCAGTATCAGCACATCAAGTAACGAGAGAATAAAATGGAAGATGAAGAAGGAGAGAAAAAAGGTTGGAAGAGGTAAAAGGTAGTAAAATAGAGGAAGGACGGGGTGGTCAGGCTCCTCGCCCTTGTTTCAGGTTACTTACAGCTTCCTCAGCGTCTAAGTGTCTGAGGCCCTATGCCAATGTTCCATTCAGGATCCGACTGTATAGCGAGCAACACAAAAGTAGCTGGAGGCCAGTTGAACTGTTTCTCTAAGTAGTCAGGAAATCATAGTTTCAATCGTCTCCCCAGCAAGTAGATCCCAGACTCATCTTTTTCCACCTTTAGTTTCACCAACCACCGACCTTTTTGACTTAGTTTCCTTGATAAGTTTAAATGGTGGTTTAGTGTTGTAGCAGGTGATCAGTGTTAACTGTTCGTTCAACTGATATTCCACAAGTTTCACCTAAATACCTTTCGGTGTGAGTTTACCTACCAGTTTGTTCATTGGAATCACCTGCTGCGACAAACATATCAAAACGTTTCGTTTTCATTGGGAGTCTAGACAGTTTTCAGCGGGACTCATCTTTCAATTACCATAATAAATATTCAGGCAATATCGAGGCAGCCGCATAGGATCACATATACCGACAGAGGTCGAATAATTCCATTCAGTATAACAACAGAAAACTATAAGTACATCAGAAAACAGTTACAACTAATACGCGTTGTATAAGAGGTGGCTATCGCGCCTCAGTGGGAACATCACTCACTGGAGTGTAGGTACATCCAGCTGACCAGTTGCAAACAGGACGAAGCGTGCGTTCTGGATTCTACTGCTACCTACAATCAAGTCAATTATTCAACCTTCAGTTGATAAAACTGAACCCAATGAGTAGAGATTATTCAGGGAAATGAAGAATTTTAGTGGTTTTTAGTCTTCACTGCATCGTTCAATCGAACAGCCACAGATGAATATTTACTGGGATACAAGTTTAACAGTGAACATTTTGCCTTAGTACTTAATGCTACGCCGACACCTGTAAGACTGTGAGAACTAGTTTTCGAAAATACAGAAACTCGAAACATGACATTTGTAGATTTCAGCATGAGGTTAAGTGAATAACCATAAATGGGTTGTTTTCTGTAGGCGTGCATGACAAGCAGCACAAGTTCACGACCCGAGATGCCAGTTTTAGCTAGCGAAGCTTATGCCCGATTTGACAGGCGTGGAAGTCGAAAACGAGGTTACGTAATTAGGAAAACGGTTTTAAAAGATTAGGAGTCCTATTTTGTGCACTTGAATTACTACTGAGAGCTGCAGAGTTGAAAGACCAACTGCAAATGCCCACACTGATTATTCTCATATCTGGGTTCCTACTGAACCTGCTGGTCTAGACGACTTCCAGCTGACGGGCCACAAGTTCGAATCCCACCCCACCTACAGAGGTTCGGATAACCAAGAAGTGTCACTAGCCCTCATATAATAGGTGTGGCTCATTCGACTTTACTGCAACCATTACAGTATGTTGAAGTACCTGTCAACAAGATAAAAAAAACACGACACACACAAGGCGATGGCGTGTGACGTCCCTAATCGGTCTTCTGAGTGTATGCCAAATACAACTCATCTCCACTTTCTTCTGCATATTTGTTGAGCGATGGGTTCTTCGTTGGTTGGTGTGTGGCCAGCCAGCCGGCAACAGTTCCTTGTTGCTTATTCTTATTATTCTGGCCATCTGATCTGATCTTCAGTATCGAGTGAGTGTAAGCGGCAGCTGTGGATGGATGTCTGTAGTTTGTTGGAAATACTTTTCGTAACGCACCAAGGTTCCGAACCATATAGAAACACTGACTTACTTGACTGACTTTAGTGTCGAAAATCCGGATCTTGTTCACGCTTCATGCTGAGTGCAATGCAATGCAATGCAGTGCAGTGCAGTGCAGTGCAGTGCAGTGCAGTGAAGTGCAATGCAGTGAAGTGAAGTGCAGTGCAGTAGATCTCCACACTGATTTCAGGTTAATGAAGGAAGGCCTGTCTTGCTCTCTTTCCGATCCTGGCTGGCTTTGACGTCCTCATCTGTGCTGTGTCGCCTGTACTTGAAACGATGCTGCCTAGGTAGATAAGTAGGTGAAACAGACTACTACCTTCAGGTTTCTCCCATTCATGGTGATTGGTGCTCATTGTCCTTGTTGTTGTTGCTGCTGTTCGTTGATCATCTTCATCACCTCTGTCTTCTCTACGTTCACCTGAAGTCCCGTCTACCTTCGCTGCCTCTTCTGTCAACTTGTTGGTTTTCGTCTGTAGATCTTAGAGCTTGTGCGACAAGACATTGGATATAAATCATCATCGGCGAAATCCAAATCTTATTCTGGTGTCTCTTCATAGGTCCAGCCAACGTATGCCCATCTTCTCGCTCCTCACAGTTGTCTGCTGCATGATCCAGTCCAGTCGACCACAATCACGAAGATCATCGGTGATAGTAGGCGGTACCCTTGTTTTGTCTTACTCTACTCCTGTCTTCACTTCAACGGCGTCACTGAGCTTTCCATTGTCAATCACTTGGCATGTAGCATCATACAGCATACAGCTGTTGAATGAGGTTGATAAAGGTTTCCACAGTGCCCAAGTTTTACTCTTATATTGATAAAGGTTCGTGGAACTGAAACCGTAGTGTTGAAGCAGCTGCCTGCCAAATTACTTCTCGGCTGACGCTATCGAAGGCCTTTTCAAAATCGATGAAGTTGAGGTGGTGAGTTGACTGTCATTCTATGCTCTTTTCTATGACGATGCGTAGCGTGGTGTTGCAATTTGATCAGCACATGATTTGTTCTTCCTGAAGCCAGCCAGCCAACCAACCTGTTCTGCTCGTACGTTTCAATCCACAACATTTTCGTTTCAGTCTCTCCAGGATGATGCGGCACAATTTTTTGCTTGAGGTGGACAGGGATAGAAGCATGATTCCTCACCAGTTCTTGCAAACACTTAGGTCGCCCATCTTTGGGAGTTCGATGAGGTAAGCCTTCTTCCAATCAGTTGGCAGATACCTTCCCCTCCTTCCAAACCTTCTACAGTAGTGATGTGAGCACGTCGTTGCTGTTGTCTCTGCGTCTGTTTTCAGTGCTTCTGGAGGAATCCCATCTGCTCCTGCTGCTTTCCCGAGTTTCACCAGCTTTATGGCGTTCACAGCTTCACTTCTGCATTTGTCGGAGGGCTTGTGTTCACTGGTAATTCTGTGGCTGGGCTGCAGGCGGCATTTCCGGACTACTTGCAGTTGGTGGTCGTCGTCGTCATCATCATCATCGATTCAAGAGTTTTCTGAAGTGGTCAGACCGTTGTTTCATTTGTTTCTCCTCTTTGATGGCACATAAGTTTCCTCCACTATCTCTCATTAGTTTCTTCTGCGTTGATCTCTCCCCTCCCACATAGTAACCTGGTTATTTGATACAAGGTTGTCAGGTCTCTGTCTCTCCTACCTGCAGCCTGTTCTGCTTCACTTGCCAGTGTGTCGTGGAAGTGTCTTTGTCTTTGCGCTCACTCTTCTTCACTTCTTTGTCCAGTGTAGTGTTTTGTAGGTTGTGTTCAGTTCCCCTTTTCGTTGTTCATCCCTGCACTGCACTGCACCACTTCATCTTCTGCTTCACCATCACCATCTTCCTCTCCCAGCTCTATCAGCTTCCGTGTGTCAGTTGAGATCCATTCTATTCCCTGTCTTGTTTCTTCTTCCTTACTAATACGCTTATGCAGGCTTCCTTCGAAGAGTTCGAGTACACTTACACACTAGTTCGTTCAGGGATGTTGCCTAATGTCTTCCATTTCTTCCTGATATCTGACGTGAAGATATCCTTTGACGTTTCGTGCTTCAGTTTCTGTTCTGCGTGTTGAACTTGAACTGTGGCCTATCACCAACTTCTGTGAAGCATTTCAACTTGATTTTGAAGGTTTCTTGTACTAGATGGTGAGTGGTGTGAACCTACATCTGCTCCCCTTCTTCATCTGATCTTGTGTCCAGTAGGCCGAATGCATCTCCACTTTCTTGAGATTGAGATGAAGTCGATCTGATTTGTAGTGTGTCCTGGTGTCTGGTGAAATCCATGTCGCTTTCTAAATATCTTCGCGTTTGTACACACTACCTCGCCTCCAATCACCAAATCTTTAAATGTGCAGAATCCTGGAATCAGTTCTCCATTCTCGTTCATTTCACAAACTAGTCTTTCTCGACCCATGAGGAGTTCTCTTCCTGTATTGTCCGCACCCAGTTTGGCATTCATGTCGCCCATTAGAATTTTGATGTCGCCATCTAGGTTGGGGTCCTGTTCATTACTGACTGCAGTTGTATGTAGAATTCCTCCTTCTCTTGATCTACACTATTTGTAGTTGCGTAGGGTAGCATTGTGACCTTCCTACCTTTAGAGTTGAATCTCGCTGTCATGATCCTGGAGGAGATTGATTCCCACTGCATGATAGCCTTTGATGTTATTGGGGACATCATGATAACCACTCCAAAACTCAGTGTTCGTGGTTGTCGTCTGGGTGACAATATCGGAGTAGATTATTGACTCTGCAGTTAAGAGTTTGGAGAGTCCACTTTCATTCCATCTGCTTTCGCAGATTCCTAGAACTTCTATGCGATACCTTATCATCTCTTTTGCAACCAGGGCAGCCTTGCCAGCCAGCTTCAAACATTGTGAGAACATTCTATGTCCCATTCTTACTTTCGCTTTCATCGAGATATGACACAGGCCAATCGGCTTCCCGAAGGCCTTCACCAACTGGCGTCATTTCGTCCCCCCAATGCCAGCAAGGAATAAGTTTATTTTTATTTTTTATATTTTCTTTGTGCTTTGAAGTTTTTTTAGCGATTGGATTGCTTTGACGGGGTACGGTTGCTAGCCCTATTTGGCTGTTATGTGTTGATGCTTGTTGTTTCCCACTGATTATTTCCTGGACAGAAGTTACCTGTCTTTATCGACGCACGGGCTCCTTAAACGGATGTCTCAATATTTTTTGAAGTTTCATTTAGATGTCACTAAGTCACTAGGATGCAGACACATACAGCTGATGAAACCCAAAAGGAACAAAACTTACGTCCTAGATTCCAGTGTTAGCCATTAACAAGCAAATTGCAACATAATGAGTCTTCTGACAATAGTCAAGGCATTCGCATAGGGGCACATACGCTAACAGATATCAATCAATTCGACCCGGTATAATAATGGTAAATTAAAAATATCAATTCATGGTTTTTCTAAAAGTTGTGAAGGAGTTCGAAACACGCACTGACTTCAAAAACGTTAAAGTTCATGCTAACATGCATACATGAAAGTCATACATATAATCTTGATGACCACCACATCTTGTAAACAACCAGAAACCTACAAGATTCACTACCTACAGTTCGCTAAAAACATTGAGAAGTGACGCTACTTTACTTCAGACATTAGGCTAAAAAAACACTTATGTGAAAGGCAAACAGTAGACAACCAATAGTATATTTATTTGTACCTTTGTTTTATAACACTAGTCTATTAGCAAGATTTCAGAGTCCACCGTAATTGACTACACTAAGTTACATTGACAAAAGTACGGTAATGCATTTTTACAACTTTTGATTGGATGCAGTAATTCCCCAAGTTACATACCTTGCATTCTGGGTTGCTTTACGTGATAATCAAAAAATATATTGCAATAAACTCCACCATTTTCATGTTTTTTTTTCATAACAATTAAACCCTGCGTTTCGGCACTGATCAATAAGATATTTTGAAGAACCTTATGTCTACTGCTCATTGAAAAAGATGCTTTTCTGGTTTTCTATGTAAATGGATACATACTGCACACATAAACTTACACCATAGGAACTTAAAGCCATCAAACTGTTAATATATGAATGACTATGATCACTCACTAAATGAAATACCACAAGACTCCCAAACCTCCAAATTTAATGACTATTTAAATAAAGCAATAACTAAGGAAAAATAAATACGTCAGGCGCCTACTTCTTCTTTGCATGAACTGTAGTTCAGTCGTCCAGACAATTCACTTTTGTCCAGCGGGTTGTGTAGGTTAAAATAATCCCCACTTACTTCATTTTTGGGAATCAACCAATATTCCAGATCATACAATTACGAGTTTCAACTCAACCTATACACTGAAAAGTCTCATTTGAATCAACTGAAAATCAAGCTATAATTCTCAGTAGAAACGCATATTCCTGATAACGACAAACCAATAACAAGTACAACGGTCCAATTTAGCACACTAAGGGAGTGGTAGAGAAGTACTTTTCAAATAACATGTCATCAAATTAAACAACACCTACCTGTAAAACTCTAGTAACGACAATGTAGAGAATTGATAAACATCCAAACGTTTACGAAGTGCTAATGGATCATCATCTTCCCTTCGCACTAAAGGTTCTCCAGTCAGATCATCGAATCCCTACGCAAAAATGCAAATGGTCACAATTTAGAAAAATTAGTGAATAATTAGGTATGATTTGGCAATCTGGTAAGTGTCACTACACGAACACGAGAAATTTCAAAACAGATTAGCTATATTACAACCAATATGCATATTACTGCTGTATTTAACGCACTCAGCTACCTTTTGCACATCCGTAGTAGGCAATGAGCCACACATATTGTGTGAGGGCTAGTGATACTACCTGGTTGACCAAATCCCCGTAGGCGGGGAGGGGCTCGGATCCATGACCCAATAGTTGATATTCATCTCAATAAAGTCTGATTTAAAAACATTAAATTTCCAAATTCCAACGTCTGCTGTGTCAGAACCTTCAGTCATCATTCTCGTCAACTACAGGGGAGCTGGGCTGTTTGCACATGCTGCTGATGTAGACAAACGGGTGATTATAGAAAAGTCTGCACTCCCATATTTTTTTTGTTAATATCACTCTTTTCACTCCAATTACAATACTGATAATAAGCTGGTGAAGAACACAGTTAATCACACTCTATTCTTACGAAAATTATTGAGTTGTATCGCATTCATATGCACAAATGATCTTAATTGTTGTTCATTATGACGTGTTATAATTTCAAATTACAACTGGTGTGTTAATATGTTTAGACTTTCAATAATACGAATGATTTGAATAAAAACCTAGTTTTTCGGTGAACAGAAAAACGTTTGTCAATTTATTTGTCAGTCTACTCTCCGTTGGTTAACTTCAAACAGCAAAAATACTTTAAGATGAAAAACAATTACGAAGTTGGCAAGTTACTTACTGATAGACTAAGTGATAAAATTCAAATAGTTAGTCATTGGTTCACAAAAAGTCCCAACCGAAGAAAGAATGATAATATCAATAAATCTGACACCTTAAGTGGTGGAGGCGAACTGACAAGAGTGGAAATAGGAACATAACTTGAATTGTACTTCATAGTGTTTCTGCTAGTATTACTAGTACAAGTCTAGGAATACTAACAAACATTGAAAGCTTCCGGTTTAACAGTTATTCAAAAGTTGCATAAAAGGTGCACGAGTCAACTCTCTAGACTTAAGTGACGGAATAGTTTTTTTGTCGACGACAAGAACATCCGAGAAACAGCAACTTCCACTTTACGTACTAGAGTTGGTGGAAGCAGAACTCATGGAAAGGATGGAAAATCCCTTATGGTATATTCAATGTCAAATTCTGACTGTCCATTTTTAAAAATGGTTGGAAAAAGTGAAATGTAACTAACCCCTATCATATCCAATAGCTGTTACTTCGAGGCAGTTCTCGCGTTTGTATATTAAAATGGCAATCTTTGATTAGACTATTCCTACTTGCTTATTTTTTATTTTGCTGCCTTGTATTTTGATGCGCTGATGAGCTGCGGTAACTTGGACCGTTATACAGGATTGCTAGAGTCCCAAGTTGACGGGACTTGATGCTGCTCCACTGCCTTGTGGAGTAAACTTTAGTTCAAAGGCTGGAGAAGTGGTCTCTTAACTATCTGTTTTAGAGTCTGGACACTAGGTTAACTCTCACGCAACACAACCTAAATCGTTGCATCAGTCTTAGTAAGTTAGATGCCGACAAAATTTCAACCTGAATTTAAAGGGCCGTTTTGCCTTTCTTCAATCGACATTTTTGGTGCCAGAGATAGACGATAGCAAATCAGATGATGTTTATTCTACATTAGGTTAAAATTAGGCTATATGGCCTTAAGGCGTTTAGAACAAAATGTTTACTAATATACGATGTTTCTGACTTACTCTGAGTTGTGTAAAGAAGCATAAGCTGTCTGCTTGGGCGATCCAAGCTGATAGGCATCAATGATTGTTAATTCCCAGTGAAATGGATAGAGCACTTACAGTGGCACAGATGCACGCATTCCCTATGACCTTTGAAATTCTGAACATTCATAGACGTCTATTTGTTTACTTATTTTTTGTCTCCTTTAAAAGTACTTACTAACTCACTTCTATTTGGGTGCTACCATGAAGGGTGACAACCTGAATTTGTGCACTTCTGTGAAAAGGTTCTGCGCTTCTATTCGCATGTTCAGCAGTATTCATGCCTAATGCATCATATAAGTCGTAAACAACACTTTAGAGATCACACATTATTGGAAAGTCACCGTTATAATAGCTTCTTATTGTGAGAATATAAGAAATCATGTTTGAAGACTTTGTCGAAAGCTTAAAAGCTTAAGTGAATGAACTAACGCAACTCAACGATAGACAAGTATTTTTATCACTAGTGACAATATTCTGAAATCCATTACATGTAGCGTATGAAGTCTCGATACCATGTGAATGAGGTTGACGTCATTGAAATTGCTCTCAAGTAGTAAACCGATGGAATATTTGGAGTACCTAAGCTACCAATGTTACCAGGTACAGAAATCGAAGTGTAGAGTAAAACCAACCAATCTTTAGAGCAGTGAAAAGAGATGGGGATGAGTCCCAGTCACTAAAGGAAAAAATCTCAAAAAAGGTTTCATGGCAAGCGGGAAAATACACTTGACATCATTAAGCTGAAATGGGTGGATGGTTTTAAGGATAAATGAAGATAGTTGTACCTATCGTGGGAATGGTCATACGTGAGAAAAATCGGAAACGAAGTGAAAGTCATGATAACTATTGAATCAAAGTCAGAAAGTCAATAAGTATGAATTCAAACAGTAATAACACCAACCCTACGTTTTGGGGGGTTGAAATTATCGTTGTATGTCCTACCACTTGGTAAGTGAATGTATCTACCACTGATTCTGCTAACAATCTCTTCAAAAGGTACATCTAAACAAAGTACACATGTAATAGGCAGCTTTTCCCGAATGCATTCAGCTTGTTTAACAGTTCTAGGAAACCCATCGATTAGTAAATTATGATTTATATGTTCGTGACATCGAGATACCATCATTTTAACAACCACACTGTCTGGCACAAGCTGGCCTGTTTGAATATACTTGCTGGCTTGAATTCCAACGTCTAAATAACAATTTCTAGATGAGGATGTGCATACCTGTTTTCATGGCTACGTGGTTCCTTAATACATCGCCACAGCTAACATATCCCAGTGGAAAATCCTTCAGCAAACGTGAAGAGACCGTTGCTTTCCCTGAACCTGGAGGTCCAATGATAACAGCCCTCACATAACTATCAAGAACGTGAGAAAACCTCATTCATGAGTCGAAACTTCTGATTTGAAAGCTCTAGCATGACCTTGAGTAACCAATAACCGATTTCCAACATCCGTTGTTGTGTGAGTGTAGGAAACCGACAGTTTTGATCTCTCACGTCCAGTTCCTTGGGGCTTGGTTTGTGTTGTTCAGTTTTCTACTGCAGTGGATAGGGAGTTCTCTTGTGTTTTGCTGCTTTTAGCTCCGGTGAGGTGAATGTTTCCGTGCGCTTGTAATTGCAATTTATAAAGTAAGCTGGGAAGATTAGGGTTTTTGTGACTCTTGTCTGTTTAGATGCCTGAATAGGAATAGCAAGGCATTGAAAAAAGGCGTGCAGGGATTACCCGATAGGTAAAATTAGAGGGTATGGGTTTAGTTGCTGGAGAGGGAGGTGTATCAACATGACAGACAGTGAGTGGTAGGTAAAAAGGAAGTATTAGTGGGGTAGTGGGGCAATTACTACCCTGTGTAGGTCTTTGGCAAGCCATGCCGAATGACGTAACTATCTAATCGTCTTTTGAAAGTGTCTACTACGGGGTTGTGACTATATCCCGTGGTATGGTATTTCATAATACAGATACTGTTAAGGAGAAAAAAATTGGACCTGAGCCTTGTGCTAGCCTCGTGACGTGCAATCCTAATGGGGTTTCCCTGTGATGGCTGCCGAGTTGCAGGTAAGGCTAGTTTTTTGCGGGATTCGCCTGACGAATGATCCTGTGTGACATAGATGGATCACTGCTCTTTCTGAGATAGCCCAAGGTGAGTGGGCCTAGGTACCTCAGTCTTTCCCAGTGTGCCCTACCCCTTAATCCTGATTTCGCTGCACATCTTCCTACTTTCTCATGGAGATTAAGGTCCCCCTTGAGTATTAAGGTGGCTACCACATTGAAGACCCCTGGGTGATGGGTACTGATATGCGTTAGTTTGGACTTTTCCAGTTTGAAACTGAAGCCATCTCCCGACGACCAGAAGTCAGGTAGCTGCAGGTCACTTTAGAGTGCTGTGCAGTTGACCCCTTCATCTACTACCCATCAACTTTTGATATCACCAGAGAAGAGAGGGGTAGGTGAGGAAATTTTGTGTGGCAGATCGTTAAGGAAGAGGATGAACAGCAGTGGTCAAATGACTCCTCCATGAGATACACCTGACGTCGATAGCCTCCACCCAAACCGTATTCTTTTTACTTTAGTGAGGAACTCCCTGCCCTCCAGTTATGCTTTGAACCAAGAGAGTAGAGGTGTAACAGAAAAATGATCTGAAAATCCCTCCCAATCACCCTTATTTGATTGTATTGACATTTATTTTAACATTTTTTACCCTCGTTATGGATGGTGTACCTTTGACCCTCGCCGGTGTAATGTTATTTGCTTGTTTAACTGTCTTATTTGACTTTACACTCGGTATTTGCCTTTGTATGTTTGAGACTTATTATGAATGTTTCACTTTCCTATTATGTGACGCTGGACTGTTGATAAGGTGTTGTTTTACTGCGCACGACATTTTGTTTTGGTTCAACTTACGGTTGTGTAGTGATTTGACTGTTTGTCTTTTGACTGTCTACTGGGAACGTTTGTTTGTTGATTTGATTCCTGTAGGCAGAGTTTTGATCCCTTTTGCCGGGAATATTCTTATTGACCGACAGGTACTTAACGGTTGTATTTTTTTAACCAGTTTTTAACGTGTAGTACGTATTTGTACCCGAGAACGTTTTGGACTGTATAGTTACCCAATGGCACTGTTGAGGTATTTTTGTAATTTGACATAACTTATTGTTGCTTTGATAGTACCACAGATTTTGTTACGAATCTACTATTGAATTACTACAAACCGTGTTTTGATATTTCGATCCAACCTTTGACTGTGCGTCACTCGCGGAAGTTAGGAAGCTATACAGTAGAACGCAGGAACTAGTCAGATTCACGTCAGTTGGCACCGCCTAGTTATTTCCCGCGTTCAGGCCAAGATTATTGGATTCTGGCCGCTACAAGAGGTTCGCTTTTACTATCTGACGTGATCATGCGGGGCTAGATCGTGGGCGGAACTCTGTCTTATGCTTTAGCCAGGTCCAGAGAAAAACGTTAACCGATTTCCAGTCCTTCCAGGCCGCCGGCAAGTTAGTCGTACATAGACAACCACTTTCGAAGCCATTCTGAGCAGGATGAACGGTATTCCCCATGTTAAGGGACTCCCAAACCTCGTTGGGTATCGGGCTTTCTAATACTTTTGACAGCAGAGGGAGTAGTGCAATCGGTCCCAAGCTTGCAAGACGCTTTCTGTCCTATCCCATGAAGATGGGTGACGACAATGCGCACTTCAATTCTTTTGGGAGTTTGCACGACTTAAGCGTGCATGAAAACGTTGATGATTAGTTTAGCTAGTCCCCCAGCGCAGTGTTTTAGAATTGTTGATATCAACTCAGTGCACCCAGGAGCCCGAGTCTCGGCGGTTTTTTGAATACTTTTTTCCGTCACGGGGATCCAGCAGAGGCACTATTTGTTCATGGTCTGATCAACGTTGTATCAAATGGGCTCCGATCTAGTGTCAATACCAAGTTGTACATCGGAGCGTGAGCTCAGAAGCTCAGGTATCTCTAAACTGCTTGTTACGTCTCCCGCGATAAGATTTACTCGCTTGCCGGTAGACTTCATAAAGCGGCACAGGTTCTTGGGGTTGCTTTGTGACCACCTTACAAGGTTTCCTCGGTAGCTGGACTCATCTCTAAGGGCTCTTATGTTGCAGCACTTACGAGCTGTTGTAGTTCAGAAAGTCCGATTCCTCGCATGATGAATGCCACGTAAACCGAGTCTGCCTCCTGGCCCGAAAAGGGCCCCTTTGTCATACGCTTTGGCCATGAGGTCCTTGCTGACAGCCAATTCATTGCTCCTGACACGCTGTGACTGATAGCCCCAAGGACTATTTCCTTCAGCTGTGTTCAGTGTTCACCTGTTGTGGGGCGAGTACAGTCCATAGACCACAATGCATTCATGAGGTGCTCTCTCACTGCCTAATAGTTGACCTTGAAGTAGCAAGGAAACGTGTTGGGTATCCCTGATTGTAGAGCCTCCTTGGTGACCATGGCGGAAGTTATTACTGTGCGATGGAGAGGTGGCTGGGTGCATGCGTTCCCAGTAAGAAGATCATCATTCGTCAGGATGTGGTCTAGGCACGGTGCACCTCCACTAGGCTCCCAACTTTCGGTATCACCCACTTTCTCTGTCGGGCCAGAAGTCTCAGTGACATTCTTCAGCTTCTAACTGAAGGATCTGACCTGCCCCTTCTACCTCGAAGAGGGTAGAAGGAGTGTCGAAGTCGCCGGGTCGCAATCTTCAGAGGAAGTCCCTAAGATTGCCTTGATGAGCATTCTCTTATGGGTGATGGAGTGAGTGGGTGACCGGTATATCACCTCTAGCAAGTAGTTGATACGAGGAAAGGTAAAGCAGCCCCTAGAATACTACGGGGCCCGAACCGGAGGCCTGCCGCCGGCTAGTCTCACCCTTAAACGGAGGCTTATGCAGATAGCTATTCCCCCTCCCGTGTTCTGTGTCCCCGCAGAGGAGTTCCATGCCGGTGACTGCGTCTCTTTGTAAGAAACGTTCAGCAAATGCCAGGGCTGTGACAAATATGGTGTCAGAGTGCTGGCGTTCGCAGAACGACTTCATCTCTACCACTTTCCCTTTTAGCCCTCTAAAGCTGCTGCACATATATGCTATTTGGGCCTGATATGAGCAAGAGACTGGCAGCGTAGTTACATGAGTAGATCGCCCACCTGGTTGGATCTAGGATCTCCAGTCCCTAAAGGGCTGGAGTCACTCGGTATTTTGGAGCTTTGTTTTCAGTTTGCGTAGCGGCTGCAATAACAGGAGCTTCAGTACTCGATGCACCTGACTCACCAATCTATGCCTGTGTGACAACCGCTGGCTCTGGAGGTCTCGGGGGTTGCCGCCACTCTGCTTGCATAGGGGGTCTTGATTCGCTTCCACAAATGCGTATCGAGCAGCCCATGAGTTCGTCCACGTTACAGCACGCACACAGAACGTCGGTGAGGGAGTCACGTTGGTCAAGCTGGATGGTGAGTGATATCGGGGTGGAGATGAACTTTGAGTGTGCTGGTCCCTGCAGTCTAATGATGCTGGCGGCCGTTACACTGCCGAGGCCAAGTTTGTTTGAGAGCCACTGCCGTCGTTAGACGCCGTGAAGGTACCGATCCTCAGCAAGGTGGCTACTCGGCAGTTCCGGGACCTCACGTGCAATCATAGCGGGGCTCCTGTTTTGGGTTCCCGACTGCGGATTTCTCCCCTCCTCTCTCAATGACTGTGGCTTGTCAGGCTTGGTCCGGATTGTAGAAGTATTGGCAACGTTTGGTTGGCGTGAGAGGAGGGTGTCCTCAACTTCTTTCATGGAGTTGAAAGATGCTCGCAAGGTTGGTCGGTTCTATCGAGGTGCCCAGCTTCCGCAAGAAAGGCGCGACGGTTTCACAAGGAGAGGTTCGTATTATCTATCAGTAATCGGCCCTCATTTGGCTGTTAAACCGTTCTCTCTTGATCAACAATGAGTCTATCAATACATCGACGTTGAATAAGATGATCTAGTTGGCTCTCCTACTGATTGCCTTCGTTTTGGGTAACACGCTTGACCTCCCGATGGGTTCACCATAAATTTTTCTGGTTGTTTCTCGATTGCAGTGTGAAGAATGCTCAGATCGCGTATCGTCACTGGTCCAGTGGGCGGTGTGTTTTTCCACGTGCTTGGCGTTCTCTGTGGTAGAGTGGGGGGTACGGAAGTTCCATCTAAAGCTGTCCTCGGGCATGGTGGTGTGGGCATAGCTACAGACCTAGATTTGTTTTCGGGTTCTTCTGAGTGGTCCTTTGATGTTGATCCTACTTTGCTCGAGGGAGTTCATGGTTTTTGTGAGGTGGAGAGTATCTCTTTAAGGCCTCTCTCGTGGAGTGTAGAGGGCTTTTTGCATTATGTACAGAGGTAAAAGAACCGATTACATGATCGCTGTCTCATAAACTAGTAGTGCTATCGGGGCCTTTTGCGACCACGGCA